TTCCTGGAACCGGAGCCTGATCGGATGGTAGTTTCGAACTAGTCCGTCGTGAATTTCCCGTCGGTGATATAACGATCGGTCAACGAAATTCGTGTGTTTCTTTCGCGACTGCGTTTATTTTCCTCGGACCGTCCGATAAATTGTTTTCGCCGTTCGCAACCGGAAGTAAACGTTTTGCCACAGACGAGGTATACGAGTAGACCTTTCACCTTATGGACTTTCGTGGACCAATATGGTTGTCGTACCGACTTGAAAATTCGGAGGTGATTTTAGCATCCTTAGTTACTGTAGCCTTTAGCATCACAGTTGCTTAATCCAGTCTATTTTATTAAACTAGTTGTAAGATATTGTAAAGAGTTACGTTACTGTTTGTAAGATACATTAAACTTGGTTGTATTAACAAGTGTTTAAAGGATCTTCTATCAACCTAAACCGATTACTACTGGTTAGTGCCAGCCTCCCCCAGGCTCTGCTAGCTCCTGCAGGACTCTGCTGACCACCGCTTATATTTCTGACAACGTATGACGATTACTACTGGCTACAGCCTGCCTCCGCTGCCCTCTGCTGACCGCTGCTGACCACTCCTGATACTTCTGACAACGTATAACGAGTACTACGTGCTACTGCTTACCCCTGCTGGTCTCTACTGTCCCTTGCTGGCCCCTCTGACCCCTGCTGGCCCCTGCTGACCGCTGCTGACCACTCCTGATACTTCTGACAACGTACAACGATTACTACTTGTTACTGCTTGCCCCTGCTGGTCTCTATTGTCCCTTGCTGGCCCCTCTGACCCCTGCTGGCCCCTGCTGACCACTGCTGACCTTTGTTTATAACTTCTGCCATGATATATATGTATTAAAACTTTGTATAATGTAAATCTATGGCAATAAATGTTATAATTTAAGAGAATTCTATGTCTTCTCGTCATTTCTACCTTCCTTTACCTCTCCAAAGCCTCCTCCCATAGTTATAAGATATAGTTCAAGTTATAGTTCTCTTACAAAATTTTTACCCGAAAAATTTCTAAGTTCCTCGAAAAGATTTCAAAAATTCCTGGCAGCTGGAAAGTCCTGAAACAGCTGGAAAGTCCTGAAACAACGAAAAAGCCCTGAAACAGCGAAAAATCCCAGACAGCTGGAAAGTCCTGAAACAGCTGGAAACCCCTGAAACCGCTGGAAAGTCCTGAAACAACGAAAAAGCCCTGAAACAGCGAAAAATTCCTGGCAGCTGGAAAGTCCTGAAACAGCGAAAAAGCCCTGAAACAACGAAAAAGCCCTGAAACAGCGAAAAATCCCAGACAGCTGGAAAGTCCTGAAACAGCTGGAAAGTCCTGAAACCGCTGGAAAGTCCTGAAACAACGAAAAAGCCCTGAAACAGCGAAAAATTCCTGGCAGCTGGAAAGTCCCGAAACAGCTGGAAAGTCCTGGAACAGCGAAAAAGTCCTGGACCCCCGAAAAAGTCCTGAAACAGCTGGAAAGGCCTGAAACAGCTGGAAAAGCCTGAAACAGCTGGAAAGTCCTGAAACAGCTGGAAATTCCTGGAATTTCTTGGAAACGCTGAATTTTTAGCAAATTTCTGAGTTTCAGGGCTTCCGAGGTGTTTCAGGGAGTCTTATAACTAAGGGAATGATTTGGAGAGGAAAAGGAAGGAAAAATGATGAGAACACATAGAATTCTTTGAAGTTATTTCATTTATTGTCATAGATATACATTATACAAAGTTTTAATACATATACATCATGTCAGAAGTTGATAACAAGGGTCAGGAGTGGTCAGCAGGGGTCTTCAGGGGTCAGGGGGGTCAGGGGGATCAGCAGGGGTCAGCAGGGGGTAGTAGAGGCCTACAGAGGGATGCAGAAGCAAGCAGAGACCAGCAGGAGCTCGTAGTAATCGTTGTACGTTGTTGGAAGCATCAGTGGTGGTCAGCAGGGGTCAGCAGAAGGGTCAGCAGGGGTCAGGGGGCTCAGGGGGGTCAGCAGGGGTCAGCAGGGGGCAGTAGAGGCCTGCAGAGGGATGCAGAGGCAAGCAGAGACCAGCAGGAGCAAGCAGTAGCACGTAGTAATCGTTGTACGTTGTTAGAAGTATCAGGAGTGGTCAGCAGTGGTCAGCAGTGGTCAACAGGGGTCAGCAGGGGCCAGCAGGGGCCAGCAGGGGACAGCAGAGGCTTGCAGAGGCAAGCAGAGACCAGCAGGGGCAAGCCGTAACAAGTAGTAATCGTTGTACGTTGTCGGAAGCATCGGGGATGATCAGCAGTGGTCAGCAGAAGCCAGCAGAGGCTTAGTCCCATGTGACGGGGCCGCGGACTCTGGTGAAAATGCGCCTGCTGTTGAGTGGGAATGAGGTGGTAGGAGTGCCTCCCACCGGGAGAGTTCTGAAAAGGCACAGCCTGGCGGGGGACTCTGCGATCTCTCGCTAGAGTTCCCGGTCCCCCGCCAGGTGCCTAAGGTAGGTTACCGTGGGGTTTTAGCCGGTAAGAGTCCGGCACTACCCGCCGGCGGGTGTCCATGAGGATTTCCCCACGTAAAATATAAATAATTAGGTCAGAAGATTAAGCTTCGCCTCCAAGTATAGCGAAATGGAACGCTGAATTAACCAAGACGCGATGAAGTGATCGTAAAGAATCGAAGCGTCACGGTACGAACCGCGGCCGATCGTCGAGGTAATTCTCAATTTATCGTGAATCGATCGACCATCACGTCGAGCACCGTATTAAATTCAACCCTTCTACGTGATCTTTGCGGAACTGTTTTTCCGCAACGAATAATTGTTTCGCAGTCTGCGTTGCCGGGCTTTACACGTTTACAAATATTTTCTTTCGCTTACAATTTCAAACGGCGGACCATGCTTGTAAACAGTTGTTTAATGGTTCTACGTTTAATGCGAAAAGCTTCCATCTGCCTCGTAACGAATAATTTATTCGCAGCCTACGTTCGCGCTTTCACAAATATTTGCATCGCCAAGAATTATAACGGTTTAATGATTGCATATTTACCGCGGAAGCTTCGTTTCGCTCGGAAACAGGTCGGAACAATTTGTAGAAAAACTTGATTAAAGGGTTAATTTGGAGTGCAAAATCCCTAGGTAGAAACTATTTAATATCAGGCAATATACTTTTGATTTCTTTTAATAGTCTGACGTTAAAAATGAATTTACTCGAAGGATCTCGACGGAACGGAAACATCGGATAGCACGCGTCCCCCGGACGATCGCGTTTTACTTAAACCGAGGCTGATAGCCCGCGGCGGGAGTAGGTTCGTTACGTACCACCAATTCACCGTCTCGTCCTCTTATTTCCCTATGCAACGCGCCGGCACGAATTGGATTTTTACCAACACGGAAGTAGGCTGAAGAAGAGAAAAGCAGAAGAAGAAAGAGCGGGGCATAAAAGAGCTGGAACTCGGGGGGGTTGGGGTTGCCAGCAGATTCGAAGCGACCGTTGCTTCGAATCGAATAACGAAGCTACCCCCGAACCGCCGCATTCGCGCTGGAATAATAAGGACTCCATTCTCTCGAGATCGAGAAAATCGATCGCGCCCTACAGCGTCCATCGCGCATTATTGCTGCCGCCTGTTTCTGACAACTTCGTACCCACCCTCTGATCGACGCCTGATCCTGGCCACGCTCCGATGGGTATTGCCGCCGCCATCCCTGTTCACGATAGTGTCGGTGCCTTCCGGTTACCTTTCGACACCCTAAACAACCCGAGGAGGAAACGGATTTGAAGCATCTCTGACGACGAGCAACCCGATAGTCCGGGGAATACAACTTCGCGCCCGTCCAGAAATCAATTCTGATAAATTAGCAGTAACATCTTAGAAACTGAGCGATACTCTTTTAAGCAATTGCATCCTAGAAGCGATCGTACTAAATCTAATAGGATTACGTTACGTTCAATATCGATTCCACCCTTATAAAAGATTCTAGAAACGTTTAATCCGGACCATAGTATAAGAAGTACACTTTTTAATCGGATTCTGGTCTCAACAACTAAGAAATTATCCACCTGGTTGGACGGAGATATAAGAATTGTCTGTTTCTTTTGGGGAAAAGGCGCGATTTATCACATTGACGGAACGACGAGAGAAACTAAACTCGGAAAGTTCCTTCGTAACTGTTCGCAAGTTTGCAGCGTGTCGGTGGCTACGGGGGGAGTCGAACAGACCAGAGAACTATGCAGAAGGGTGGATGTAACATCGGTACTCCTAACATTATCGACGGTAATACCTGTCGAGTGTGTATTTTTGTTTCAAAGTAGTCGAACCAGAGACGAGGTGCACGAGTAAACATATCGGTAAAGAATCTTTTTCTCGAAAATGTTTGTAATGGACCCCCAAACGAAGTCCGTCACGACGAACAGAACCACGGAAGATTATGGTAGCAAACGATTCCGACTCGAGACTCGTTAAATGTATTAATAGAAAGAGATCGACCGAATCGTGGTCATTAAGTCTTCATTTTTCTGGGTTAATGGGGAGCGCTCTGCGATAGGTTCTATCGATTTCTTAAATTGTGTTCGAACTCCGAACGTCTACCTGGATTTTTCAGTGGACCAATTTTCCACCGAGTGGTAAACACGGGCTTCGAGTGGGTCCTCGAATTTGCGCGAATTAGTCGATGAAAGGCGGAAGCAATAGTCAGGAATTTTTCAAAACCCCGATAACGACGACACGAGGCTTATATCAGTCGCTTTATAAAGAAATTACGAAGCTCCTCGTTCGCGTGGACGATTGATAAAAATATCACGAATCTCGTATATCTCTGACACGGATAACTTTATTGCGACGGTACCTGTCATCATAAAAGCGAAAAGGGATGACTGAGACATAGACGGGAGGCTCTTTAGCATACGTTTATATTCAATAGTTAAAACAAGAACGATAACAAGTGTAGCCGGCGAACAACGAGACACCGCGCGAGCGGCTTCGATCTTCTTTGGTCCGAACGCGCGGTTGCATATTCAGTAATCGTGACAAAGATAACAATTGGATTCGTTCGAAATTATTAATAATGTCCGTGGCCGTGCGATCCTCCGTGCCCACCGTAAGTGCCACCCTCGTGATTGTTGCCGTTGGAATTGTGAACGTAAGCGAAAAATCCTCCGTGAGGGTCGGCGTGGTACTTGACGACTCTCACGTTGCCGCCTGGTTCTTTGATCGAGTATTCACCGACCACGTTCTTGCCTGCTCGAAAAGAACTGCACTTAACGTCGAACGACGATTGAAAATCAAAGAGGAAATCACTGATCCACGCAATGGTCCATTGAATCGAAATTTAAAATTATTCGAGATCTTCGAAGTTACGTTCTTCGACGATACAGCACTAGAGGGATATAATATATGGAACCTGTTGAACGGAATTTATTTGCATCTATAATTTACTTTCTTCCGCTACGAGGTCCCTGCAGGTGGACGATAAGAGTGCACCCTTATTATATAAAATAAGAACATGGAGGGAGGTTTAGGGTTTCAGAGTAAAAACGATAAGCCGTCTACTTGCCATCTCTGTGCTCCTTCTGGCCGTGATGGTCGCCGGTATGATGGTCTTCCACGCCGTAGGAGAAGTCGTATTTCGGGTGGGCCACATAATCGTGGTGGTGTCCATGTTTGCCGTGGTGCGAGATTTCTTCCGCGGGACCCTCGACGGGGCCATGGAAATGCGCGAAACTGTGAGCGTGTCCCGCCGATCCGCTTTGCACCGCCGCGAGGCCAACCAGGAAAGCTAAAACAAACTATCGACGGAACGGTGAATTTTCACAATGGAAAAGTTTGGACGACGGATATTGCACGGAGGGAAAAAATCTATCCCGTGTGCTAATCCCATTCCGATCGAGACTTCGGCTCTATCCGCTCGCGTAGTGTTTAATTCATTTTTCAAACGATTTACCGAATACTCAATTGCACTCTGCAGAGTTGAGCGACTCTTTTACCTTATTTGTACTCGACAGAAACGTGTTTCGAGCAATAAGAGATCCAGAATTTATGGATACAGTTATATCTGATCTATGCGTACCTTGATTACCATATTGACAGTGTTCACAGGATCGTGATGAAGTGATGCTTGGACACACGTTCGTAAGACTTTATATACCAGCGAGCGTTGGTCGTTTTTGGCAGGTGGAATGGCAGCGGTCTTACTTAACTCCGAGATGGGGGAAAAAAGGGCTATTACTGGCCGATCGGCGTTCTCTGCATAAGTATGGCGTTTCTTTGACGGTTGTTAACATAACGACAAACCTTGCACGCACATGGACCGCCGTTTCACCGAAACGACTATTGATTCCGCTCTATTGATCCTGTCGCGGAAGTATTTTTGCCCGCTCGGTGTTTGCTATGCGCCGATGCAAAAAGCGATTCGACGAAATATGTACACAACGGTGACGCACCGTTGGTAAATCAAACACAAAGGCACCGTGTGTCGACCTGCTTTTGATAGCGTGGTTATATTCGTTTAATTCGACGTTAAATCAACGCCTTGTTTGCGCGTCCAACAGTTAGGACGTAGAAAAGTCGCGTTTTCTTTAACCGGAATATAAACAGCCGTGTGCGTAGCTCGTGCCACTTACGCGATCGCGGGGGGGCTGAATCGACGTTTCCAAAGAGCCTTTAAAGGTCTTCGAACTTCCACGAGGGCTTTTCAAGCGGGTACCCTAAAGTAAGTAGCTGAAACGCGCCTCGTACAACTTTAAGTCAACGTTTAATCGGGTCTGAAATTGTCAAAGTGGGACGGACGGTTCGCCCGCGGTGGAGCTTTTCCCCTTATTCGTCCGTCGCGATTAAAAGTTTCGTTTAAAGCGTTGTAATTAATACGGCCGGTGCAATTTCATTTTCAGCGTCAAAGGAAATATTTTGTTTCGTCGGTGCCCGGGGCCGCGATAACGGAACGTCTGCGAGAGGATTGTCCCTGCCGGAAACGACGCTGGCGAACGGTGCCCGCGAAATATTCGAAAAACGGTTCGCTCGTCGCGCGCGAAGCGAAATTATAATTAGCTTAATCTCGATGGGGGGGAGCGAGATAACGTTATTAAAATAACGAGGGACCGTGTAATGTAGTTAATTAAATAAATGCATTCGTTCGGGACGAGCCCGGGGCGCGGCGGGGGAGGACAATCCTTTCCCCTCGGGATAACCGATGAGGGTACGGGGTCGTTCGAGTCCCGCGGCTCCCGACTTCCTCCGAGAAGAGGTTATTTCACGCAGCAGAACTCGTAATCCATCCGTTTTCTTCGGCAAACGACTGTATCGATCCGCGCGGCGCGTTGCAGCGCGCATTCGTACGCGGAACGGATATGCGTCATTTGTGCGTGGGCACACGGAGGGTGGCTCGGTGTCGCGATGCATTCGAACCTCGCGAACCACACGGTTCGGCCGTTTATTGAAATATTTACGCTGCAATTAGGTGCCCGCAAATATGCCGACAGTCATAAGCATTCGCGATTGTTCGCGTCGCGGCCGAACAGAACGTTGTTCTTCAATTAATTCTGCGAAATAACACACTGCGCGTCAACCGGTTCTCCCTCGATGGAAACAGATATTATGTTGCTCGTAACAATACTTTCAATGGCTGTTGTTTATACTATTCAGCAGCAAGAGTATCTAATTGCATAATTCTATGTCACGGACACCTTTTTTCGTTTCGTTATACTTTATGATAGAAAGTATAAGAGTTTCAACACGACCCACCCGGATTTCGATCGACAATTGCGTTATGAGAGCAATATTTAATCGCCGTACCGTGAAGCGAACCACCAGTGCAACGTCGATATTTGACCAAAGGTCTCCTGAACTTCTAAAATATTATACTTGTTCTAATCGCGAATGCATCCCTTAACTACGAGGACAAAGTACCCTGCGTCTGGGGAAGATGTGAATTTCGCGAGAGGTATGTCGGGAAGAACGATACGAAGTACCGTGCCTCCCTTAAAGTCGAAACGATTTTGCCGGCACTCCGTAGAGGATGGAAATGACAGCCTGTTCTGAATGCTAATTACTTTAACAAGCTTCGAGTCGCAACTGGATTGTCGCTGGAATCGTCGATGCGAGAACGACGTATTAGAAGTGCAGAAGCGGAAGGCGTCGCGAAGTACGGTGCACCGTCGTGAAACGCAAGAATCACGTGCATCCGGCGAACGAGCGGGATTTTTTTCGCGACTAACAAACGGGTGTTGTTTGTATTCAACGTAGCTACACCTTTCCGCCCTTTCGTTCCAGAAGCGACAGCCGTACGTAATTAGTTTGTAATTCTATTCGTGCCCGGTGACGGCTGCGTTCTTCGACTCGCGTCGGAATTCCTCGAGCCGAGCGTTCTATTTTAATTCCACCATGCTTCGGTCTTCGTTCCCCTGACCGTGTATTTTGCGGAATATTATCGACCCTGCAACGCGAAAACGCTACTTGCAACCAGTATTCTTTATCCCTTCCACGACCACGCAATTTCTACCTCGATCGTTGGACATTTTAACCATCAGTTTACATCGGTATGAAATAAATAGGCTCCGTGTATCTTCGAAGGGTTTTTAGTTAATTAACTCGAACGAATATTTTCGCGAAAGGGAGAAGAAATATTTAAACGCAACGCACAGTTAGTTTTAATTACTCGTTCCTCAAGACGGGGGAAACTCTGGGTGTATCTTTGTTGGCCCAGTCCTCGGAGAAAGCCTCGAGCTTCCGGGAAAGTTGGCGTCTGTGCTTCAACGGCGAGCCGTGTCTACTCAATATCATCCACTGCGCAAACTTAGTAGAAATTGTCGAAGCGAATGCGCATTGCAATTACCGGTGATGGGAATTCGTAGCGGGATTTGCTAGAGTGGGTCAGTAACGAAACTGGGGTGTGCGATCTCTTTACGATCCTGTCTTGATCCCGGTTCTTGCGACCGCGTTACCCCCCGCAACGCAGTTGCACCCAATTCGAACGTCGAATTTCATTTGTTCCAGCGATCGACGTACTCTCGCGTCAACCTTTTTACCGTTACAAACCCTCGGTTAATCACGCGGGGTGTTTTTACACCCTCCGGAATGTTTGTTTGCGCTCGAGAAATTAAAGAGGATTCGTAATTATTCCTCCCTCTAACCTCATCCAATGCTTCTCTTAATTTTACTGGGTGATCGTTGCAAACGTGTAAAAAGATCTTTAGGATCTGGCAGGATTTGGTTTTACATAGACGGACTCACTTATTTTTTCTTTCCTTTATTATTCTTTGTTAGTATTCTGTGTGGTGTTGTTCATTTCGGTTTGTCATTTAGTTAAGCTTATGTAACGTAGATAACAATATGCACAGATATATATTAAGCCTCTAACTAACGAATACGTTAATATTAATATGCCAAGATAGCCCTCGACTCGTATTTTATATAGGAAAAAATCGTTGGTCGTGCGAAGGTTCAGCAAAAGAATACTGGTTTCATTTATTATGCGTTTAACGATCCACAAAGGTGCAACAACGGGAACGACCTCTCCGCTCATCGCGGAGGACCACTCCAAAACAAAGTACCCTGAATGTAACAATAACATAAATAAAGAAGTATATTTCTGCAACTAAATTAGTAGTTTTTCATGCCTTGCGTCCCTTATTTGTGCTTGTGGCCACCGTAAGTGCCGCCGGAGTGGTCATTTCCACCATAATTGTGGACCTCTGCGAAGAATCCACCGTGAGGATGCGAATGATACTTCACGGTTCTCACGTTGCCGCCTGGCTCGTGAAGATGATACTCCCCTTCGACTTCTTTTCCTGTAATCCACATCAGAATTCGCGTTGACGATTGTTGGACTCATTTCTAATAAATATTCTATTCTTATAAGCTTGAACTTTAGAAAACGCTTTGTCCAACAAACGCCCACGTAAAATATCTCCGCGAGTTGCGTCGAGAACTCGTCGACGGGCAAATCTGCTCCTAGTTCTAATTAAGAGCAAGGTCGACCGTCCAATTAGTTTGAGATTCTAATTAAGAGCTCGAGATTGAGTTTCGGTATACTTTCTTTCCGGTGCTTAATCAATGCTCCGAGAGCTCGATGCGTACCGTCGCGATGCTCGTGCTGTCCATGGTGGTCCTTCGTGTGCTTATCGTCCACGCCATACGAGAACTTATACTTGGGGTGAGCCCTGAAATCGTGGTGGTGGTGGCCGTGCTTGTCCTTCCAGGTGATCTCTTCGTGATGGCCCACTACCGGCCCGGAGAAGTGGTGGAAGGAATGCGCGTGTCCGTGTTCGTGTCCGTGTCCACCCCCATCACCACCGCCTGAAATCGATCGTTCAAATCTTTGAACATCGAAATATGATAGAACCTCTTCCATCCACGGGCCAATTTAATAGAGAATTGCTCTTGCGATCGAACGGGTTGGAATAAACGTACGAAACCTATTGCCTCAAGATGGATCAAACTCACCCCCTCGATCGCAAGACCAAACCTATGAATTTTCCCGTGAAAATTCTTAAGTTAGAAACTTTTGGAGCACTCGAATATTCAGTGCTTGGTAACGAGAGGTTCTAACATTAGTTTTTCGTTCGTACCATCGTGATAGCCCTGAGGATAAGCGTTGACCGCGACGCAGATCAATGCAAGAACGATCAGTCTCTGGGAACAGAAAGCGGGGAAACAAAATGTCAGCTTCCGGTGTAAATGGTGAACGACGTGGTGTGCTTAAAGTATTATGAAAATTAATCACGAAAGTCGGGGCGAAAATGGCACGATGGAAATTCGTTTGAGCTGCGGGGGAATTGCAAAGGGTGGACCATTATTCTTTGACCGGGAACAAGGGCTGTACGCGGAACGGACCCGCGGAGACGCTTTTGCCAGTCGCATAAAGACCTCCGGAACACGCCGCGCCCTTACTTTACGGTCACGACTTTGTAATACTTTGCCACAGCGACTGTGATCCGTTTTACAAAAGCTGGCCTCCCCCCCGATATTTTTCGGCTCGAAATTGGAACGATCGATTTGGATTTAGCCGGGTCTGAAGTTTCGATCCGTTCGACGATATTCCCAAATTGTTAGACGTCGATGCTTTCCGTTCTTGGTCGACCAATTTACGATTTACCTCTACCAGCGCCATATTTGCTTCCTCGGAGGACCGTCGATGGACTGCACGCTCGATAGCGAAAATCTCGTTTTATAGGAGCGTTCGCCGGACGACAGAACGGTCTCGTTAAAGCATTAATTTGCTTGCCACACCTCATCGGTGATCACGACGGAGAGAGAGAGAGAGAGTCGAGACTTTACAGTGGCACTGTTCTCGCGAATAATCGTTTTGTTTTTAATGGCTGTATTATGACTCTGGTTTTCGTCACTGCCAGATACGGGGCTAGATACCGATATTGCTCCGCAAAAATCGGTTGCAAAATGTTTGGCCAGGCGAGAAATCGGGGCTTCCTGTTTCGACATCGCGGTTTCAAAGAGACGCCAAAGTCGAGAGAGATGTACGAGAGTTAAGATTAATAATAAACGATTTACACGCGAAGTCCTCGAACCTTTTGACGAGATCTTGTACACGCCACTTCCTCCAGCGATAAACGCACGCAAAACGCCCGGTGTGATTTACGAATGCCTCACGCGAACTGGAATTTTAATTTCAAGTCGTACTCGTAACTATCCGAAGCGGAGGGCTACACACGCGAACGCATTACCCGATGCTTTAGTAGTTTTAATCAGCCCGGGGAACCTGCGATAATTCCAAAATTATAGGGCTACAATTATTCCCGCGTCGGCTCCACTCGATTCCATTAAAGAAACCGCCCTATCGTATATTCGATCGGCAACGCAAATTGGACTGTCGTGATTAATGAGCAATAAATTGCGCGTATTCGACGATAGAGCGAACGAGTGTCAATATGTCGCCTGAATAGCTGCATCCCAGCCTGGCAATACAGTTTATTGTTGAATTTATTGCATTTCCGCGTACCGTTCGTTCGCATGATACATTCATTTCTCGCTGAATTGTAATCTATCGATTCGATGGAAAGTCAAATATTCTCTCCCTCTCTGCCTCACTGATTCAATGATTATCGCCGCTATACGTTGCCAACGAGTAATGAAATGTTTCTGACGAATTGCCTCATGCATTATTAATAAATGTCCCGGGCAGTTAGCATTAACGTAACGTTTATCACGGATCCATCGCGATTATATAAGTAATTACGTGCATTCTAAGGGCTGCTTACTCGACGGGAACCCGGTAACGTAGGTTTTTTGTTTTTTATAATTCGTCGACTTTCCGCGCTTCCTTCTTGTTCCCGCTGAAAGTATCGGAAAAAGATTATGCACGGTCCATCGAGTAATTGGAATAGAGTTTTATGCAACGACGACGTTGAACCTCGGAATATTTTAAGACGCGTAAACGTTTCGTTACCGCCCACTTCTCGCGCGATTCGCGTCCTGACCAAGCTTCGAGCATTACCGTTTTCCGGATTTTTACCGTCTATTGTGCGCGTAGACCTTCTTTACCAGCATTCCCAAAAGATTTGCAATCTGGCGTCATCGTGTTGAAACGTCAGAGGAATGCGATGGAAACGTTTCAAAAACGGCATAAAGTTGTTAGAAAGTACTTGTTGATACTCCTTGCTACTTATCCTCGTCGACGGAAACGCCAACGCTGAAGCACCGAGGTAGCAAAAAGCAACGGACGCTATCAGATTGCTTCTACCGAAGTTCTTCCTCGAAAACTACCGAGAGGATCACTGGGCAGATCTCTCTAATAATCGAGGCACTCGTTTCATCGCTAAAGAATTGGAAGCTATCAATTCTGATACGATAGATGAGTTTCCAAAGCTAATCCTTCCAAATTAATCCTGCTGTTCGATTGGAAATTGCTTAATAGGAATGGAATAATTACGGGCACCGGTGCAAACGACAGTGGATAGGAGTTAGGCAATCTTAGTCAACTGTGAAGAGTTTGCGATCAAAAAAACGCTTAGACCACGATCCCAAGTTTTTGTTAACGTTGTATTAATTACAAAACTGTACATTGTTCTTAGAGTATTGTGCCTCAGGCGCGTCGTTCAGGCTGAAAAGATATTGAAAACCGAAAGCGTCGAAACAACGACGCCACGGATGCAGTTAACGCTGCTAATCGGCCATCGACGGGCGCAGAGGAAGATTAATTAATATTAAGTCAACGTGGTTCCGTTCGCGATCATTACTCTTACGAAGTATTACTGGCTGATCGTGACCTAACACGATATTAATTAAGTCTTCTATGTAACAGCACGCTTCCTTCGTTAGCGTCCCGACCCGATCGAGAGGCGATTCATCGGCAGAAAAGTCTCGATTTAGCCGCCATGTCGTAAGAGTCGCGTGGACAGGGTGCCGTAAGTGCTGGAATTAACGAGCTCTGGATGGAGTGAGTCGACACAGGAGCCGTCCACGTTCCCTCGGATGACACTACCCCAGATTCTACGTCGGATCTACAAAGGCATCGTTTCCGTATTATTCGAAGCGCAAGTCAAACATTACGTTACCTTTATGTTTGCGTTAAAACGATAGCTACGCATAGCAAAAGAAAATGTAAGACTTCAGGAATTTATGCTACTCGTCGAGCATTACTTTAATTGGAAAAAAGACACATCGAGCGTTTCTTATAAAGGCGAGAACAGATTCATTTTAGCATCTATGTTAATTGAGCATTCTCCTCCGGGTGAGCGCTATAAACTCCCAAGGTCTTAAAACCCCTCTTAATCACCCCTGCACGAACGCAATTCAAATTACAGTCGGAACTCAAACACCTCCGGTGTTCAGCGAACTAACTTGCTTTCCGTAGTCTGTAAATAATGTTTGAAGCCTTACGTCTTGAGAACGGGCGCGCTATAAAGAATAAGAGGATTCACTGGCGGTGGTTTAAGCAGAACGACGTCGACTCCGGAGGACTGTAGCTCGCACTTTAATGCCTCTGCAGCCCCTTCCACGGCCTTCCGCGAGGCGCTGTACGCCACCAGCCCTGTCCCAGCTTTGGTCCCATAGCTTGTCGAGGAATCGCCGAAAAGAACGATGCGACCTTCAACATAAAACGCCTTTACAGCCGAACGTAAAAACGTTGATCATCCGAACCGCCTTGTCCGAGCGTCGTGGCTCGAGGTTTCATCAATTCTTTGTGGCGCGGTGGCTTATTTAGATTTACCGACCATTTGGAAACCGTTCGCGTGTTTTATTATAGAATTTTGCTAACCCTGAAGCCTAGAAACGTTCGTTAAAATATAGCGGGGAGTATGGAAATCAATTTCTTGACCCTCGTTGGGCGCGGAAGGGTGTCAAGACCGAAATTGTTGCGCCACAAAGAGTTAAACTGGTCTATCCTGTAATTTGTAGGCTATAAACGGACCTCTTTTGGCGCGCAACAGGGGAGTGAACACTCTGGCAGTTCTAAGCGGCGCGACCAAGTTGTGTCGCAACATGGATTCCCACGCGGAACTCGGCTGCCTCTCTATAATACCAGGAAGAGCCAAGCCGCCGGTGTGCACAACTGCCCAGAGACCTGTAATTAAGTAAAGTTCAAACTTCGGTGTACTTTAAGCGGCCGCTTTCGTACGGCGCGGCAGACGCGGCGAAGATGGAACTTTGCCTCACGGAATTCGCGACGTCCCAGCGCATCGGTCCGGCTCGGAAGTTCGCGAACGCGTCGTTAAAGCTGCATTAATGTTCGCCGAGCATGGGTCACCTTGATTCCGGAGGAAGAAAAGGAACGCCGGAAATTAGACGACCGCCCCGTTTACTTCTTTATTAGAAATAAAACGCTCGATCTGTTTCCAACGATCGTCGAGGATTTACAACTCTCCGAGTGTATTTGTCTTGTATCGTTTCAAAGCTACCGCCTATCCGGGATGCAGAGGCTTTTGCTTCTTTTTTTAGAGGGGTGTCTTGAAAAGGATTTGGAAACTACTACCGTGCACGGTGTTGGAAATAATTTACGGAGGAGATAGCAACACGATTGCGTTGTACCGTAGTCGCGTAAGATCGCTAAGGGTACACGCGGGGCCAACGAAAATCGATAAAAGCAAATTCATTGCATCCGACGATCGGTTATCAGACCCCCGTACCACGGAAACCGTTCGCTTTAACCGAACAATTTCCAGAGAGGCGAGGGTATTTTACATCCGCGAATCTTTGCGGCCGCCGTGTCCGGAAACTCTATTCTGGCTCTCTTTTCTCTTATTCGAGACCCCTTTCCTCGCGTTCTATTTACAGCGACCGATAAAATCCGCAGGGCATTATATCGAACCCGAAACGACTGGCCAGATTCATTGCTGGTACAATTATTGCCTTCGTCTTTGCATTGTTGCTCGCTATCGGTGCACGGTGTTCGATTTGCAAGATCATTATGGCGTTCGTTACACGTAAGAACAGGAATCGTCCTCTGCTTTTTATATTTATTCTACTTTCTTCTCTTCTATATTCATCATCTAGGGACCAACGTTACCTAACACTGCCTGCAATGTCCATGTTTTCACTCGATTCTACGTTTCCGTTCCGAGGAAGGCTACGGTCCTGCGTGGCTGAAACGCTAACGGTTTGCCAAGCATTTCTATGGCTCATAAGCACGTTCCTTTGCATCGTTGCTTTCACGATCAATAAACATTACCTCTGTTACGACTACGCCGAGGAAAAAACATATTAGGTTTGATTTCTAAGCAAGTGGATTTGCGGTATTGTGTTCGACGAATCTGATTCCTTAGATCTGGGACAAGGAAATTAATTAATCTGTGCTCAAAGACCAGATTATTGTGCAACGTTGGTGGAAACTGAAGAACCTGCGTTGCGACTACGTGGAATTATAATTATGATAATATACAATCGCAGGTGGTTGGTTCTAATAGTTTGGATATTGCTGATTAACTTGGGATTAGCATCAAGCCTAAACGTGATTTTCCAGAGCGCAGAAAAAGCACTCGAGCTCAACGACTGATTAAATGAGACTCAGAAAATTGAAAACATTACAAAATTTCTAAGTTTCATAGAAGTAGGCGGAAATACCGCCGCTAATTAACGATAGAAATAATACGCCAACGATAAAGATCGAAATGCATAGCCAGAGGAGTTTCTAGACGGCCATTGACTGACGGTAGCGCAGGAAGTTTCTGAAACGGAGCTTGAATATCACGCGATGGCTAATTAGCGTTCCCTTTGAGTAGCGCAGGTTTTTGTTAAGTAGCTAAGTAATTCATTCGATAGCGACGGATAGCAAAAGGCACGTATAAAGAAACACAGCCAGTCGTAGAAACTATAGAGGCACGAGAATCACTTCATTAAAAAGGACAAAGACACCCTACGAAGCTTTCTACGAAACCATATAATTTGTTCGCGATTTTCTGGAAAAATATGGAGGAATATATATATTCAGGAAAGAAGCAGACAATGTTTGCGTCGCGGTATGATTTTCACCGCGTAGGAAAGTAAAAGGGAAGCCACTGGATTTGGTATGTCGATCCAATTAGAGGCAAAGGAAGCGGAGTAATTATTCCGGTTAAAAACGCCTGAAAGGTGTCCACTGCTGGACATTGCCATGCAAATATTTACAGCTAGATCGCGTGAAAATGAACGGAGCCGGACGGTCAGCGGAGCGTGTTGAATCTTCGCCGTTCGAGCCGCATTAAATCGACAATTGCTTGCCGTCCTCGCCAGCCGGAAGTTTTGCTCTAACTGCGTCCAAACAAGCGCGTAAACTGTCCTCCCTCGTCGGGTCCAGCTCCAATGGCACGATTTGGCCACGAGCACGTACTTCCGGATCCTGCGGATTGCCCAGGGTCGCGTCCGCCGGTTCCTCGTCCCGTTCTCTCTGCTGTTCCATCGCTCGCAGGAGCTTGATCGATGGTGAATTGCCAGAGGGATCCAGCAGACCGGCGAACACCTGTAGACAGTCAACGTTAACGTTGCGATATTGATTTCGTCGCTGGATTACAGCCACGCGACATCTTTTGTCCTCCAATTTACATCTTGACTAGAAATTGCACGTTGCCCGAGGGGTTGCGTTTACCCCTTGGATCGCGGCGCGTTAAATTTAGCACGTTCAATTTCGTACACATCGAGACGGAAGGGAAAGCAATTACTACTCGTAGCCACGCGTTTTACTCTGACACGACCATCAGAAATATTACGGCACTTAGCCCTAAAATGTTTCCAGAGTGATTTTTGGAGGGCCGTAGATCTACTTTGGTCGCAAAGGAGGTTTCAAAGGACGAGCTCGAATCGCGTCTCTATTTCGAAAATCAACAGACCGGTGTCTCGTTGGGTGGACTTCAATCAGCCGTCCGGTGATTTGAACGGTCCAGATTTTTATCTCTGGCTCCGCCTCGAGAATGTTTATGCCAATAAACCAGGAAAATGTTCGGTACGCGGTGCTCCCAGTTCATTATCCTTGCAACGAAACCGTTACGCAAATTGAGGGATTCTCGTGGGACGTGGGATAATTACCTTGTAACCAACTTCGTAGAGCGCAAGGGCGATCTGCAGGCCTACGCAAGTGTCGCAGCTGGTAACGAGCACGTGACGTTTGTTACGGGACTCGTACTCGTCGGTGGCGTTCCTCGATTGCCGCATTAGATAGGCCAACAGGGCGGCGACGATCGAACAGAGAGCCAATATTTGTAGGGCCAAAATGGCCCCGGTTTCAACGTCCATCCTCCTGGGCAATATTCGATCTGGGTGGCAGAAGTTACATCTCAATTAACCAGCAATTCGAGCCGGCTCGCACGGGGGCCCCATCTACTTCCGCAATGCGCCGAAATAGTTTCTCATCGTCGTTGCGACGCGTCACGACGCTGAATATCGTACCGGAGATTCTCACGCGAATACAATACGATGCACCATCACATTTTCAAATTAGCTACGCGTGGCGAATGAGTACGACACTCCTTTTATAAACTAATCGTCCCCTAAATAGTTACGATTCAAGCAAAAATACCTCGACGAAAATTACATTCCCAGCTTGCACATTGGCTAAATTAATTTGTGTCCCTATCGGCAACTCGGAATCAACGGTCTGGTTCAACCACTTCCCTTCAAAGGACTGCAAGTTTTGACAGGGCCAGGTGTACCATGAAACACGCTCGCATAATTCTACGAGTCTACCGGTCTCGTTCTCACGGTCTCCTGACCGTGGAACTCCAGTTGACCCTTTGACTAGGACGCGTTTGAAACAAAAAGCGCTCAAGGTATACAAAACGAGACAATCGTTACTCCACGCCGAATTACGCCAGTTTTGAATAAACAATCGTTCAGGACGATATTATAATATCTAGATATTGCTTTTCGATATCTTTTGTCAACGTCGTTTTTAACGAAGGGGTTAAAGGGACCAGTATTCTCCTACACGAAACCCAATTTATACGTCTGTTCTATCGGTCCAAATGTTTTCGACGGTTGCACGCAGCCCGTATAAATCCACCGCGAAACGTAATTCTGTGCACGAATGCTGCTGACAGCCGATCAATCAATAATGATACCATAAGGCATAGTATATTCAACTGCGACCAGAAACGATGGAATTGCCGCAAAATAGTTGAACGTGCGGCGATACAACAAATCAAGCATCTTTACGCGTGTTGTCGACGAAACTTGCTGTCCCGTCTGATGGAGAATCGCAGTTTGCCCGGACGTGTTCATCGATTACCGGCAACGGAGAATTATATTCAATTCGCGGGCCATAAATCTGTCGATTTCCTAAGAAGTCGTACGCGAAATTTCCCCCTAGAACGCGGTATACACTCCCGCTTGATATATCGCTACCATAATAGATCTCGAATCGTATCGTTCCAGCGGTTTACGAAAAATATAGGGGAGAGTCGCGAAAATCGTTCAAATTTGGCGCGTCACCAAATACCGTAAACAATTTCAATACCATGGGAACAACAAAGGACCGGACCGAATCTATTTGTCTTCTCGGGAAGTCCTGTAATTGAACCCTTTGACAGGGTTCCGCGAGCACCGTCGTCAACAACATTTCTAGGAAGTTAAATCAAAAACGTTTTTGATGAAATTTGCCTCTGTTATATCGTGGAACTCCGCAAAGCTTTCCATTTCGGTGCAATGGCAGAATGCGCGCCGGCACTTGAAAACTCTTTGAGCCGCGAACCGTGGCATTTTCCCGCTGAAATTCGAACGAAAATGTTTTTCGTGGAAAGCGAAAGAAAGTGGTATCTCGTTCGGCCACGATACGCAAAAGAGTATCCGTTCGCTGAGGAGGACCGTGCAAACCTATCGCGACGAGATCCGTTCGCATTTTCTCAGACGGAATCTTGCCGATCCGCGGTTGGGCGATTCGATTGCCCGTAACGTTCACGGAGGCATCGCGAATTCCGTTTTTCCCGCGAAAAGTGAAGGGCGTTGGAAAGGTTTTTGCTCGTCGAAGTGATTCGCCTTTCTAAAGCGTATCTGAACCTAGCGAGGCGTGGCCCCCGAAGCCGCTCCTGTTTCACCGCGGGTGTCGATCCTCGTCGCGAGTTCTCCTTCGATTTGCAAAATCGAACGCAAATATCGTCGATTTAATAGCCCCGATCACGTACCCGTTAATGTGCTGATTCGATTAGCAAGATGGGGGCATTTCTATCGACATAAAGAAGCATTATTCAACGCTCGAATACTTATTCAACTTTGAGCCAAGGCGCTCTCGAATCGACTCGACGAAAACTGTCGATCCCGTCGATTCGACGCCCGAATAATAAATAATGTATGTATGTGAGATCGGCCGCTGATTCTTATTCTGATTATCAAACGGTTAAAAATTCCCTATTTTGCACCTGCTATTTCAAACTTCTATTCCTTCTTGGCTGGCAGTCGCTGAACGTCTTATTCATTAATACAAATAAAGTAAGAAAGTTACTTCCTGCTCCCTTCCTTCCAACGCGAAATGTTTTATTCCACTGATTTCGAAATCATTACTTAATTCGCTCGAAGTCGTTTCAAATATAATATTAATGAAACCAGTTTTGAAATCCCCTTAATTTGATGTTTCGAAAACATCCATAAATAAGAAAAATAAAAAATGAACTAAAATTAATCGAAAAAAAACAGGTTGCAGTTTTGAAGAGCAAAGCCCGTAATCGCCAGGAACTTTAACAGCGTTTTCGACGCTGATAGCTGGGAATGTCGATGGATTTTCGACGTTTCCATCGTTCATTCGCAGGAACGAACCGATAGTCGGATCTTTTCCTCTACGGGGTCCGTGAAACTCATATTTCGGCGCTGGCCGGATCAAACGAAATACACTGTTGGAAGCCCATTGCCGAAAGTGAGAGCCGATGTTCCCGGCTATTCCCAGCGACGGGTTCCGATTTCAAACTGAATTCGAGATTTCCCGTGGCCGGGGCTGGTTACTCGACGAAGGTCCATCGGGGGTGAGCGTGACAAATTACGTTTTTGTCATCTGAGAGCCGACACGAATACCGCGTTATCGGAATTAATACGTTTCCACACGCTCAAACGATCGAAACTACAGCTATACCAATCATAATCGCGTTTTATAACAATTTGGAAAATATTCTATAAAATATAAAACAGCTGATCTTCTTGTCGGAGCGAATTGAACTATTCCGGACCGTTTAAAATGGCGAATTAAAACGTGTCACTGTCGTCCACGCGTATGGTCAAAGTTTCCAAGCATGCAGCTGTACGCCCGCAGGCTAACGCGCGATGGAAACGTAAGTACGCACAAGCGAACGAGTACGCGGCTCGCTTGCGTGCCAAATCATCGCGGCTAACTTTCTCTGGAATGCAGGCACGGAAAGAAAACAAGTTGAAAGACAGGTGTCACGAAATTATGAAAGCTTATCTGAAATCTCACGAACGCGCCGGTCGTTTCGGTGTAGTTTCGTTTTTCAACAAATCTCATTTCCCCCCCGGGTAATTATCGCGGATTGCTAAACTTAGTAAACTAGGCGATCAGTCGCTGACTTTTTTATACACCCGTTTCGCTTCTTTTTTTGTACATCAAATCGTCGGTCGATTGGACGTTCTGCAAACCAATTTTCTTCGAGCTTCCGTTAAAAAGATAAACAATTCCCAACAGGGTACATCGCTCGACACGGTCGCTCGAATTGTCCATATTCATAAGAGCGTGCAAACATTGTAAATATTCAGGTTCGGGCGGTAAATACATACAAAATTCATCCTATAAATTGTACTCGTTATTTCCCGCGTAGCATTTACGGTACAAGATTATACCAAGCAATGATAAACGCATGCAGTTTAAGAAGATACGAACAAAACATTGCAGATACCATTAATACTAATACATCCCTAGCAATTTCGTTCGACCGAGACGGAGTAAAAGGCGAGCATCTTTGACATTTATTTGCAATCTGGCTCGCTTCGTAAATCCGTAAAAGACTTTCCCCCGATATCGTTCGCCGTGGAGAGATTGCTCCACCTATGAATAAAATACTAGCTACATCGTTTACGCTGCCGCCCAAAACTTTGGAGCACAAGAAAGCTTCGTACGAACTTTCGGTTGCTTCTGCTTGTCTTTAAATAATATCTTTTTGGCCGCGTAGAAAGTTTCACGGTTTCGGTCTGGCAGTGAGCGTGTTAAAGGACAGTAACTTCGCTATCTCCTCCGTCAGACGACTGCCAGAATTGTGATGGCATGCTAATAAGCAGCTATGTCATCTCTATTAATCGTCGAGGCTGCCGTGAGGCGTGCATCGAGTGGAATGCTGGAAGTTACACGGATTACGTATACGTACGCGAGCTAAGTTAGTGCGCCTAATTTCGACACTAACCTAGTCATGGACACTTTCATTTGTTTCGACGATTCGATTATTGCTGCAACCGTTATGATTTCTATTTTAAGCGAATTCCAGACATTTATTTATTGACGTGGCGATGCAATTTACTCGAAGATAAACAACGATATGATTCAGCATCCTAGCGATTGGTTCCTCGAAGATTCGGAAATAATTTTGATTAAAAATCGAACGGTCAAGATGGGTTCGAGCCTTGTTCGCGCGAACAGTATGCGGACGAGTCACGTTTTGCGGTCGCATTATCGTATTACGGGAGTTTATACGCTCGTGCTAAATTCGACAGGAATGTGAGAATATCGATTACAGGGTCCTTGCCCTACCACCTCGTGATCCTTGCGATCCAGAATCTTGCAAAACAATTTCCTTGGACTGTACGCCCGCGTGACGGAACATTGCCGCATTGTTGCATTACTTGACCGTCGGAAATGCGAGCAAAATAACCCGGAGGAGAATTACGCTTCGAATGCTTCGAGTAGTTGCGATTTTAAACGCCTATTTCCGACTGCAGGGAATTTCCAAGGAGACGAAAATGATAAAAATGGTAATTTATGATAAAGGAAAGCCTCTATTACACAAACCTCCGTTATTCCAAGGAAATCATGGTTGAAAATCGATCCAATGAAAAATGCAAAAATGCAAAAAGGCTATACGAATAAGTGACGAGTGGTGTGGATTGCACTCGTTTAAGGAAACAAATATACTGATAATTGAACAAACGAACGTTAAATTCTCATTAAGTGAACAGCTTTCCCATCGTACGACGCTTAAATAGCCATTGTTTCCTGATTCCGTAGGATGTGCAGATTATGCAAAAATGTTTCCTGGCGATTACGAAAAGTGGCCATTTCGATCATTGTACTTTCTGCTCGGCGCGTCGTCGTTCCCGCTATTTTTACGTGGGCGCTCGTGTCCCGCTAGAGAATTGACCGAGGCCGCGTACGAATCGTTCAAAGAACTCGAAGAAGGCCGCGTACGCGATTTAACGGAGTTCGCTGGCCAACCACGCGGTTCTTTTCTCTATAATCGCAACAACGATTCGCCTACGAATGGCGTTTCACGGCGCGAACCAACGGTTGCTTGGTATCCAGATACGTCCAATTCCAAGCAAACGAGCAACGGTACTACCTGCTGACCGCGAGTGACCGTATGTGAGGAAGAGATAAACACTGACAATCTTCGAACCTCGCTAGATTGTTGTTCGCGCAACGATAGCGATAATTCGAGTTCCCGTTTCTCTTCTTTCGCGCGGGGTGACGCAACCGCGGAACACCTGTCGCGGAAATCCACGAATTCCGCGAGTACCCTTTTAACGTAAGCAAAGTTGGGTAATATACGCCGGCCTTCGTATGCAAAAATGTTGACGAAACTGGAATGGATCAAATTACCGGTTATGCAAGTCGATTACGCAACGATGCACTCGACGAAATATTGGTGCAAATGTAGATCAGCCACGTTATTTGTATTTCATCCGCAAGATGATTATCTCTGATAGAGAAATAAATTCTACGACTTCTCAATAATCGTTAGAGAGAAATAATTCGAGCAACGGTGAAATCGGGTCGATCTAATAGTCGAGAGGCGTGGGATGCATGCATAAACAAGGCCTCGGCTACCACGAACATTCCTTATTATTGCTTTATATTACGCAAAAGGTGATGGTCATTCCGGTAACGTAATCTCCAGTGTTTCAAGGTGATTACAATTTTTTCAAATGGCATTGTTTTATAAATTAAATAATTTGAACACACGTCGAGGGGATTTCTAGCTAGACCAGAGAATAGAGAAGAGTCAACGCGTGAAACTCGAGATCTATTTTAGATCCAATGATCACATCGTCCGGGGGGGCTGAGAAAATATGTTTACGAGAGTAGATTACAGGGAAATTTCCCTACGTGCGACGTCGCGAATCTCTCGAGCTCGATTTTACGGACTCGCACCCCGCGGCGTGTTCGCTCGGGTATCTCGATCATGGATTGCTGGCCACGGTTAGCGATACGATATACGCTTAGAAAGTTTCGACCGAGCACTTTTCCCGCCGCTGGGCTGGAAGGAACGCCGTGTACGACACGCTCGTCCAGGAATGCGATTCGCGAATGGATTACCCGCTATTGTGGTTTCTCCAGAGTCAATAGAATCGACCACGGAACGGACGTTTGTCGTCGCAAACGCCCAAAGGCTGTGTTCGTACTCGGGTACGTTTCCGCATGATCGTTACCCGACCGAACCAAGTCGAGGATCACCGCAAGTTTTCGCGAACGAAAGTACCGACGTCCTGTTGCACGAACAACTCCTTTGTTTCGATTAGTTGTACAGCGAGGATCGTCGCTTCCGCCTCGAAACCTTCGATTATCGCTGCTGGCGAACCGTGTCAACGAAACGCTGTTGCTTGGAAGCCGGGATCCATCGATCTCGCGTTCGCGGCACCGTCGACCATTTTCACTGGAAATTACTGCGGACGTTTCGAAAAGCTCGTAACGGTGTTCCCCGTTTCGGAAGCAAAAAGAAACCCGTTCTTTGCGAACTTTTTGCAAGGAACGTACAAGCATGAATAATCCGAGATTTTAGCAGAGAATTGTACACGATGTTTACCACGCTTTGACATTTTTTAATGACGAAAATACGAATACAGTTCGTTCGCGAAGCTCGCTGAAGTATGGGCGGTTGAAGAAACGTCGGACGGTGGAATAAAAATTCCGTCTATTCAGAAGCGAAGGTTTCAAACGAATTCTAAATTGGAAGTTTTCAAAAAGTTACATTTCTTCATCGTACAAATGAGAATACTTTGATTGCAAATCGGCCGCGATTGTTTCCAATGGGCGCATAAGAAGCGTTGGAAATCGTTTAGTATTGCGTGTAATATCTTTTTATCCGTCACGCGCCACTCGGTCACTTAACTCATGCTCTACTTCACACTTAATTAACTTATCAGTTCATTGCAACCATGAACACGATGCGCCCGACATTAATCGCGAATTTTCTATTGGCAGGTCGTTTCCATGATGCTTAACGAATCGTTAATCGTGTGCAATTACAATACATCCCTGGCACAATAACAAAAACGGCTCGATTTGCAGTCTTGCACGAGCAAAATAAATTAATTTCGATTTAATTCAATCCGCTTAGTTTTTATTAATATTTCATCTCTCAGAAAGATTTCTCGACTTTCTTTTTCATTTAATTTAATTTACATTTCGTTACGATTTGTTTACTTTTCCTTTCTCGAAGCAAAACTAATTGGTCCACATTTTACGATGGTGACTCGAACTTTAAATAGAACCGATTGATATTAAGCGCGTTGCTCGCGCGAGACTGCGGGCCAAGCCTTTGTTAAGCAAACGAATAAAAAACGATCGACGAGCCGTGAAGTTAAATAGAATTTCGACGTCCTCGAGTACGTTTCTTCCCGTTAACAGGGCAACGGTTGCTCGTTTAGAGGCGATTTGGAGATCGACGGTAACAGGTACTCGACAGGTAGTTGCTACTCACCGGAATTTGACCGTGGTACCTGAGGGCGTCGGGGTCAAGTGGGTTACGGCACTTTGGTATTCGTCGGTGGTCCGTTGGCGAGAAAATTCGGTGCACAGGAAAGCGGCACAAAGCGAGAAAACGTCGGTTTTACGAGCACTCGAAAGTCGCAGCGAACGGCAGGCCGCGACGCGTGTTTCTACGGCACAACTGGCTTTCGAGAATTCCCGCTTGGAATGCCCACGAGGACGAACGGTATAAGATGCTTCGACGCTGGCTGCCTCGACAAATGGAAAAGGCACGGTCGAGGCATCTTCGCCGCGCCTACAATTACGTGCCCGTCTTGTCTATCCCTCATCGACGCTCTCCGACGCGTTGCACCGCCCAAAGACGCTTATTCCTTAAATAATCAAACCGTTTAACGAGCTTCGTATAAAAATCTTTCTCGTAAAAATCGCGAGATTACGAGATAAAATCGTTACGGTAAAAGCGTGAACAAATTGTTATAACGCATACCAGTTTCACAAGTAAAAGTACACAGGCTCCGAATTAATGATACTTTTACTCATAAATACGTAAGCCAACTGTTTATATTCAGTAAAAGTGGGCGTTAATTATGTTTGTCCTATGATCCATTGCATTTTATAGCAATGTTAAACGTATAGAAGAAGAATAAACAGAGATTTTTGGTCAGGAAACTGTAATTGTGTCTTTCGCCCTATTCCTCGGGCGAACGAGAGCGAAAAGAATGATAAAGTGGAAGATATTTCTTAGCTTTCGCGCTAATGTAAAACATAACCCGATGAACAATTGTTCCGGTTATGCGGGAATATGAATATTCGTAATAAATGTTCGAAATCTGCGAGAGAAGGTTCTACCAGTCCGTGGAAAAAAATTAATTTTAATTTGCTTAAGGGCACCGTGCTCGCGGCGATTTTTCTTATTGTGTGCTCCATTCATGCAAAGATATATTGCACCTCTTTCCGTTCTCCTTCCGCGAACGAATAAAGTAGAAACAGCGTGATACGACTTTTGAAAACCCTCGCAGAAAAGGGCTCCTGTTGAATACTTAAAGGGCTGTTCCTTCCTTTTGCACCAAAAATATGTAGTGCTTTTATTTAAAAAGTTATAGAACGAAACGTAAGTCGAGTGTGCGTCTGAATTTTTAATCTACAAAATTATCTTTAGAATCTGATATTTTTGTAATCCTGGTTTGGGCTACGAAGATGTTCGTAGAACACGCATATAAAATTCCACGTAAATTGGTCAATTACCTCTTTCGATACCGCGGAAGCAATTTTCTGCAACATAGTTTCAAGAAAAGCGTGTTTAAAGCTCATTTCAGCTCATTTTCTATTTGCGCGCAGCTTACTTTAAGTCTCTGTAAGTCATCTTTCAAATTTCGTTATATTTAACACGCAGAAAATGTAAGAAAGAGGAATCAATGAGTATTACCCATAAAACATGAAATTATACAAATCGAGAAAGCTTAACTGACGGGCGTAACGTGCATCTGAAAGAAGAATAATTTCGTTGAATCCTCAGGTCTCTTTTATTCCCAGACAATTCTTTTTAATTCGCTTATTCCTAAACCCATGTATTCCGACGACTGTGACAAAGCGTTAAGAGCTTCTTTCAACGAGTGCAACGCGCGTTCGGAGGGGAAAAAATCGATTAATTATTTTAAGATCGTAAAAATCCCGTGACGCGACGAAGGCCGTAAAATGTATTATTTGAAGAAGTACTAACGACTGCGAGTTGCGAAACGTGTTTTTCATTTCATTCGGTTAATCTATCATCATGGCTTCCGTCTAGCTATCAACGAAATTGTGGCCTGCAATGACCTACATACTACTTGATCGATTAATTTTCCTTTGGCCCCGTTTCGCTTGCAAATTTTAAGATCATCGTACGTCGTAATTCATTAAACGCTGAAGCAGACGCGCACGATGCAACAGTAAAGTAAACAACATAAAGGGGTCAAAACGTCGGAGTCTAGTTTCTAGCTTCTGTTTTAAGAAAAGAAGACGTTCAAATTGCGTCGTTAATCGGCAATTAATTTCTCGGGTGAAACTTGACACAGGGTAGAGAATTGTTATTAAATGTATATGCCTGCTCAATTCTATTCGTACAGCGAAGTTCATAGATTTTAATTACGAGTCTTGATCAAAGTAGGTAGCAGACTCATCGGATAAATTTCAGTCACGACTAACCCCTTTCAGTACTGTGTCATTGTGCGACAATGCTGTACGCAGGCAGAAAATATTCGTTTCCAACGGGGATCGCATATTAATTTATCGAATAAGTCCGCGCGTGGAATTCATACTAATGACTTCGCTGTACCGCAAGGCTAAGTTAACGATGTTAATTTGGAGTTATAATAATTTAAACAATATGTATAAGCAAGACGTTGTTGCAATCCTTTTGTAAACCCTTTTTCCAAACTTGTTTCTTTGAAAAAATTAATTTTAATAAAGCAACGTTAGAATATTTCACGGAAGCGATGCTTGTACGCTGCAATAAATTATATAACAATGTCGTTACGTTGCAATTATCCAGTCTATTGTTTCCCTGTTACAATACGCGATCTCGGTGAAGCAACGTCGACATAGATTTGAATTTTCCCAGTCAATTTTCTAACGATGGCAACACTGATGTTACTAGACTAGGAAATTCACTATGGCGGACGAAGTGAAGGCCGTGGAGGAGGGGCAGTGTCCGAGAACGTGCGTGTTTCTCGCTCACTTCCTTTTGGGACACGAAGGTGAGAGGTCGTTCTGTTTTTACGTAATTCTCGATTCGATAGTTGTTTCTTTATTGCATTCGCGCATAAATGTTTCGTTCAATCACCGTGAAATATACGTACAAATCGAGGAAGATTCGTAGAGCACCAGATTTGCCTCGTAGTTCGCGTAATTACTACGAATTGAGGGGAAATGGCTGAATCAATGGAAGGTAGTGGCGAGTACGTTGGCCACGTGGCGAAGCGTCTCACGTCGGAAGAGATCGAGAGAATGGAGACACAGAATTCTCGTTTAGTCTCGGAGTTTCGGGCAAATCAGCTCGAAAAAGACGCCAAGAAATACTGGGATATATTTTATAAACGAAACGACACTAGATTCTTCAAAGACAGACATTGGACCACTCGAGAATTCAGCGAATTGTTGGGCTTGGGGACGGAATCGAGACCAAATGTGCTTCTCGAGGTGGGCTGCGGCGTTGGCAATTTTATATATCCATTGATCGAGGATGGATTAAAATTCAGAAAAATATTTGCTTGCGATCTCTCCCCCAGAGCAGTGGAGTTAACGAAGGTATAGTAATCTTATCGTGTGCTTCGAATTCACTTATGCACGCGTTTGCTTAAATTATGATTCTTTACAGAAACACGTGCTCTACGATCCAGAGATCATGAATATTTTTCAAACCGATATCACGATGGATAATTGTTTCGCCGACGTGGATTGCCCGATAAATGCAGCTACTTTAATATTTGTTTTATCGGCCATACATCCCGAAAAATTTCGAAAGTAAGTGCGATCCTGTACTTCCGATATAATTACACTTTTTTACGGCTATCGATCGCTGATTGGACACGTTTAATATATTTCAGAGTTGTGGAAAATTTGTATAGTATCCTTGACAATGGAGGAGTTGTGCTCTTGAGGGATTATGGTCTATATGATATGGCTCAATTGAGATTTAAACCTGGCCATAAAATTAGTGAAAACTTCTACATGAGACAAGATGGAACCAGGTAAATATCTTCCTGTACAATGCATATTTATTTATGAAGATATGCATAGCTTTTGCAATTAACAAGGTTTTGGTTTTGATGCACAGAACATATTATTTCACCGTGGAAGAAATATCAACTCTATTTGAATCTGTTGGCTTCAAAACTTTAACATGCACTTACATACAGAGGCGTACTGTAAATTTAAAGGAACATATAGATGTGCCTAGAATCTTTGTCCAAGGGAAATTTGAGAAACCTCAGTAATCTTGATACACCAGGTACGTATTCCTTAAATGATAAAAAGAATAATATTGTAGGTAATATGTATGATGAGTTCATAGTTCAACTGATTTTTATTGATGTTTACTCATATGTCTTTCGCTCCTATCTGATAACTCTATAGTAGAATACTAATTATCTCATTGATAGTAATAAATTGTTTAGATGTCTGTATTTTATATTGTAGAGAACTTTGCATTGAATTGGGAGCATGGTGGAACTTAAGAGTACCATTGCATTTGGTAAGTACACATTTTTTATAATAGAAAACGGAATTATCGAGAATATATATATTTTTATGATGAGTTCATAGTTCAACTGATCTATACTGAAGACAACTAATATTGTCTTTCGCTCCTATCTGATTGCATTCTAATTATTTTGATATAAGTTAATGCCAGCAAGAACAATGAATTTATATATACTTTTTTCTTTATCAGACTAAACCATTCACTAGCAATAGTGTTATTGAAATCAACTAAAATGCGATGGTAAGTATAGTTAATATATTATCTCGTATAACGTTGCCTTAACCTCAAATTTCAATGATGTTAGTTTTTGTTTTTGAACTGTAATGATATATACCTTATATTTCGTCACTACCTCTGAGAAACACAAATGCACTTTTTAATAAATAATGGTTTTTAATACGACAAACTATAACAATTATGTTTTTGTAGGAAAAACCGTAACTTTCCAACACTACACTCGCGAAACATTGAAGCGCGAGTTTGAATTGGTAAGACAACATTCGATATATCGATACAATCGATTTCTAATATGTCGATGATGAATCTTCTTTTAAATGATTTAAATGATTCACAATCTATTAGCTCTATCTGAAATTCTTTTATTATCGTTATATTTATAAAATTATTCGAGGACGATTGCGAATGATAATTTCTTTACAGGTTAACAGACGGCTGCTCCAGAAGATGACACTAAACGAATATTTTATTGCATTTAATATAGTTTTGTATGTTGTAACAAATAAAGTATCATTAGAAATATATTTTTAACGATTATTTAATACCCGAAATGTAATTTTTATTAAGCTTCTGCTTGCTGGAATGCTGAAAGATATAAAAATGTTAGGAATTGATTTTATTTACTTTTAAAACTCAGTTACCTTGTTGAGCGCGTCTTTCTACAATTATCCATCGAAGCGGGCATCTTTCACAAAGAATACAAAGTGTGCAGATGAGTGTAACCAATATTATAACGACAATAATTAGGAACAACATGCGATTCGATAAGCTATGCAAATTCGAGATGTATAAAGAAATATTTATTAATATAAAACGTATTGTCGATTTTCGAGTACCCGTGCTTCGGTTTTAATGTATTTTCTTTTATCATAAATGGACAGGATTGACATATCAAGGGTTATAAGAATTTTTTAATTGCATAGCATTTAATAATACAATCGTTCGAATTTGTAACAGTGGCCAACTTCAATGCATTCAAATTCATAGCAAAATGTTTAAAGGGTGTTGATACACTTTGCCAAGGAAGGATTTGAAAGTGAAGCCGTCGAGACGAATAAATTGCATCAGGATTATTAATTAGGTAAAAAGATGTCGCGTTCCCGTTTCGATTTGGCCGTAGAACTGGATCAGAATACGATAATGTTGTATTTCTTAGTGCGCAGAATACGGCTTCGTTAATTATAGAAATAAATGTATAATCACGTGTCGTCTGGTACCTGTCATTAAAATCGCCGATTATTTGAAAAACGGATTCGTTACCGCGATAACGACGAATCCTTAATTTTTTGTTGAGTAGGATCCGAATCCGTATGGGAAATAAAACTTGTTTGTATTCTCGAAAGAGTACTTTTACATTTCATGGTCACAGATGAATAAAACAAAATATGGAACGAACAACTGCCCACCTAAAATTCATTTGAGTAGAAAAAAAGGCACTAAAGAAGATCGGTATGCAAACGATCGATCGAAGGATTTATCAGACACGTAATTCGTGTGCGTTGAAAAAATATATTGCGCAATTATCGTGATTTCTTCCTATAATTAAATTCGATACATCAAGGGCGCGCCCTTCAATTCTAAAAGAGGTTCGATGTTTGCATTTGTGGTGAGAAAGCGTGGAAAAACTAGAACTATCGTTGCACGAAACCAATTATTACGTCGAGCATTCGTAAGAAATATGGTCGTTATGCAAATGTTTCTCGAATAAAAAACGCGAGAAAATTGTTTACGCTCGTGTGTCGGCGTTTTGTTACGAATCTGGATATTTATTTATTAAGGTTCAGCTCGAACGAAGAGGTGGGACGAGCATTTGCAAAAATCTCTGAAACGAAAGCCAGCCATTGCATTAAACAGTTCATTAATTAAATTAGAACATGTTCTGCTACTCTGTGGTATTTTTTCAGTAAGTTAGATGCATTGCTTAATGGTTCGACTACATTTCTGGATCTAGGTTTCATCAAGATCCTTGCAAAGCGTGATTTTATTTAGAAAAAATCTACGTATATCGGTTAAATGCAAATTATAGAAAGTTATTCGATAAGCATTCCTTAAACTGCATGCGTTTCGCACAAAATAGAAATGAGAACGTCGTCACAGGTTTAATATTACTTTTGTGGAATCTAATTACGTACAATAGACGATTGTCTATTATGTTTCTGTTTTCTTTGGTTCATTTTATCGTAAAAATTTAATTGATATCGCGTAACGTCGAGGATATATTCTCCGGCACTTGTATGGTTAGTTGCGCGATAAAATTTCCATACATTTTGCTGTTTTTCCTCGTAAAATGTTTCTGATTCGTACAAACCAGATTCCAGGTACGTTGAAAAATATTTTCCTCGAGTATGAACATTACAATATTATTTTTTCTTCGCGCAATATACTTGACCGATATTTTTAGAGCCATCTGCCGCGTAAAACGTATCTCTTGGCTTTGATTGCACGCGTCAACGAACCTTCGAGTACACGCTGATTTGTTGCGCATCGAGTGCCGTTCCGTCACTGTCATTAAAGTTCAGGGAACTCGTTACAATTGTATCGCGGCGTGTACGTCTTAGTATTACGTCGTATGTGATAAAACACTTTCGTCCGTATTTGGCCGATTGCCAAGGTCTCTTGCTTCATCCATGTGCATCGGAGGTTGTACATGGCTCTGCCACGGAATACGTGAACGAGATTCCTTAGCAGACCTCGTCGACGTCTGCGACAACGTCGAATGCACACGTATGCCCGTTACGTATGCGACTCCGTAAACAATAAGACGTGGAACAACCCTGTGTTACATCCACCGTCTCACCCAGCACACAACCTCCACACGCACTTGTGTATCATCGCGTATTGATCAATCGGCGGATGACGCGTGTAGGACAATCTGACCGCCAGGTATAAAAGGTATCCACCAAAATGCAAGAGCATCATTCAGTTTTAGTTCAACACAGAAGCTGATCTCGAAAACTCCACTAAGCTCGTCAACCATGAAGTGCTTCGTCGTAAGTACAGAAGATATTACATTTTACTCGGTTAACGACTCTATTACCCGGTAATTGCGTTCTTATTAATAATTCTGTAATCTCGATAGCCTTAATTTGTTCTTCATCCGCGATTATTATTCGTCGATAATCACCCGATAAATGGAAGCTCTTTAACGTGAACGCGCGCAATAAATATTGCAATTCGCCAAATTATTACCGTCTCATTATTCGACGAGATAATGCCAGGCACTTTTTCGGGCTATCAGGCAACACCGGACACTGACGCGACTGTAAAATTACATACATTTTGTATCATTGTGTAATGTATTCGGTACAATTGCAGTACTGCTAAGGCTTTTAGATTAGAACGTTAACGTTGTCGATTTAAAGAACATAAAATTCTTTCTTTCTTAGGTTATCCTCCTTCTGGCCTTGTTCGCCGTAGCGTTCTGCCAAACGAACCCGGTCGAACCCGAAAAATTGGAGCCAGAACCCGCACAGGATGCCCCGAGGGACAAAAGAGGAACATTCCTGGCCTACACTGCGCCGTATACTTATCCCTACTTGCCTTATGCTTACTCCTACCGCACCATCCCCTACTCCTACTACCCCTACTATCTGTAAGCGACAAGATGAGGACCTTCTGAGGAATTTCTGACACCAAGACTTGGGAACGATCATGGCAACTCTTTTCGAATCGATTCCAATTGCGACTAGAACAGGACAAGACCGAACGGTTGCACAAAATTCTCTCCGATGTCGACAATCGCATTCGTTGCAACTATTTTTCGATGTAACTCTAATACTCTCTTATATGTGACACGATCTTAAATATAAAAAGTATAATAATTCATTCGAAATCTGTTCGATTTGTGACATTTCTTACATTCTCTGCAATCGATAACCGATGCTCGTGTATATGAATATCCGGCACGAATGCAATTTCTATATGCCGCACAGTCGCGAGCGTATTAGGTATGTATCTGCAGTTTCATCTTAAATACGAGAACGCGTCGTAAAGTGTCGTCGTATTATCGCGACGCACACTTCCTGTCGCGGATGCAGTGAAACTGCCAACAAAATCCAGTGGAGTCATCGGATGCAGTTTGCCGTAGCAATTCTAACATCATTTAGGCCATAGTATGCAATCGTTCGAGAAGAAGTTACGTACCGATGCGTCGCCTAGATTTCTAAATTCGAAATTTTGTTGATCCGTTTTCCCTTACCGCCCATGATAATTCTGGAACGCGAAATATAAACGTTCGATTCAATTAATGGGAGAGTTATTTTCGATCGAAGACACTCCGAAAATAATCTCATAAATATGGGATCCGCAACGCAAGAATAAATGGTCCCATTCCGGTATTCATTGCAGCACAGCTCAAGCACTTTATAAATGGCCATTGTTCGATACAGCTCTGTCACAGTAACTCGCATTTATTTTGTCAAAAAATACCAAATCGTTCGGAATTTAATAAATCGCGATCGCTCGTTCTCATCCTGATGTCGCTTCAAGCATCTGTTCAATATTCTATCGATTACGTGGAGTTTATCGATAATTACATTTGTACATCGTAGAACGGATTGAAGTTTGCAAACCAATGAACCGTATGACAAATTTTACTAAACAATTCTGCCAGTTGTTGTACAGCTCGTCGAATTAAAAACGTATACGTCGACCACCTCGTCGTACGACAGTTAATGTGTTAATTATATGCAAGAAAGTTGTGCTAGCCAAGTTAATCAAAGTCGCAGATAAGTTGATCGAAACGTATTAATTATATTCCGTCTGTATGTAAATTCTAAAGACGTACACGTTTCTTCAATTTCACCGTTTCTGTCGTTTCTTGGTGCAACTCGTTATTCCAGTTTCGAAGCATGGAGTTCTATTCAATTCAATTTCAGTTTACCAAATACTGCGAGAGAGCGTACTCAAAACTTGTCTGTTAAATGGCAATTTGTTTCCAATAATCTGCTGCGCGAGGTTTTCGAAGCCATCGCGAACCACTTTAAACTTTTCAAACGAAAAATTTTCACTGTTGACTCTCTAAGCGCGAAGTGAGAACTGGATGCACGGGTCGGGGTCGATTAAGTAGCCCCGGGCAAAGCAGCTACAAGAGCTATTGTAATTTAAAGCAGCTTTGCAGCAAGGGGATGACTATAGATCACTAGAGGAGAGAATTTAAATTAAACAGAAATTATATTATTTCGTAGAGGACGTAGAGTGATATGGTCGTCCAGGGGTTAAGGGGTTTGGACGATCGAAGAAATTGGTGACTTTACGATTTCGTTATCTAATCGAACTTGGTGAATCGCAATGGGTTCGCGTAACGACGACAACAAGTTCGAATTGTTTCAAGGAATACGAGCGCGCGTGACATACGCGTAATCGTGAATTACACAATAGGAATATATCACTATAAATGAACACTTATTCCGTATTCTTCGGGACTTGATGACTTTAAGTACTTTCACTGAAGCTCCGAAGGATACGGACGTGACGGGAATGTCCCCGACGTCGTTCCTCGCAACCGCGGAATGGCTGTCAGGAGCTCGACGGAAGTTAGACTGACGCTCGTATCCTCTCGTCTCGGATTTTGTCATGGAACAAGGGAATTTATTTACGCTCGAGAACACGCGCGGGGTCCCATTGTTTACCTCGATATCTTGTCTCACGTGTGTCAATGATTGGCGCAAGACTAAAAAATTATCATCGACCATTATGCACATACTTCTACAGCGAAGGAAAGGGGACACCGAGTTATTTTAATTATTCCTATTAATTTTTGTCATTCCTGATATTTCAATTTCTAGGATATTGTAGGATCGACACGTCCACGGCATAAAAACGCCATGAAATTCACGAGTAATTGCGAGAAGACGATACTCTACATCGATATGTGTAACATCAATCCGTAACAGCATTGCCTAAGTGTGATCGATGAAAGTCAGCAAGAAAGTCTATTGTAATTCGTGGATGGTCGCGACCCGACTGTATTTATACATGTGCAGGTATGGCCGTGGTCTTAGTCGACGGGAGACTGTCCATCCTTGAACGAATTAGTTGTTTTTAGCGCTGGTGCTCCGATTAAATGTCGAGGGGTCCCGCGAAAAGTATAATTCTGGCGTAGGAACCGTTCGTGAAGTGATAAAGTGCAACTCGGATTAAAAACATGAAGTTCCTTTTGGTGAGTAACGTTCAGAATTATTTCCTTTCATCCTCGCGACAGAAATAATTTATGTTACGTTGTAAAACGGTCCTTTTACGCGCGCTTTGCTGAATAAAACGAATAAAAAGTACGACGATCGTTAATATTTACGATTAGAAAACGCAGTTATCGCTTATTTTCGTTTTAGGTGACGTGTCTGCTAGCTATGGGTTTACTCTCCGTTGGAGCAGCTGCTGAAGCCGACAGAGCCGAAGAGAAGCCGGAGATTACAAAGTTAGAGTTGCTCGATCTCGGTGCGGGAGAAAGCGACGTCGACGCGGATGATTCGGAAGTGCAAAGAAAGAGGGATTCTGGCTACACGTACAAGAGGCCTTCGAGGCTACGTTTCCAGCTGGAACAAAACGGTAACAGAGGCCGCATCGTGAACAGGCATCCTGCCCAAATAAACAGACCTGTCACCAAATACGGACCGCCCGGTTATCAGAATCCGTCACCGTCCAGACCCCACGGCCAGCAGCACAGAGACAAATTACAATTCCACCATGGCGGCCAACAGCATTCGAGCAACCACGACAACCGACCGAACGGCTATCTGGAACAGGAAGTTCCGAGCCCAATACGACAGATCGACTTCGTCGAACCGAATCCGATATCCAGCCAGAACAACGAACCGTTCGCCTCCCACTCGGCGAATTACTTGCCGCCGCAGAACCAGAAACTACCCGGTTACACGTCGCCGCAAACGTTCTCCCTGACGCACGCCGCGCAGAATTTCCAGAACAACGGACAGCCGGCGAGTTTCCAGAGTCAGAGTATCGTGCAGTCGCCGGAACAGATCTCGGACGCGGCTCTGTTCCTCGCACAGAACGCCAACGCGATCCAGCAACTCTACGGGGCACCCGCCAACGAGCAAGACTTCGCCCCGAACAACGAGAATCAGTTTGCGGGGCAGAACAACGATCAGGTTCAACAATCTATCGGTCGGTTCCAGACCTTGGAGACCAGCTCGCTGGGTCCCAACGGTTTCACCGGGCCCCTCCCGTCGTACGCGTCCGGAACCCTGAGCGCCCAGGAGACCCTCGAGCAAATCCAGTCCCTCGAAAAGGACAGGCTGATCGTCCAGCTGCAACGAGCCCTCGCTACCCAGAGCCAGGCTGCGGACGCGGCAGGAAGGTACGCTCAAAATCAGCCGAGCTTCGTTCAGAATCAAGATCTTCTGGCTTCCCTTGGACAGCGAATGAAGATTCACGGTTCAAACGCGCAACCGGGTACCGCGAACGTCGGCCCCGAAAATACAGCTTTCAATCAATCGCCTTTTTTGCCAGGGACAACGATCAGTCCGGGGTTACCGCTTAACTACGGGCTGCTATCGACCACCACGTTGCCACCGACGACCACCTCAACGACAACTACCACGACCGTGCAACCTCCTCAGGTTACGAAAGGCGACGGAACCACTCAGGTCGGTTCCAATCTGCTGCCTACGCCTTCCCTACCGCCGTCCACCGCTGGACTACCCGTTTACGGCGGCTTCGTGCCAACCCTGATCGCTGGTACAGGTTTCCTATCGAACGTTCCTTCCTACGGACCCGGGTTCTTCTCGCCCGGGACCGTCACGTCCGTCCAAACGTCCGGCTCCTCGCCCACGCACTTCGGAATACCTATCCCCACGGATCTCGGTCAGAAGCCAACGTCCACGACCACGCCGTCGACCCCTGCCAACCCCTCGACCAACCAACCATCCACCCCTTCCTCACCCCCGATTCACACTGTGCCTCTTCCGGTTCACCCAGTGACTCCTCTTCGTCCAGTGACGCCTCTGCAGCCTGTGCTTCCGGCGACCCCGGCGCAGACACCGTCGTCCGCGTATCCGGCTTACGGGATACAGACGCCGGTGCTCAACCCGTTCCTCTACAAGCCCGTGAAACCCGTCTACCCGCTGTACTATTACCCGAACGTCGGATATCAGCTGCAAAAGCCAGCGGCGGCGACTTATCCGTGGAGCTACGCGCCGACCTACGCCACGCAAGCGAAACCGGCCCAAATATGGAAATGACGGGCGATCCAGTTCCTCGCGAGTGAATCGTAACTCGCCCACCCATTATCGAGACTGACTGTTTGCCCGCGCGGAATCGGAGAGACCGAGGAGACCCGTTTGGAAGAACGCGACGAATTAATATGAACGCCGGCGCTACCCCGATCGTGGCGTTAATCGTTTTGGCTGTGCGTTCGCGGATACCCCTAGAAATATCTTAAGCGTCGATTATTGTTATTTGTTTACACGCACCAGCCCTTAGCGTTATATCGGTAAATGGTGCTTCCGGTTTGCTTATAAAGATAAACTTGCTTTTCGTATTCGTATCATGTGGGATAAACGGTATTTGTTCACACTTCTATGCTCTTCCATTGATGGAATCATGTATATACACCCGTTTTATTTATTACCATGAATAAATATTTTTTTACCGCCCAATTGGAGTTTTCTTTCGATAACCCATGTACACCTGTAAGCAACGATGTTCTGATTCTTGTAATTTCGACTGTGAAATTATGCGCGCTGACAACGCGAAACATATTCGGGACAATTCTGGTACCGCAAAGGCATTGTTTTCGGCAACAATGGGTAAAAGTAATAACGAATTCACAATGCCAACCATTCGGATGCAAACTGCTTGTTAACGTAGTTTCTTCGCTAGAACAAACCGACGTTCAATTCTGCTGAAAGTCAATTGCAGTCAGATTCCGTGGTGCTTTTCGTGATTCATAAAATGATTGTACTCTCACGAAGTATCGTGACGTTTCGTTTCTTGTTAATTTTAGGCACCATTCGCAGAAAGTTTCGAAACCATTCGAATTCCTCTAAAGGACTTGCTCGGCTCATGGCTTGCGTCCGTTTTGGCGTCGAGGAAAGTTGACCCTAGAGAAACGATTGTCTCGACTTCCGGCCCGCGCGGAACTCTCACCGAAGTCGTAATGGCCGATCGACCGATCCGCTGTACCTCGATCGTGACCTCGAAAGTCGTTCGATGATTCTAACCACGGTCAACGCGGCCAGATTACTCGGATAATCCTGAGCATACATAATACGCCCGTCGTCAGCAGGTGCACAACTTCCCGTAGATTTCGTAATAGTTGGCCGTGTTCCCGCGAGTCGATTCGACACGCATTCTTGCTAATTTCCTGAAGTCTCGCATTGATTATGCTTTTCAAGGGATAAATCTCTTCCAGAGCCTTTCTGCTGTCCCTGATACTCGCCGAGAAAATAGTCCGTAACACTTGAGACGCTTTGCGTTTTGGTGTTAGACCAGTTTCTCAACCTGTTCATCGATGACATTACACCGTGGCGCAACGCAACCACGAAACGCCATCAAACACTCGTGCGACCGGGTTAAGAAAGTAAAACGATGGGCACTCGCACGATTATACCGCTAAATGCGCTAGATTTCTACAAATCTGACTGAGCAGGTATAATTGCCCAGCGGTCAACCTATTTTCTGAAAACTCACGGGCACGGACGGAAAAACGGACGACAGTTACGAATGAACGGGCAGACGACGCTTCGTCACCGTGCGCGCACGAAACTAGCTTGTCAACTCACTTTCCGCGGTTGACCCTAATCTCATCCTGGTTTTCGTTTTAGCGCGCCCGGTGCACTTTTATAGTCTCGCCTCGGACCCGACCGAACGGGATTTCTTCTCGATGATACCGTTTGGATCTTGGGAAATCTACGAACTGCCCAACAAAATCGAAACGATTAAGCAATCTCTTACTTCTGTTTTAAAACTCTTTACCCGACGATGAACAGTACTGTCTCGCGTTAGGGATACTTGCGTTCGATTATTTTTAAAAGCAAAATAAATTCCAGCGGTTCCGTTGCAAGAGTACAGTAGAACAGGAGCGTTGTTTCTCCGTGATTTATGTTGACCGCTATAAATCGCTCCGGGGGGGCTCAATGTATTAAATTTATAACGTGGCGAAACGAAAGCATCCCGAGCCTCTTCGGTTTTTCTCGACATTAAGGAGTTCTTTACGATCGTGTTACTTAATAAGTCAACGCATACTATGTAACGCGTAACGCTTCGACGGGAAACAGAAACGCCACGTTATTTTCTATGCAAACGTTACAGTTCGTTCAAAACTGTTTTAATCCAGGGGAGATCTCGTCCATTGTTTGGAGCGACGGTCCGAGACACGATTCCTTATGGCGATATGAAACTATGCAAAGAAGAACAAGAGTTTGAGAAGCGTTCGTAATTACGCGTAACTCATTTGCCACTTTCACTTTTTAAGTAATGTGCGAAGTGCAACGTTATTGTACTTCATCGAACACACGTGTATTACGTTATTAGAAAATTAGTGCAACAACTCGGTTACTTCCGCTCGTATTCGCACACCGAGGAAGTACTAAATCAAAACAAACAACCATTAACTTCCACGTGAATTTTAATCCCCAACAGAGACCAGATATTAACCTCGTTAGAAATTTATGAACGGAGCTAGGAATTGTTAGACACAGAGTGGAACGAAAGAATCGATCCAGTTTCTGTTGAACAGGTTACTCGAAGTAGTCAAATATAAGAGTGGGCTTTACAGTTAGTTGCATTACTTTTTAACTTTTTCTATTTCGAGCTAATGAAAGCTAAAACTGCCTCGTAAATTGAAGTGGAATTGTGCGATAAAAATAAATAGAGAACGTTACTGGAGAACGTGACTTCTTTCGTTTATACTAAGTGTCTTGTGTAGTGCACGAATACGAATGAGAGTAACTGTAAGTTTTTCGACGTAAAACCCGAAGAGTACTATTTCATTTTATACTATGCACGCTGTACAGTTCATTTAATGCTCCAAATTTTTTCTATACGCGATCGACGTAGAGGCGAATGACAAAGTATTGCACTTTTGATGGTCCATGATTCCGCCCGAGAAACCGGACAGGAATAATGGCAGAGGCTTCATTCGTCCCACGAGTGAAAGTTTCGACATCAATCGGTGTTTTCAACTGTTACAGATCGTTGACACAACAGACGGTTGGCGCCGTTCTCGTAGCTAGAGATTGTGTTTTCCTTTTCTTTTTGCTTCTCGGGAGCCGAGCATCCTGTTCGTAAACGTTAACGACGTTGAGATAAATAATATGATTCTTGTTGAAATGCAAATTGCAACCAAACGTGTTTTTTGTAATTATGCTGATTCAGAGAAGGTAGCTCTTCTTTCCTTATTGATACGTCAGAGCATTCGTTCAATTCAATTCGTTCGTCCAAAAACAAGTTTGCTACGGAGTACACTCGAGACGAGATTCTCGACCACAATTTCATCTCGTATTTTACGAATCCGTACCACTGCCCGACGTCCACGATCTTGCAGCAATCTCGCTACTAATTTCTTCGTTCGCGACAGGATTATGCCTGGCAGAAATAGAAGCGTAAAAACACCTAAAATCTTCGTGACTTTTTGCTGGATGCTCGAGCATTTCACTTTCCTAGATCGAAGCTACTTTCAGCGGGTTGTAAATGTGGAGCGCGTGTAGCACACAAACCACACCTTCGTTGCTCCTTTCATATATCGATGCACATCGCATGCTTAATTGACAGGCGAGGAGAGAAGATGCTGCTTTCATTAAACACTCATCGAGAGCTCGATAGAATTTCGCGAAACCTCGTACGAGCTTCGACGCGTGACTGATTTGCGTTTTCCGTCGAGGTTTCTACCAAAGTACTTGTTTAATCAATTTTTATGGATCATTCGAAGAGTGAAAAGAAGAACGTTCAAACGCGAAATTTAAACTAAAACATTGACTCTAGCAATGAACTAGAATCCACCGTGGTTATGTTGATTATGCAGAATTGACTCGCGAACCTGAGTTAAATCATATCCTCCGATGCAATATGGTTTTTACTTCGAACTGCGGTTTCGCTACTCGTCCGGGGAAAAGGACTTTTTGTTGCCCCGAGTACACTGATTACAGAAGAACGAGGAACGTTCAGGATGCTAACAAATAAACGACTTCGTGAGAGAGAAACTGTTCAGACTGCCGTGGGTTCGCCCACGCGACAATCTGTTTTTTTTCCGGAAGGAAATCCAGTCTTCTTCCACGAGAAGAAAAAGAGCCCGCGTAATCCTTTTGCCAGACGATTTGACGAACTTCACAGAAACAGTACGATAGTTATGTCTGGTAAACGCCAGCCAATTATCCACCAGGAAGAAGTTTTAATTACCGGGTCCCGCGAGTGTCGGTTCTAACCCATCTCAGAACTAATTACCGAGCGCCGTGACGTATTCCCCTACACGGTGTACTTTCTTCGGTAATGCAATATGCCCAGGAACATTGTCGCCCGAGTAGAAATTGATCCACGTTTCGTTTCACGGAAATGAAGTTGCACTGTATGCAAAACGAAGTTGATACTGTGCGCGTTTCAGACTTTGCACAAGGTGGAACCCAATAATCGTGCGTTTCCTGCTGTCGAGGGAAGTTCGAAAAACAAGAAAATCAAGATCCCCGTAATTAACCGGTGCCCTATCAAATTCCGATAACGAAATTTCACCGGCGCTGAAAAGAAGTTTCTGAAAGGAACTTCGCGTACGCGTCCTAATTAGTCTCGTATCTGTCTCGGTCGACGTAATCCGAAAGAGGAAACGTCGTTTTCTTCCTACCTTTCGTAAGAGAGCATCGACTTCTACGAAAGGAAGTGGCAGTTTAGGATCGCTAGGAACAATGCGCGATAAATATCGATCTAGTCACTTTTACCGGGGCCCGGGCACTCTCATTTGCAAGCCTCGCATCTCCAGATACATTGAATCTACGATCGTCTGGAACGGGGCACCGTGAAGGTGGTGGTGCGCTATGTACCAGCGCGGGGAGACTCACCTTCACCTAGACCTTTCTTTCGCCGTGCGAGAGGGGATTTCTATATAAAAGGTCTCTTCTTGGTAGCAATGCCATCAGAAACCACAATTTCACTTACACACCCGGTTGTCACCGAGCCACGAGAAATAACGTACTGGATAAACACGTTTCGAGCCAACATGCGGTCATTGGTAAGCGTCTCACAGAATTCTAAATCGCGTACGTTCTCCCATTAACCGGATATTTATCACCTTTCGACGTCCACTCTCTTCGAGCGTAGATATTTTATTCGCCGTTATTTCGCAGATTCTATTGGGACTCGCGGTCCTCGCTGTTTCGAGCGTGTCCTGTCGGGACGCGCAGGGCGAGAAGCGATCGTTGAGACCACCTGGTAAAGGTAAACGTGGCGTCAGTGATTATTCCGGGGGCTACTCGTCCGGAGGATCGTCCTACAACTCGCCCGTGCACTCGAGCCTGTCTTCGGGATACAGCGGAGGAGGCTCCTCCGGAGGATATTCCTTGGGACACGGAGGCATCCAGAGTCTCCAAAGCTTGGGAGGCTCTCTGGGACACGGCTCCCTGGGATACTCGCTGGGATCGTCGGGTCTGAATCTGGGCTCCGGAGGACTGGGCCTGGGTCACGGATTGGGTCTTCAAGGGCTCTCCCTGGGCGGACACGGCCAAGCTTCGTACTCTTCGCCCAGCGTCGCGCTCTTCGCTCCCTCGAAGAATGGACCTGTCACTTTCGGCCAAAACGGAGGCGGAATCTCTTCGGCGAATTCCGGTTCCAGCAGTTACGCGGCGCCAGTCTACGCAACCGGAGGCCACGGACTGTCCAGTTACGGCAGCGGAGGATCCTCGAGCAGCGTCAGCCTTCCGGCGATGCTGGGATCCTCTCACGGCTCCTACAGCCTGCCAACCTCGTCTCTGAGCTCATCTGGACACAGCATTCCCCTTCAATCCCTCGGCTCGGGTTCCTCCCATTCGGTGACCGGAGGATTGGTGATCGACGGGAGTTCGTTCGGAAAAGGTTCCAGCGGTGGTTCCAGCACCTACATCCCGATATCTTCCGGATCGCACTCCGGTGGATCCAGCAGCTACTCGTTGCCTGTATCTTCTGGATCATCCGGTGGCCACATCGCTCTCTCCGGCGGATCCTCCGACAGCTCCAGTTACTCTCTTCCTGTTTCTTCCGGATCGTCCGGCTCGAATTCGTACTCTAATTACATACCTTCCTCCTCCGGAGCGTCGTCGTACTCTTCAGGCGGTAGTTCCAGTTACTCGAGTCCCTCTGTTTCTTACTCCGGCGGTGGGTCCAGCTACTCGAGCCCTTCTGTCTCTTATTCCGGCGGTGGATCCAGTTACTCGAGCCCCTCTGTCTCTTATTCCAACGGTGGATCCAGCCACTCGAGCCCCCCTGTCTCTTACTCTGCCAGTTCCACCCACTCCAAGCCTACCGTCATATATTCTGGCCCCGGCTACCCTAACCCCATTTCCAGCTACTCGGACTCCGGCTCCAGCTACCCCAGCCATAGTTCCAGCTATTCTGGATCTTCTAGCAGCTACTCACCCAGCTACTCAGCACCGTCGACGTCGTACAGCAGCCCCTCGGAGCCTCACGGATCTTACTCGAATCTGAGCCCCAGATACGTCGGATACTCAGCTGGCAAGAGCTACGAGGGCCTGAGCGGCACTGGCAACAAATACGACACGATCTCGTACTCCAGTCCTAGCGGAAAATATTAAATTGTAGAAATCACCGCGCGCCGATACACATCCGAAAACGTCGATTCGCGAACGTCGATTTAGAAGCAGAAAGTCCCGATGGTCGAAGGACAGTGTGCTAATTTATAATTATGTTACTAGTATAATTAATCTATTTAAGTTGCCGTTGCATATTTATATCGCTGTTACTTGCTTTTAAGGACCGTTGTATGCGCTCTGTAACGTCGACGATCGCGTTTGTTATATAGCTTTATATCATTTTTTTTTATTGTAATAAAGTGATTCATTTTTTTTTTATAATCGCCAGACGTACCGTTTGAAACCTCTCGATCAGAAAATCCTCCAGCATGTAATGTATTCGCAAGCTTTCACCTAGACGCGTTCGCATCGTTAATTATCTAGATTCCTCGAGATTGAAAAAAAAAGGCACGGCAAATCGAAAATCCGGCCACACTCGGCTGCACCGTGCACGCAGATGAAATTTGCCTTCTAATTAACGAACGCTCGGCTATGAATTTTTTTCCGCGTGGTTGGAAAAGGTTAATTTACGGCTTGCCGGGGCCCCCCAAAGGATCCGCTTGGAAGTTAATTTGCATCCCGGTCAGCGGTACTCGTCAACGTTGTTATTATTCGCTCGTCGATCAGCGGAGGCTCCGTCACGATCGCCACGTTTTTTTTTTTTTTCATTCTTCGGCGTCCATTTCGCCGAGAAAGTTATCTGCACCGGGAAAAGTAAACGGGAACGGTAGCTGCTTAATAATAATAATTATTATTATTATTATCACGGCGACAAGAAGCGCCCCCAAACCGTAAAAAGAGGATCACTTTTACTCCAAGGCCGGTACCGGCGAAATGGGCGGATTCCTTTCTAAACCTTTGTTCTTTTTGGGAAAGTATCGCGCGTCCCCTACAAGTCCGCAGACCGGTTTAACATGATTCATAAGAGAACTTTTCTTCTGCCTTTAGTCCTACGACACTAACGATACCGGCTCGCTGTCGTTGTAATGTTTTATTTACATCTCTAGCCAGTAATTATTAAGCCTCCACGTTGTAACAGAAGAGGGACCGTAAAACATTATTTTATCACACTACCATAACAGTCAATATTCTCCTTTCTATCTTTCAGTCTCTGAAATCTTCATTTTGCCATGAAATGTACACATCGTACGTAACTATAGTAGCTGTGTTTCAACGTTTCTCCGCTGGTAGCATTAGGAAAGGCAGCCATCTTTTGGTCTGAACGTACTAAGCCTACTTCCGCGAGTCCTTAGAATGGATCTCCTGCCTCTTTTTTACCTCGATCCCATACTCCACATATTTAATACGTCTATTCTCTCTGGATCGCTTCGCTCTACCTGAAATCATGCTCCTGTTCACCCAATTCTTCTTTCGAGAATTCTCTTCGAGTCTACACTGTTTCAAAGACTCCGTAGCTCGACTCTTCGTTTTTAAAATACCCCGGTACCGGTTTTCACCGTATTTTCCTATCTTTCCCCGCAATATCACGACTCCCTCTTCGATATTGATGATCTTTAATCCTCCGCTTTCAAACGTGTCACCAGTTGTTATATTCTTTTACGCCTCGCTTGACTTTCCCTTTTCAGATTCGCCTTCTACTCGATTTATTTCCCCCACGCTCGTTTATTTTCGTCCGCATGTGTCCGTTTCTTTGTAGAACTTCATGGTCGAAAGGCGGCTGCGCCTCGACGTTTGGAAATTATTCGAGAACTCTTACACGTATACCTAATTGCTCGCGTTCCATTTGACTCGACAAACGCTTCTTTAAATAACGCTCTTTCTCGTCGGTGTAATTTGTTACATTTTCCTCTGTATTAATAGCGTCGCGCTGCGCCCGGGATTAAAAGTTTCGAGCTTAAATTAGTTCGAAACTCCACCAATTTTACTGTCTTTCCGAGAAGGAGGAGGGTACGGCCCGGTTCCATGTTGATCTAGAACTCTTCGAGCGGGGACGAGTATCGAAGTTTTCGAGCAACTAAAGAGCTCTATCGGACCCATCGGGGACGCGCCGAAGCTCGAAAGCGCCATTTACTCGACGAGCTTTTCAGGGAACGCAAATATTTAAAACTTTATAGGGAATGCCGAAACTCGAAAGTACTCGAACGACGGACCCGTATCACAGTAACCCGTCTTTGTGCTCTTATTGCAACGAATAAAAGTAATTTTCGATCGTCTGTTATCGGGCCACGTTCAAAGGATCCTCCGCGGTCGTTACGTCCTCCGTTCTTTGTCCGATCCGCGATACGAAACAGCACCCACACATCTAGAAAGCGCGCGGATGCGTACGCGCTGTATCCCAGGTGCCGTTCTCGAACGAGTTCGACCTACTTCCGGTCGATCGCACGTGCGTATGCACGAGTAAACACGCGTCTTCGCCGACAGAGACGCACAGTGTCTCGAAAGGACGATGGAAGAATCATTTTTTTAAAAAATCCCCGACTCAAAGAATTTATTTTTCATACGAGTGGCCAATTTTGGGACAATCTTAACGACTGAGTCGTTGAGAGAATCAGAAGAATCTGAAACAAGGTTTTATGGAATCCTTTGTCATTCGAAGCCGCCATGTATCGTCTCCTGTCTTTGCAAAGCCACGTTTCACTATTTTCCGACCGGTTCCGCGGACGACATACTTGCTCTTCACTCTCACGCCCGTCCTGGTAGACGCCTCGAGCAAAAATAGCGAAAATTCTGCTTTTATTTATCGCGGATCGACAAACGGAAATTTTTAATCGCGTACCGTCACGCTCAGGATGCCAGAATCGCCATTAAAACGATCAACAATGTTCATTGTTGTTTCGCCGGGAGCCGTACGATTCCGGATAATAAAGCTTTCCGCGATCGCTCATGCAAATACAGGGAGAAAATGCGAGCCATCGGATATCGAGGCGTATTTTAGATCACCGACGAACCTTTCCTCTCGACTCGTATTGGAAAAGGCACTTTCTCGGGCGAAACGTGTGCAACATCGAAGCTGTCGCCTCGACGCGAATCAAGTGCACGTTCTCTCGGGTTGTCTTCTATTATACAGGGTGTACTCTAATTTATGGGGCCTAGAAATGTTCAAGAAACTCGAAACTTTCGAGGCTATAAATAATAGGAACAGTGGAAGAATACGATTCAGCGTAACGTTCGAATGTAATCGGACCTGTTTTTCTCCGCGGGAGATTAGAGGGTTAAACTTACATAAATTTTCCGAGTAATCAGTTGCATGAGTTGTGGGAAGAAGTTTCACCAGATGCTATACGTTATACGTAGTTTATGTATGACGGTGCACCGCCACATATCAATCGAATAGCCAAGCAGAACGAGCCTGGCTCGCTCGTTTACCGGATTTAAACATTACATAAAATTATTCAAGACCTATCCGTGTAAAAAATTTATTTCGACAAAATATTTGGAATATTTGAAAGATTGATATACTCGGTTGGCAATATTATCGTGAAATTGGATTGATCAATTATTGAATAAAATGGGTCGACTGTGGATAATTTTAATTGCCTCTACCATATTCCATAAATATCGGGCGCGGTTTAAACTCGATTAAAAGGGTTACATATTGCAGCTCGTGAGAGCTGTGTCACCTGCAACATGCAACGCTTTTCCTCCGGCGAACCGTATTCAGTATTTACAGAATATTCAATATCAAGTACAGTTTGCTCAATTAATTTCGGTAAGACCAACTAAGCCATATCCTGTGTCTCGGTGCATAGATTCTGAGGCTGAAATTACAGCTGGAAACGTATTGCGTAAAGCTCGTTTTAATATTTCTACGAAAGCAACCTGTCGTTCCAACTATTATTTCGATCTAGAAACGTTCCCCGTTGTCCTTCGTGTCCCCGATCCACCCTCAGAAGTAGGTCCCACGCGTTACACCCTGTATTCGCCACCGCACGTCGCATCGACCGCGCACGGTCGTCGAAGGTGTGGTCTCCCGCAGAGATTCCTAGCTGACCAACGCGACGCAGGTGAAAGTAAAACAAATTGAATAGATGAACTCGAACGGTCCACCTAGAAGTCGAAAGTCGAATCCTCCCTCGCCGTACGTCGCGGAGCGGTTCGCTTCCGTGACCAACGAACAAATCGGTGTCGTTTTTTTCGACCCCCCCCCCAGCCTCGAGGTTCGATCGTCTTTGCGGGATCGCGTGCCGAACGAGACGCTCTTTGTCTCCCCGTTCTTCGATGTTTTACAGCCGACAGCGGTCCGAGCGACAATTACTCGCTGTCCAAAGGAGCTTAGCCCGTCCCACGTCGGACGAGAAGCTTTCACGTTACGATCCTGTCGATCGTTGCCTTTGTCTCCCCCGTCGCGAGACGCCCGGCACGTGACCAGAGGTGGATCTGTATCCCACTCGCGGCACCTTGGACCAGTTTGTCGCTGCTTGCCCTACACCCGGCGACAAGAATCGAGAGGCGTTTTGCTACGCGTTTTCACTGAACCGGCCGCTACCGGCTATCTACATATAAGAACAGTGAAATGTTAAACTAGTTTCCGCGATTTTTCAGCCGGCCGGGTATAAAGGAGAAATTCAATGTCGACTGATACGTCATTAGAGATCGTGCCGGCGTGTCGGTACGATCTGTTCCATCGACGGTGAACCGGTGAATCGGACGAACGAATGAGACTGGCTCGAGAAACGAACGGACGGATCAGAGGCTCGTAATTATCGACAGGCGTGGGTGACGGTTGATTGATATGGAAATGCTGGTTGGTATATATTACGTTCGATAAGCGTGCACCAAGAGGGACAATTCTCAACCCCGAAATCTATAGATCACTCTCCTTGCTTATAAACTACTTCTCGACTGTTGCAGGTATTGCTACTGCTGTCAACGGCGTTCGCCGTGCAGGGCTACGGGAAAAGCAACGATCCGAACGACGAGCCCTTCCTACCGATATACCCCGTGTACCCGTACAGCCCTAAACTGATCAAAAGAGGAGCCGACAGGGAGTCGTCCACGCAGCTGTCTCCGGAACTTTACGCGCCGAAAGTCGACGCTAAAGACTCGTACAGCGCCAGTTTCAGCAGTAATTACCCCCGAGATCCTTATTATCCTAATTACAACCTCTATTCCAAGGCTACCACTCCATCCAGCTATTCGTACGGTTCCGTTCCGTACGCGTATCCAACAACAGCGTATCCAACGGCACCGTACCCAACGTCGGCGTACAGCGACTACAATTCGTACTCTTCTCCCTACGCGATGGCACCGCCTTCTTATTCGGCGGTTCCTTACTCGGCCTCCTATCCTAATTACTATTACCAACCGCCTTACTATTATCCTAATTATTACACTCAGCCTTTGTACCCGCCGCCGCCGATGCCACCGCCCACCGGGGACTACTCCAACGACCCGTACTCCGAGCCCAACGACAAAAACGGCAGGAAGAAATCGAACGGAGAGAAAAGGTACAGAGGCAACGACGCCGACCAAGACACTGTGGGTAATCAGTACGTGGACGGGGGTAACTATATTTCTGGAAACGGAAAGGATCTCGATGGTCAATCTAGCACTTATAAGAGCAGCAGTCCACGGAACCAATTGGAACAGTTGAGCGATCTACGCGTTAAGAATCTGCAAATTCCGGTCCCAACGACGAGCTACAGAGTGATCAGCGTAGCTGGTCAGCCAGTGGGCCCCGATTATCCTCTACCAGCACCTTATTTAAAGGCCCAGCAGCTGGAGGAGCTGATGAGCCAGACCTGGGCCAAGATGATGGCGCAGAATTTGCAACAACAATCCGCTCTGTTACGCGCGAACGAAGCGAACAAGGATTCTCAAACGGGCTCAAACCAGTACGCGAACCAGAACGATCGAAGCATCGATGGACAACGCTATGTCTCCGTTCCAAATGTGATCGCCAAGACCGGTCTGGCTTACATCGTGAACCCTAATATTCTGGGGAAGCTGAACGTCGGTCAGAACCATCCGGTGCAAACGTCGATGAACCAACTCAAAGGTATCAAGTATCCGCTAACGCCAGGCGTTTATACCGCTGTTGAGAAAACGAAGGAGCAAACCGATTCTGGCGAGTACGACACCTACGAGAACCCGTCCTCCCAGGGTACTCAGGATTACGACAGTAGTTTGAGCCAGACCGACAAGCAGCCCCAGAATTACGAGAACGATTCTGGACAGTATTATCAGAGCCCGAACAACTTTGTCACGGCGCAGCCACCCAGGGCGTACAGTTATCAGTACTCCGGCTACAATCCGTCGCAAACGTCCACGCAGCAGCAGCAAACGCAGCAGTACAAGAACAACTTGGAGGACGTGAACTTTGGCGCCAAGACGAAGAAAGGGTAGATTACTAGACGCGATTAAGGGTAGAGAGAAACTCGGTGGGCATGGTGCAATAACTTCGTTAGATGTCTCAGAAACGTTTCTTCGACTCTGATGTATAATTCCGTTTGAACTAATTTTATTCTTCTACCGAATCGTAGTCGAAGAAATCGATCTCTGGACGTACCGTTTCGTAGTTTCTATTTTATTTCTTTCATAACGAATACTTTCTGACAGAGTGCCAAGGGCAGGACCTCTCTAGATTAAGACGCACTAATATTCCTTTAATTTTCGATCCCGACGATCTTTCATCCTACGCATTTTGTATTTGTTACACAGTCACTAGCTAATAAACTATCGTTGTTGTTTGTTTTCCGCGAAGCGTGTCTTTTCTCCTTTCCTTTTCGCCTTTCCTGCGCGGAGCCCCAGAAACCGTTGCCCGAAGAAAGTGTTAAACGTTCGCTGACCAAAAAAAGAGAACGATATTTTACCGATCGCGAGCCGGTGAACGGTAGACGAACGCGTCTCGATCGGATCGAGAGTTCTCGAGCGTTTCGAGATGCACGTGGAAGGGCAGAGCAACGATCGCGGAACGAAAGGAAGAGATCCGGATCGCGGCAACGTCCGGTCGATCGTTTGGGCGCGGTAATGGAAAGGGGAAGTGCGATCCAACAGAATCTCTCGGACGTGGATCGGCGTCGGGTAAGAGAGAGAGTGGCGTGTACCAACGTTTTTTGCTTTATTTTTCGCGTTCACGGCGGTCGAAAATAAAATCGGACGTACCGAGCCTCTTACTTTCTCGCGGGCCCGATTTAGATCTGCAATGTACACGGTGACCTGGAAGCTCGACATCGACGCTTTTCTCGATCATCGAGGATCCTTAACTATACTTTTGTTTGAAGGAACGCCTCCGAGATTCGGCGATTTTTCGCGTTGCATACGCGATGGAATCACGGAATTTGCTTTCTCCTCGTTCTGGTTGGAATTCTTTATTGGATTGGGAATATGAAACTGCGAATGTTTCAATGTCGCGCAACGCCGTAAACTTTCTTGTCCGTGAGCGTACCGGTAACCTGTGAACTTTCTGCAAACGACGCGTTTGACACACTTCGACCTCTGCGTAGGAGCGAAGTCTGCGTTAAATTTCGTCGCTCGTCTATCGACATGGATTTAATAATAACATTGTACCAACATTCTATAGAATAAAAATTAATTATTGCGAAACTTTGTATTCTTACTACCCCAACCTATCCATTCCTGAACCTGTCATTTTGACTGTACTTCACCTATGAGTCGAATTAAAATGAAAACGAGTACAAACACGTCGCAAGAACTTGTTAATAAGTTGCTCGAACCGGAGTATGGGGGCTATATTTTTCAACAAGACAATGGTCTTTGTTATACTCCAAAGAAAACTAAGGAGTGGCTCGGTACAGAGTGGAAGTACATAAAATATGTGCATAATGATTTGGAAGATGCCTGTGTGTATAAAATGGCAATTGCGCCGAGCGAAAGAAAGTAAACAGCAAAATGTGGAGTCCGGAGACAAAACCAAGAGGAAAACTAGAAAGGGAAAGTTGATTGTTAGTGTCGAATAATGAATGCGGTAGCTGCGTGTTTGAAGAAGTTGAAAGTTGATAAAGAACCGGAGGGCCGTACTGTTATAATTTGCGGCGCGAGGAAAGAAAAAATCTCTCATAGGTGCTGTAATTGGAAAAAATATAATTTATCGCGACGATGATCGTGGCTTCTAAGTCCGCGTAATAAAAAAGGCGTTGCTGCGAACTGACGTTTGCACGAACGTCGGATGCACGGCTCAGATAGTCCTACTTTCAGCCGAGCTGGACGAATTAATGATCAGTTCCTGAATTAACAGTGTAACAGATGAATAATGTAGACGAAGTACCGATGACCGAAGATAAAAAGAGAGATCGAGCGTTGTCCATAAAGTTTGCTGGTGAGAGTGTGCCAGGGATTTAGAGCTGGTTCAATTTAAAACTGTGGCACGAGTAAGAGTCCTCAAGTTTAGGGTCAAGTTGTCTGGTACAATTAGTAACAATTGCAAGGAAAGTACACGATGGTGGACCATTCTTTAAATACAAGATATCATCTAAATGTTTCAAACAGGGCCCATGCTAGAGATTTTTTACCCAGGTGAGGTCATTGGGTCCCAGCGTGCGGTGCCCCTTTTTAGTAGAACGCTCGTCTTTCTACCTGCGATGACGAAATCCCGAAAACGCGGGGCACGCTCGTCCGTACGGGGTTTTTTCTCGCAAATATCACGCGACTGCACGACCGAGAAAGTTTCTCGAGTTAATTGAAGGTAATTCGATTCGAGGTACGAGCGGCGGTCATCGTTTTATAGATCGGTCCCTCCGCTTCCACGCCCGGGATGCGGATAGAAAGTGTTTTTTCCCTCTTGGAGCGATTCGTACCTGTGCACGTACGAAGAAAGGGTTCGCGGAAACGCGCGATTCAATGGCGAACAGACCGACGGTCATCGCGGGATCTCCTTTCCCTCCGTCGGCCGTAAACCAATTTTTCGCAGTGGAAATCCTCTTTTCTTCCTTCTGTGGCAGTCCTTACGCGCTTTCCTGCTAATTTTCACTCGACCGCGAAGAGAATTACCGGCGCCTCTTCCTGGCCAATAACAAGAGCGATCGTACGATCATCGATACATATTTCGAAAGTTAGATTAGAATCATGTCAAGAACATTTTCGGTTTAGGGCGAAGTCGAATCGGAGAAAACAGGGAGAAAGTATGTCATCTACTAAATGTAAGAACTATAGCAACGCGTACGCACGTCAGACGAAAAGGAAGTTACGGGCCAGTATTCGCGAACACGGACGGAATGACAATTGCAGAAAAATCTGTGTAATTTATGTAAGGGTTAAACAGATACAATGAATCCCAAAGTGTACAATTTCCTGGGAACATCGTAAAGATATGTGGTATCAGCAACCTTCGAGGCGCGTGTCTGGAAAAGTTCCAGATCATTGATCGACTATTTTACGCGTACGTCTTGGAATAAAACGTTCGATAAATTGTACCGGCGTGTCGGTGAAATTGGCATGCAAATGTTGTCTCGTTGGCCCGTATCTTTGCGCGACTTTATTTTCTATTTGACCGTTACCGTAGGTTATCTGTTAAGTCGTTTAGGCGTTTCTTATGCAGTCTTCGAACGAATGTATCCAGTTTGCCTTTATATCTCTTGGCAAAGCGTACGAATTTCTTATTTAACCGATTTTACTCCCGGCGTATATCTAAACTGGATCATCTAGATAGCGTAACGCGAATATGTAATTTATATAACGCACACGACTATACTTCGGGATCCCCGTTTCGTTAAAAAACATGCACGGATATTTTGCAAACTCATCCGACGATTAAATTTCTTTTGCGACAACAAATATTTATCCCCTTAATAGATCAATAAAATAACGTGATTATACGCCGAAAGGGTTGTCTTTTGTCCCGACGAAATGCATCATTCTCATTCTATTCGAGTTGAATGATACGCGGAACGAAAACTTTAGACTCGGTTGCTGGTAAGTCGACGATAATTCCGTCTTTCTCTGAATATCCTCTCTTCAATTGTTCGAGAAAAGTGTTTTCTTAATCCCGACTCCACCCTATAGATAGAAAGTTCACAGCTCGATTCATAAATCCATGATCGCCTTAAAAGTTTTCGAAACGATTCATTTGTTCGAATATTCTGGTAACGAAAATGATCTGTGTGAAAATACTGACTCTCAAGTTACATATATTATTGATATTTGAAATAGTTATTTACTCCGAAATGATCGATGCTTGGACCCCATGGAGCGAGTATATTTATTCGGTATAGCGAGTACCAGAAGTTCCGAACAGTCTTTCAAAAGCACACAGTATATACAACGCGTGAATCCCCGATAAAAGCTGTCGAACACAGCCCGGGAACGAATTCACTTCATTAGCAAACTAATGAACCGATTAACCGGCAGAATAATTAGTACGACTTCGTGCTGGAAAACTTGGAACGATTTAAACGGAGATTGCCGGGTCCCCTCTGTTCCGCGACAGCCGTTTAACGTGCCCCCATCCATTGAAAATGCATTTGGTGTGGATCACTACGGCTGGAAGTTAGAAATACACGACTAATGATCAGTTTCCGAACGGTACGAAGCACATCCGCGTTTCCATCGATTTTCTGCACAGGTTCTCACGGTCGAGCCTGTAATAACGTTTGTTTTTCTCGAATTGACCGTTCGACGTAAGCTACTACCGGTCGTAGGAAACGAGTACGGCTCTCGACGGCTCCGGGAGGCATTAGAAATTAAAAAATTGATATAATCCAAAACGAAACAAATTGATTTTTCCCGCCCGCGACTCGTCGAGAAGTCCAAGGATACGCGTACTTCCGTTTCACGCGTCATGGAAGCGTGTAAAATCAAGGTTGCTCTACTCTAACGTCGGAACAACTATTATTCAACTACATCTCGCCTTTCGCGACGTTCCTCTCGTTTACGACGCGACACAACGCACGCTGCACGGGGTTTTAAGCGCGAAATGGACAATCAGTGCCTTCTCTTGATCCCTTCACTTTTATCAGGACGAACCGATTTTATTCCTTAACACGTGGTTCAAGAGGATCATTATACGCGCCTTGATCCTCAAGTGAAGTGTGCGCTGCGTCAGGGGATGCAACGGGTAGGGGTAAAGGCTATATAAGAGAAGGTGAATCTAGTTTGGATTTGTAGTAGAGCTAGGATCTTTGTGTCGCGATCGTACTTTTTTACGCTTGGGCAGCATGGTAAGTGGTACATGATTTCATCGAATTATGTCTCCTCGTAGGCTCTACTTACGAACGCGAACTGCTATTTTTGAGGAACTTTGTCGTCCACAGGATGCTCCAAGAAAGCAATGTTAGAGAAGCAATGGTAGAGGAAAATATTTTTAAAAACCAGAAATGTCAAAGTTAGGAACAGAACAAACAATTAAAATGTTTTTCGATTTAATAATTGAAAATATTTTATTGCATTCATGTGAATTTAATTTATTTCATTTCGCAGAAACGAATTCAAAAGGGAATATAGGGAAAAGTTGAAAGGGGAATATTTTTTCAGTTTATGAAATTACGTAAAAAATGTTTAATTAGCTTTCAGCGAAAGGAAACGAGAAACTGGAAAATCCCCCGCGATATATAGAACCGGTGATGTGATGTTTGAAAGTTCAACCAAAAATGAGTGCATAACGAGGTGTAGTCATCGAAAAATGAGTTTGACGAGGCGGTATATAAAAATCTGTACGCGTTTTTTACTCTCTTTTAATTAAACTTTGAAACATTACATCTCTGATCCTGTTTACCGTACTGGGTTCTGCTGGATCTAATTTTATTTCTGCGCATTTCCGGAGATATTTTTCAGCTCCCTTTTCTATATTCCCACCTGAATTCGTTTCCACGAAATGTATATTAAATTCACATTTAGATACACGTATTAATAAAATAAAATCTTTGCTTCTAATTATTGCACTTTTTGAGTCGATTTTTTGCTTCTGGGAGCTGGCCTACATATTAGAAAGTATAGCTGGGATCATAGAGTCACTTTGGAGATCGCTTTTACCACGAAACTAACTGTCTAATCCCGGATGAGCTTGGACATTAACGTGCCATAATTTTATTAAGTTTTAAAAAGAATCTTCGAGCTCAGAAAAAGTATATGTCTCTGCACGTTCATTCTATAAAATACACGGCACTTAGCATTGAACATCCTGTATACTTAACGCATCAGACTGCTACATACGTTAGAGCTTATGATTTTCCTTTTACGAGAACGAATGATTAGACCGAAATGAAAGTTACTTGATACGTAGTTCTTTCGAAGTAGTTCGATGGGACGTATTTTATTTTTTCGACGACACCACAATTTAGTGGAGAACCATTTCGAACGGGTTGCACCGAAATTCACGTGAGATCCAGGAAGAGAAACTTTTACTTTTGTATTGATGATGGGATACACTTGGTCCACGGGAGGGGCTCGATGCGCGGCGCAGTATATAAAAGACTGGTCCATTCCGGATGTTTAACCCAGAACTTCGCGGGCAGTGAAAGTGTACCCCGATGCAAGTTCACTTTTTACCAGTATTCGCAATGGTTAAGGAACACATACATGATCGAAATTAAATAACGTCGAGCATTCGATGGAATCGTATCCGCATGAAAATTAGCTCGTTAGATTAACGGGAAATCGATTTACCTTATCGTTTAAATAGCCTGTTATTATCGCGACAAGAATCTTCGATCAGCGGATCGCAATGTTCATTGTTTAATTTGCAGAAGCTGTATTTCGTATTGGGTGTGCTGTTCGTTGGCATAAACGGGGAGAAGAAGATTAATCTGGAGGACATAGAGAGGGACAATTTGAGAGTGGAAGCGTCCAAGTCTGGGATCGTACGATCGGAGGAAACCAAGTACCTAACGAAACCGGAAGTTAGTCAGCAACAATATCAGATCCCCAGCCAGTACAGTAGGCCGACCAGCTCGCCCGTGACATACGTCACCCCTCCGGCGAATCAAAACGTAAAGCAAACTTCTCTCGAATAAATATCGTCGCAGATTCTCTTAATTTTATTAAGAAATTTATTTCAGCAAATTCCGCCGGAAGTGTACGTCCAGCAGAACAAATACGCCAACCGGGGTCAAGTTTACCAACAGCAGAACAACGTATTACCCGAACAGACGTTACCTCTTCAATACTACAATCAATATCAGCAACAACAGCCTCCACCGAACGTTTACGAAACCCAACGCCTGATCTATCAACCGGAAGTGACCGTTGGCAATCAGCTGCAGACCACCCAGCAGAAATCGGCGACGGCAAAGTATGCGAGGAACGGGAACAAAGGTATCGATATCGTTTCTACGGAAAATCAGCCCGCCCCTCGGGTTGGATCGTACACACGTGTCCTTGTTATTACAGAAACAGTGTACCTCGACGTCCCCATGATGCACCTACTGACCTATTACCCGAATTTAGACGTAAATCCCGGTAAAAGCAGCGTGTTGGTGCCACGATTGACTGCAGCTACGTCGGACCAGATATCCATCCCTGTCTACACGTCTACCCTAAACCAGAAACCAATTGTTTCGGTGAAGCCGACTTATCAGCTTCAATACCCCGGCAAATACAATGCAGCGAGCCCGACCGCTGTCACGACCAAGGTTGGTGCAACGAACGAACGATCTTTTCGACGATAATGGCTCGGTTCTAATTAGTTTCCCTTACGATCGATCCGGTATTCTGCTCGCCGCGCGAGCGGACGCAAGTTACTGCCGCTTCCGGCATCGCGTGGACGGATTTAAGGCTGCCGGAGGTCTAAAACGATCGTTCTTTCAGGCAATAAAAGGCACCACGGTTTACGCCACTCCCGTTACTCCGAAGAAGTACACAAACGCCCCGTTAGCGAGCGTACCGACGTACTTTCCAACGGAGCAATCGTACGCCCAAGGAAGGCAATTCTTATACACGCAGGCGTACATCGCTCAGACCCAGCCGCAATACGTCCCCCAGCTGGTTTACGCTCAGCCCACGATGGTTTACATGCATGCCACGCCGGTTTACAGCGACGTTTACGCTCGTGCACCTGCCTACGGTCAGGATAACGCCCCGCACGCCAACGGGAAGTACAGTGTTCCGAGCGAGCAGTTGGACACCGCGACGACGATCGCCGATCAGCTGCCAAATCAAGCACCGATACAGCAAGCAAGCCAGACCGTCTCTCTAAATTACGTCAAGGTTGGTACACCGGGGTTCGTTAATGGCGACGGGAGAAAGATTCATCTTGATCGCGATCGACTTCTAGGAACCTTTCACTACCGCGGACAACCGACTCCAGAGACCGTAGTAGCGAAAGGAGTACGTTATTAACCGAGTTAACGAGAGTAATTATTAGAATAAAAAGGCGTTGCTGGTCGAGTTTTTTTTAGAAAAAATTTCTACTCGGCGAAAAATGAAACCGAACCTGCCCGACTGACAGACTGTAACTATGCATGGGAGAACTTCTTACAGTTGCGAGCTTCTTGCTACTTTGACGCGTAATACTTTACATTCGAGAAGATTTTTGATAACTTGATCTGTTGCGACAGGAACCGGAGGAACCGAATAGCGATTTGGTGCCACCCCAACTGCCCGCTCAAGATTTTAAATCCGACATCACGCCCCTGTTGCCCGTCCCTTCGCAGGACGACGAGTCCATTTCAGCGCAGAACGACGTGGGTCTGTCCGAACCCAGATCTCTGCTGGACTCGTACGTTCCCAGCAAATTAATCGCGGCCCAGGATTACGCCAGGTGAGCCACTGTCCTGGAAAACAGCCATTTTTACATTTTTAAATTTATTTACTCCCCCACTTTCGAGTGAAACTGACACGTAATGTTTTGTTACAGATATCAAGAGAGGCCTATAAAGCTGGAGAGCGGCTTTCTGCCGTCGAAGGAGAACTTCCTGCACAAGAAACGCAAAACCGATTAATTCGGTGGACTCGTCTCTACGAACGTCGAGCACACGTGGTCAGTAGGGTGTTTTGGTCTCGTCGATGGACAATTTCGACGTTCGAAATAGTTACGAGCCGAAGACATTTCGCCAACGATACAAGGCGCGATCGCATATCTAGTCTTTCATCGAGGAACGTCGAGCAACGAGCGTGAACGTCGTGTTTCGTCTTTACTCTGTTGTTTTCTTTTTTTTTCTCTCCCTTTTACAGGCCTATACGTTTTATACGACTCTTTAAAAAAAAAATAAAAGTCTTATTAAAGAAGTCTTTTGTTATCTACCTGGAATCGCACCGAAACTTCGTAATTGGTCCAACGACGATTAGTAAAAGAGAGATCTTATCCTTGGCCCGAATAAAGGTGCGATCTGTAATTGTATACGTTCGCGCAATTAAGACAGAAGATGCATCGTTGCAAGCTTATTCGGCGCGTAAATGGTCGTACGATTGCTCCGATAGCGACTAGGAGCGATTAAGATGCTTTTGTTCGCGTAGGAGACAATAGAAAACGAAGTCATACGTATCGTGACTGTCATGGACCAGACTTTTCGAGAATATTCAATCGAGAAACCGTTAAATCGCTTACGGTGCAAGTAGGTTAAGATATTACACTCACTGTTTTTCAATTTCATTTATACAGGTCAGTTGAGATTTCCCTCGAGCATTAGAGAATCGTCCGCGAATATCAGTGTGAATTACCAAAGAAGATTTTGTTACGGCGCTCGCTACGACTTATTCAAATACCTTGAAAGATTAATGAGATTTAGATGTTAGAAACGTTCGAAATCTGGGCCCCGTAAATTTTTCTCGTACACCTAACGTATTCGCTAATATCTATGACTGTGGCGCTAATGTGCTCGTGACAAAATCATCATCGTACACACAACGTACACCGACGGAAGAGACTGTGTCACACGAGGCACGCCACCGACACACACACACGCACACACAGGTCGCGCGTGTGTCGCGGCGTGCCGAAATGAGAAAGCGGATGCTGTAGGAAAGAGCCAATGGTGTAGGCTTTCAAAATAACTTCCCAGAAATTCAGCTACGTTGGAACCAACATTCCACCAAAAAATCCCCCCTCGTTCGAATCGCGACGATCCTCGATCGGCCATCTTCAGGCCCTCTTTATCGATACACTAATATTAAACTTACAATCTTTTTTTGGACGACCAGAAATTTAGAAATTCATTAGAAACCTGTAATCATAATTAAAAAAAATTAAATTTAAATTTAAATTGTGAGAGTGATAAACTCATATTATTACGTAAAATAGTATCAGCGTAATTTTCCAACAAGATTGTGGGAAAGGAGGTGTTAAAATAGATTACGGCGTGGACGTTTTCCAATTCTTCGTTAGCAGGTGGCGAAATGACGCAACGGAATTAGGCGTGCGGCAACGATTCGCGCGATTGCATAAATTCCTGCAGGCTAGAAAAAGAGATTCCCGTCGCGGAAACCTAACGTCGATTATCGGTCGCTTGAATGGCTCGTGTTACGCCCGGGAATCGGATCGTGGTTCCTGGTTTCCTCGCGTCGAAACGCTGATCGAGGATGAGCATGCAATCTCGAAGGCGTCGCTACGCTACTGGCAGGTGTCTTTCCGTACGTATCGAATGAGAAATGCCTCCGTGTTACGGCGGTGAAACTATAATCGTGCTGTCCCTCTCGCGGTTCAGGCGAAGGCATATAAGGTGGGATGTTGCGGTCTGTGCTTCATCAGTCCCAAATACACACCACGAGACCGCAAAGCGTGCAGGTTTAAGGTCGACCGTCGCCATGGGACCTAACGCGATCTACGTAAGTACGGTGATTTTCGTTCTATCGCGACCACTCCCACTTTAATTTCTATTACTCCATTCTTCGATTAAAACAGTGTCCACGTTTTTCTATCGAGTGATCGTTCCTCCTAACTCTACGCGAACTAGTCCTCTGTGCATCGTAGTTGGGATTTTGCGTAACAACGAAGTTATGAAGGGACAGGGTCGCGCAGTTTAATCATCCACAGTTGTAAGCTGAAATTTCCAACTCCGGAATAGACGCGACGAGTAATTGTTTTACGTGCACGGACTCCGTTTTCCGTCTTATCGCGTTTGTAAGCGATCATTCCTATTATTCTCCGGGTAATACGAGACACCTTTGATTCACGTTAATTCGTATGCATTCGAGCGTGCGTTCGTTACGTCTACGTCGACTGATCTCGTCTAATATCCCGCGGATACACGTCGATTCGACCGAAACCGTCACTCCACCGGTATTAATTCGCGAACATCTAAATGGAAACTTGCAAATGAATTTCGTTATTCGCGTCGTTGTCCAATCTCCTCCGAATCGGTCATTACGGAGAAAGTGTTTCTTATCTTCTTTCATCCATGGTCGCTCAGCGTCCGGCAAAGTAACCGTGGCAGATGCTCTTGAGCAAGTTAGTGAAAGTCCTTGGAAGGTATTCGGGGAACACTGGTGCGAGAACTGTCGTAAAGTCCGTTCCCCATGGTCCTCGTTGGGTAACGGTTGATTTCATATCCGGCCAGGGGGATAAACCCGACGAAAATGACGAGGCTCTCGCTTTCGTTCGATAAACAACGCTTGCGAAACGTTTACGATCGACGACTTTCCAGGCGGATCGGTTTTACGAAAAACCAGGCCGTACGCGGGACTTTCCTTCTTCGAGAATCATTATGACCGTGACTCGAGCAAAATCAAAATTCATAGAAACTCGAATAGAACGCCGATATATCATAGTTATTGTTAATTGCTCTTCACGCTGAAGATCCGCGTTGGAGGCTTGATTCGCGGATATACCCCGAGGCGACTGTCGAAGAAAGCGGTGAAAATCACAAGTGCACCGCGCGTGGAACTCGTTCTCCGGGTGCTTGACACCGACTGTAACCTTGTAGAAATCCAAACTCTTTCCTTCCAAGGTCGACCCCCGCGATGATCGCCGACCAGGATTTCCCCTCGATCATTATTGCCTCGGTAAACATCTCTCGAACGCAAATGGGAGCGGCTTCGCGTTCGGAGAAGGGAAGCGAAAGTACGATTATCCTATGCAGTGTTTTACAACTACAAAACCACGTTTAATTTTACGGATTTTCTATCCAACTAGTGGAATTGTAGATCCACGTATGGGGAAATTATTTTTAATGCCTCGAGTATCATTTGTTTGTTGGCCAATTTGGTCAACAATATTTTATACAGTCTAAATTTAATATATGTAAAACGTAAGCAAAATTTTCTGTATGAAACATTAAGTGAAATCAGAATTTAACACAATAAATCTAACTGAAAATTATTTGGTAATTAAACTTCAAAATAAATATAGAAGATAGCAAAAATTATGATAGGTGATATGGTCGTTAGATAGAGGATGAAACACCCTTTAAAATGAGCGTTTGTACAAGTCGATAGCTTTATTAGCGAGCGTCAAAGTAAACTTCAAAATAAACATGGAAGATAGTAAAAATTATGGTAGGTGATATGGTCATTAGTTAGAGGATGAAATACCCTTTAAAATGAGCGTTTGTACGAGTCGATAGCTTTATTAGTTCCCGAGATATAGTGATTTTAATTTCAAGTCGATGCGGTGGGTAGTTTCCGAGATATAAGGGTTCGAAGTTTGTTGACATCAGCGCGCGCACGCGTTCATTGACTTCGCGCGCGCGAGTAGAGTGCATAGTAAATTCTTGGAAATGCAACGGCCTTGGCAAGGCCGTCACGTACGCGCTCGTAGTAAATTGGGGTAGGTCAGCGCGATGCACGTGCGACGCAGAGGTCCGACGCGCTAGACAAAGACAGAGAAAGTCGGATTAAAAAAATTACCCCTTTACATAAATTACGATATCTCGGAAACGGATAGTCCGATCGTCAAAAACAAAAAACCATTTTAAAGGGGAAGGTTTACCGCTTCTAACAATACCTTAATAATTAATAAAACACTAGTAGTTTCGGAACTGCACGCGTCCAAAGTTTTAGTATTTTTAATACGCGTTAATATACATAATATCTAGTTTGTAACAATTCTATCGAACGTTTATATTTTCTTTCAACAGTTTTATGTCCCACTAAGGCACCGATTTACTCCTCCCGAACCCCAAACCTTCAGAATGCAAAGCTATATTTTACGATGCTTTTATAGTTAATATATCAAACTGCTACGCCAGTAATATCGTCTTTTTACGATCGAGGACAATCCCTAAACCGTGTCCTTCGTTTTCAGATCGCCACGATGTTGCTGATAGTTGGCCTCGGCCAAGCGAAAACGTCCAGAAAGGATCTGTCGAAAGCGAGCGCCCAGGCCGACGCCGTCGTCGAGTCTGCAAATTTAAACGACGCGGAGGACCCTACCACGAAGAAAGATAACGCGGGGGAGGAAGATCGATTGCCCATTTTGCCACCGATCATTTTGCTGGACTTTGGGAACGACACGGACGAAAGCGTCGCGTCCGAGGAGAAGTCCAAGCGAACCGTGAACAGTGGCCTCGGTTACGGTCTCGATAAGAACGCCCTGCAACCGAGGAGATACAATTACTATTTTCCAGCTGGAAAATCGGGAACCGCGGTGACCATCGAGGAGTCGATCAGCCCGTTTCTGCCCAAAACCATCATCGAGAAGGTTCAGCCCGTCAACCAGGGGGAGCATTTCTTTTACGGGCCGCAACAGAACTCGTTCGTTTCACCGCCAGTTCAAAGTCAAGCTCAGGCACAACCGAACCTGCAGTACCTGAACTTCCAACAACCTGTCAGCTCTCAGCCGCCGTTTGGATCGCGCACGAAGCCGCAGAAACCGTCGAACTACAATTTCGGATCGTACCAAAAGTACCTCCCTACGCCTAAACCGTCGGTCAGCTCGTTCGGGGCCCAGTATTCGGGGTACAGAGGCAACGTGGCCCCGACTACCACGCAATCGTCTTTCATCCCGACGGAGAATTCGCACACTGCATCGTTCAACTACGTCACGCCGCGTCCGTTCCCCCAGAGACAGAACATTCCATCCAACGTAAACTCCCAGAACTTTGAAACCGTTGCACAAAGCGTCGAGTCGTCCACGATCGCTCCCCCGAGCTACGACCCCCGTCTTCAGGGATCAGGGCCCAGGTACACGCTGGAGAACGGAGTCCGTTACGAGAACAAAGTCTTCTGGAAGTACCCGGACGGTCGAGTCTCCGACGTTCCTCCGGCTACCTACGTGGAGTATCCACAATCTACTCATCTGACGAAATCCCAGCGACCCCAATCGATCTACGAAGCCACCACGGAGAGCAGCGTCCTCTCCCAGGGACCGGTGCAATTCCCCACTGTTCCCGAGCAGAACGGACAGCAAGAGGCGAACCTGTTCGTCTCCTCGGAGTCGTTGTCCTCGAGCTTGCCTCAGCAGCAAGTGTACAGACTAGGTTATCAGAACTTGCTGACACAGAGGCAGAACGCGAACCTGGCGCAACAACGGAAGCCCGCCAATGGTTACTCCTTCTCGTCCGCGTATTCCGGAAGAACTAAGCCGAGCCCCAGCAGTCAGAAACCTAACTACGACTCGCCATACCGACAAATCCCCTCCAGGTACGAGGCAAACAGCCCAAATCCGGAGTACACCGACTCCTACGTGACGGAACCAACTGTCAACCACACGACACCCGTCACTAGCTTCTTCGGTTCGACGTCCAAGTATAATACAAAGGTGCAGAACTACTTGGACACGGTGCTAACAGCCGGCGAGGAGCCCAAGAAGCCGAGCAACAACGATCTGAACAACTATTCCAATCTTCAGTACACCGATCTGTTGAACTATAACCCCTCCATCTCGGAGTACATCAGAAACCCGTCCTCCATCCTGAACGTTCGACCGACTTTCGTGCAAGCTGGCAACTCGTTGATCCCCGTCATCATCCTCAGAGTGGACGGGGCATCTCCCATTCAGACCAAGACCACGCAGAACATCAATTTGAAGGCTCTGCTTCAACAGTACTTGATCCAGTACGCGAACAGCATTCAAGAATTGGCGCGACCCTCCACCTACGATCTCGGATCGGAAACCATTGGCAAGGATCAGAGCTCGGGGCTTGGTAAAAGTCCGGTGCTGGATCTGATTCGATTGACGCAAGACGACGCCCGCGACGGACCCAGTTACGCTTCGACCACCTACGCCGGAAGATCGAGTTACGAGGCCAGCAATTTGGACGCTCCGACGGACTTCGCTGGCGGACATTTTGGAGAACGCTCGACAACGCGGCAGAAAGTGAAGAACGTACAGATAGTGGACGACCCGAGGTTCACGACCTACAAGGCAAAGAGCTAAAAGTGACGCTTAGATCTCGCATCGACCGGGAAAGACTTTCGTTCTTCGAATACTATGACGAGTTAGGAACAGCGACGATTCTTGAACGGTGGATTCGGCACACTCTTTCTCCCCAATTCGCAAGACGTGCCATCGCTGGTGAGGGAAATTACAGTTCGACGGTGTTTAACGAGGGATATGTGCAATAAATTTTTTTACCACGAAACACTGTACCTGGACGGTGATTCTTTGCGTGGAATCCGTCGCGATAACCAAATTCTTCGCTTCAAGAAGGTACCTAATAAGTTTAGTTTTCTTAAGGACACCCTGCGACTCAAGACACCTGTGGTTTTGTATACATTCCTATTTACTTGAATAAAACTCGTACCTAATCGACTCGAGTGTTTTCATTTCCACGCCAATCAAACGCCACTATTTTTTTATTTTGTAATTAGAAACCTCTTCTTCGTAAGTTCGATATGCAAACGTTGATTTATTGTTTGAAGTCTATTCTATTATACATTACTCTTAATTGCTCGTACGTCTTAATGGAAAGAAGCTAGGAAAAATCGGAAATTAAAGCACTTTTTTATACCCCCAGCCAGAGATAGAAAGATATGCTAAGTGAAAGGTGAAGTGATTGCTTTAATTCGCGTAGCGCAAAAGATGGACGGAGAAATAAAAAAAAATAGTAAATATTAAATACACTTTTGAAATTTTAAACTCTAATAGAATACACTCAATCTTCTAGTCTTTACATCAGACAGGAATGTTTGTAGAATGAATTAGACACGGGGAAAAATGAAATACTTGCATTCTTGACAAAGATATTCAGAAGAAATCCGCACTTGGAAGAAGTAGCCGTGAAAAAATATTCGTACAACTGCTTTCTTTTAATCATAAGGAAAGTTATATATATGCAATTAATATTTTGTACTCCACTTTTACTACGTTGCCATATCTGGCAATACTAGGTGAAACATTAATATTAACACACGCCTATTTTTGGATTTTCCTCAACCGTACGGATAAAAATTCTTTGTATCGTTTCAGATCGATTTGCGTAATCTGTATCACGTATCCTGGTCTATTAACAATCCGAGAGTTTTCGAAAAGACTTTCATACCGATTGTGACCCAAATATATCAATCTTTCTCGTATATAATCAATTCCAGACACTTCTAGAAATATGTATAAATTTTATACGCTATGCAAATTAATAAATAAACCTGAGAGGGTATTTTCTGATGCTCCCCCAATACTTTTTACGTTCACTGTACCCCGTTCGATCGAATAAATCGATTACACCGCGAATTTCCAGACAGTGTAGCGGGAAATAAAAGATTGAAGGGACATTTCAGCCGTTTCATATTTTATTTTTAAATGAGAATTTATCCCAGCTCCGTTAATCCCAAATTGATTTTTACCGACCAATTTAACGTTCGCGCGAATTATCATAAAGACCGCCGTGCCGTTAACGGCGACAAAATGGCCAACGAAAAAGGCGGTGGGGGGTGGAAAAAAAATGAGTGAACGCGACACGGTTGCGAGGAGGGTAATTAGCGTTAATTGTCTACTTAGGCGGGGACGTACAAACTATTCGCGATAGTCGTAGGGTGCAGTTAATTCCACGTTTTCACAACGAGAGGCAACGATGATATCTCCGCATATCTGCGGAGCACGGCAATTAGACACAAGGCATTAAACTGTGGCGATTGTCGGCGCGAGCGAGCTCCTGCACACAGCCAAATCTTTGGTGCATCGCGCGGCGTCCCGGCACACCGACGCTGGCCGTCGTTTCTATCGTGTGAGACGGGTTGCATCGGGAGGAGCGAGCGCGCTGTGCATAATGCGTGCGTTTTAGAGCGCATAAAATCCTCGACGGAGAATTACTGACCACCTATGGGCGAATCTCCTATACTTCGCGGCTCGTTCGGACGCGATATTTTACGCGAATTCCAAAAATCACGCACACAGCGTCCCGTTTTCTTCGATCACATCCGATCCGCCGATACTGGTCTCATCGCGAAGATCCACCAACGATTTCCTTCAGGAAAAAAGATCCTGGCGCTATGTATTATTAGAAGAAATTACAGTTAATTACATCGAACATTCGTAGATCTCGAAGCGCGATACGAACGCTCCCGGGCCCCTTTTTCTTCGTCCAGCGAATTCGCGTGGCTTCCACGTTAATGATGGGTGGTCGCATCCTGCACTTGTTGCGGACAACAATTTCCCAGCGGCGGTCGCGTGTCGCGAATGAAAGTATCCTCCGGCCGGCGGGCTGTAGGATAATATTTAGAACGATATTTTTCACTTGGCTACCGGAGTGTATAAAGAAAATCGCGTGTCTACTATGTAGCTCAGTTCTCGCGTGGATGTTCGCCTCGCAAGGTCTTTCGGATTACAGAAGCTCGGACAGTCCACGAAGCTGCAACCAATGTGTTCTACGCGACGTTTAGTGACACTCGGACCTGCCTAACTGTGATTCGAGAGGAAAGATCGGTGCGACCGACACCGAGCCAGAAAAATGTTGTTACATCTTGTAAGTACCCGGGGGACCGTACAGGGTTTCCAAGTGCCAATCCTGTGTCCACCACGACGGGCTAGTGCGAACCTTTTTGTCAGTTCAAAGGTTTTAGTCGAGGAACGCTTCTTTCAAGTCGAATCCTCCGCTTTATTCAACCCTTTCGCTGCTGCCGTACGCGCAGCTCCGTCGAACGCGGAGCCATACTACTTTATTTCAAATATACTTAATATACTTAAATAACGTCGTTTCGAGTGTTTGGTACGAGAATTTTTGTAAAGAAATTTTTATCCACGCTTTGGTTTCGATTCGACGATGACCGGGGACCTCGAGAGTGTTGGTTAAGCAGCCGAATTAAGGAATTTATTTCACGGAAGACGTAGCGCCGGAAATTTATGACAAAAAGATATAGATTCGGTGCCGGCTAAAATTTCTAGAGTGTATCTAACCATACACGGATCGGTCTAACTGGAGCACTTTCTTCCTTAATATTTCGACGTGTTTTCCCTAATTTACCTCCCATATAAGATCGCCAATTAGAAGAAATACCTTACTTTCCTCGCGCTCGGGGATATTTTCTACGTCGCTCCATTTTGATTCCGTCGAAAGTGGATCGAAATTCATTGCTCCCTGCATGGATGCACGCTTCCTTTGCAATTAGAGGCAATTTAGCGTAAGCTCTTCTATCGACGGTGATTGTTTCATTGAAAATTCATTACCCCGTGTATAATTCCTGTATCACCTTTTCCGAAGACAGAATCTCTCCCAAGTATTCATAAAATATTCTAAAATCCTTTGAAAGTTCGATGCTTGCTCTAGCATAACAAAAATTGGTGAGGATAGTTCCGGCTATAGACACGCTATAAAAGAAGGTTCTAGACTATCATTATTCTAAATACACTATGAACACTATGAAAGACAAAACTCGGCCCCATTTTTCCCCCCATGGACTCTGTGTTGGAAAAAATAAAATCTAAGGTTGCAATCTATCCTCTACTATGCACGTTCTGTCTGAAATCTTCTCGAGAATGCCTTCCAACTACCGGAATAATTCTAAACGAGAAGAAAGCTTCGCAATTTGCATTTTCATCCGCATCGCCTGGCGATTTCGATCGTTCTCGGATCTATCGACGAATAATCGTTCGGCTGGCAATTACACAAGACCTTCCCCACCGTCGATACGAATCCGATCGCCATGAATCGGTGAGAAAGTTTCCGAGGATCTGCTTCCGTGCACATTCAGTCCTTGTCCATCGTAGTACACACGCATGCTATTCGCATTTTACTTTTTCCACTCCGCTTTTCTTTTCTAGGTCAGTCCCTTGACTGCCAGCTATTTTCGCCGATGATTCCGTTTAACTTTGCCATTATCTCAAGTTCGCAATAATCGGAGCGCTTTCTTCTTTCGAGCTCGAGCGCGATCGATAGCTTTCTTCTAACGAGTTCGCGTTTTATTGCCATCGGTGCTGTGGATCGGTTCGAGACCTGTCGTCCGAGCCAATGGAGCCGTTAAATTTAGCTACGAAACGCTGACGGCACTTCCGGTTATTGTGGGACGTCTACGTTGTCGCGGTTGAGGGAATATATCGAGTCGTCTGGAACCATTTCCCATTTTCTCGAGCCAAACGCTCTTTCATATCCATCGCGCGATACCTGTACGAGATCTACACTTCGTTCTTGCATCGTACCACGAGAATACGATGAGAATTATTAATTTCACTATTTCAGGAACGATGAAAATTTAATTCGAATCAGGAATATTTTTATACGGCAGACATCAACTATGGATCAAATAGAAAAAACAATTTACGAGCCGCACTTTCGCTCGCAATATAAATCTTCTTACGCGCTCCTGACATTTTCATTTTGTACGATAATGAAAACACATTAAACGATGAAAATACACATTATTATTTTCCATTCTCTGCGCGCCGTTAGACGAGTTAAACTCGTTTAAACTAGAAAACGTTTTGCTAATTAGAGCTGGAGAAACTATTTTTGCAGAATATGTGCGCGCAACGCAACTTTCTGTCGGTAACGCCACGAAATGTTTCGAACGATCGAACAATGAATTAAAGAGGCCTCGAGATTAGTTTCGAGACTTAGGGAAAATCAAGCTCGACCCTGTTATCGTAGACTCACCCTGTATTTTCGCGAATCCTTGCTAATGATTTCGTATTCGATGCAGGTCGTTCTGTTATCTTTGAGCTGGCCGCACCTAACGGGGGCCAGAGTCGCGGATCCCGAGGACAAATCGCCGGCTCTCGATCAAATTGCCACCGCGTCGGAGAATGTGGCCCGAAACGGGAATTTCGAGGATAAAGAGAAGGAGTTTCGTAATCAGCTGATAACCTCGATAATAGACACCACGGTGCACTACGAAAACTCGAACGGTTTCGTTCCTATGGTGGTGTCGTCGACGTCCAGGCCGTCCGATCGGCGGGACCAACCGAAACCAGCCAACAACACCACCAGGAGCGATTCCACGACCAAACGCAGGAACGCGACCGTCGACGACGACCAGGACGGACTGGAGAACGATCCTGCATACTCGACGGAGGCCAGGATATTCTTAAATTTCCCTCGTTTGAACGGGAACAATCGCAGATCCTTCGAGTTCCAAGCACGGCAGAACGACTTCGAGTTGCTCAAAGTCGGAAACGACACGCCGGCGGTGGCCAATTATCCGGACTTTTACGAACCGGGTTCCGTGGAAAGCGGAAACGAGAAGACGCAGCCCTCCTCGAGACACAAAGGAAAGGGAAAGAAGTCGGAGAATTACACAGGAAACTATGGGACGATAACCGACAATAACGACGAGAGCTCTTCCTACGATCGTTATTACCCGCGCAATTCACCGAGGGACGAGGTAAAAGCGAGCCAACCGGAGGAGAAAGTGCTCGACAATTATCATCAGCAAGATGTCCTCAAGTACGACGGTCACGGGCAGAGCGAACAAAACGGTCTGACGGGATCCTTCCCAAGGACGGACCAACAGGCGAACGACCTCGCTAAAACCAACGCGAACAACTACCAGGAATCGTACGACAACGTGGCGGCTCCATCCGAACACGAGAACCATCAGAGATTCTCTGGACCGGTCGTGGTCGCGGAACCTAATTACACCTTCGATCAGTCGCCGATAATGCTAGATTCGACCAACGATTACCACACGTCTCGAGTCATCGATTCCATCAACGAGGAACCGTCGCAGCATTTCACCATAGACAACAGGGACGGAAGATTTCGCAGCGACGAGGACTCCAGGGACGCGTCGGACGAAGTGGACTACTCGGAGTACGCGGAGAGACCCAGAAGAGTCCAGAAGAGCAGGAGACGACCCTCCGGCGGCGACGGATCGAAGAGGCTCCAGAAGGAGCATCGAGGATCGATGGACGACAGCTTGGAGTACGAGAGCCAGGGTAAGAGACATCACTCGTCCAGATCCAAGTCCCATCGTCAGAGGGTGAGGGGCAACTCGTGGATGGACGACGATCGACACCGCGACGAGAACGACAGCTACGAGGAAACCAAGTACAATGGTCGACTGTCGGAGAACAGGCACAAGTCTCAGAGCTCCAAGTTCAAACCGAGCAACACCTGGAATCAGGTGTCACCGAACCTGGAGATCTCACACTCGAGCGGTATCGAGATCGGTCAGCTGGAGAAACCCAAGTTCATCGTCCCGGTGAAGGTGAACCTGGTGCCCGTGGCGAACTTCGATCACGCGACAGCGATGGGGAACAGCCAAGGCTTCGACGTGTCGAACGCGGTTCTGCAGAACATCGTCTCGGCTACACCTGTCAACACCGTAAACTCGCCCGGAGTCGGCCAGGAGTCCAAGATCAGAGTCTCCACGCCCCTCCCGGACATCATCGTCGGCCAGAACAGCTATCAGAACTCCATGCAGGCGGTGTACCCGCGGATCACGGAGCAGAACAAATTCGAGACGAACCTGAAGCCCCAGTACGTGTCCAGCACGGCTGCCCCGGTGTTCGCGGTCACTCCTATCCAAAACATGCAAGGAACAGCCACGCCACGGCCCACCTACCAGATGCAACAACTTCCGACCGGTCACATGAGCGGAAATATGCCCCAGCTGATAGTCCCCCAACCCACTCATCAAACGGTCCCGACTCTGATACAGACTCCCATTCAGTCCGGTTCGGATTTCAACATTCAGGTGAACCCTCACGGCATGCACGGCCAGAATCTGGTCAACCATGGCAACTTCCAGGTCACGTCCACGCCCCAGACCATGCCGGTGACGAAGATCAACTTGGTCACCGCCGAGTCGCAGAACAAGAAGACCCTGAACTCCGGTTCCACCGCGAACTTCTTGGCCTCTGCCACCATGGCGGTGGGTCAGAACGAGCAGAGGCAACCGTTGAACTCCTACTACTTGCAAAACACCAACGCTCAGCAGTTCGCGAAGCCACAGATGCAGGCTAACTTGTACCAGCACAACGTGGCCCCTAAAACGAAGACGTACATTCAGACGACTCATCTGCTGCCAGCCGTGCTGCAACCGATGCCAACTCTGGCTACCTTCGCGGCCAGCACTCCTCAGCTGATCTCCGAACAACAGAACGCGATTCACGGGGGGAATTTCCTGCTGCAGCCTCGAGATCAAGGCCAACAGTACGTCAAGGTGCCCCACACTGGAGTGGACAACGGAATATCGACGCTGAGGACCATTAAACTGCCGTCCCTGACTTACCCAACGATGGACAGCATGGGTAGTCACAGCAACAGCAATATCAACACTCTGAGCGCGTATCCAGGTGCTTCTGGGATGGTGGAGAACGCTCATCTTCCGTACGTGGGCACGCGGAGCGTCGAAATCGTGAATCCAAACATCAAACCAAGTCCTGTCGACACAGCGGTGATTAATTCCTTCGAGACGATGCATTATCCCACTGCAGTCTTCACCACGCCGTTCCCGATGTTCACCACCACCAGCGTGGTCACTTCGAGGCCTGCTGTGCTGTCCACCACCACCGATTCCTTCGACGACATGAAGGCGTTCCAATCGCAAGACAGACCCATGTTCAACCCCATCAACTTCGTTCCCAACATGGACTTGGTGAAGAATCAGAATGCTCTGAACAGCAAATTGCACGCCAACGAGCCACTGCAGCAGAGTCTGAATCTCGTTCCATTGATCCCCGGTGGTAACTTCTTCAAACCTTCGTTCGCTGCTCAGAACGAGTTGCTGGCCAAGCCCAAGTTGAACACGGACCTGGAGACGTACGCGGAGCAGATGTTCAAGGAGTCCCTGAAGACTATATACAACTCGCAGAAGTGGAACAACGACAGGAAGCCGGGGATCCATCGTCAGAACGTGTCCGATACTATGGACATCGCGAAGCTGAAGAAGGAGCTGCAGAGATTGAAGGCCTCGCTCTCCGATTCGCAGCGGGGCAAGGATCACGAAGGTCACTACAGTGAAACGAAGACCCAGACTGCAGAATTGCCTAATAAGAAGCCTGACGAGTTGCTGGCGGCCTTGGAGCAGATGCTGAAGAAGAATCATCCCACGGACTCTTTGCACGGTCACCATGGAAGCGGTAGACCGCATCGACATCGCAGACCCTCGGATCAAGATAAGTTTACCTTTGGCTCGAACAGTGATTTCAGAGACTCGAAGCCTGTCAGGGACTTCATGACTCCTCCACAGTCTGGCTCTCATCGTACGAAGGGCCATTTTCACGATAAACCAGGTAAAAAGAGACCGATGTCCGGACCATCCAGGTACAACAATCGTAATCATTTCCACGGGCCGAGGACGTATCCCAAGCACGCGTTTTCTCCAAAGTCTGGCAGCATGGAAGCTCCCTCGAAGAACGCTGATTCGATTCACGCGGAAAGCTCTCAGTTCGAGAACGTTCATGACTCGAGACGCCATCGTCCTGAATATAAAAAGGGCTCGTTGGATTCGTATCCTTTCACGCCTTCGTCCATCGATAAGAACAGCTTTCTGAAGGGAAACGATCACCACAAGGGTGGCAAAGACAATGGCATCAATCATCCAAGGATGCACAATTTCCTTGGACTGCTCATGAAGAATAAGCAGCTGCCCAAAGGCCTTGCACCGAATTACTTCCAGGGCTCGGATCAGCTGAAGCAGTTCTTCGAGGACGACAAGCAACGATCCCAGCAATTTTACGACGATACTTTGAGGGAGTACTTTTACAAGATGTCCGAGGGCACGAAGCATCCCAATTTGGGCCACTCCGGTGGACCCGACACTCGAAGATATTACAGGCAAAAAGGTGCCTGATGTGTTCTTTGGAAGGAGACGATGGCCAATTTGTTTGTATCGTAGATGTTAATCACGCAGGCACGTCGAACATATTTAAAAATGATTCGTTTCCTCTATGAATGATTCGCCCGGGAAGGAATTTAATTTGTTGGTTTAAAAAATATAAAAGTCATTTGCGTGTTTGGCGTGCCTGCTCCAATGCGTGCTATCAAAAGAATAGATGAAAAATTCTACCAAATCAAAAGAATGGGGACAAACGATGGGATGAAAGTCTAAATTTCGACCACGACAGCATTTAGCGTAATAAGGATTAGATAGTAAGTGCATTGTACTTTCTTGGACGACGATTTTCCTTCCGTTCAATTTATGTTCATATAGAGGCTATCGCTCGTTTATGAATTGTATGAAATTAAGTTAGATACTTAGTTTAAGTTTAAACGATGGAGACTCGAGGAGAAAGTCTTAATTGTTTGTCTTTAAGGTGCTAGCGATTGTTGTACATATTATCTATAAACCAAAAATGTATACGTTGGTCTTGCGATTCATCGAATTCACTCTTTTTTGTTTAGATAATTATTTTTAGAAAATTTGCGGCTCTTTTTCGAAAGCGATTATAAAGTACTTATCATTGTTTTTAGTACCGAATCGGTGCACTTATGTAAGTCGAATGTTTGAGTGAAACGATACTTTCACCGAAAAACGAAACGTTCGTCCCTTTCGCCTATGTAATTTCTCTGTATCAACGTTGATAAAGGAGTCACTGTCGTTCCCCGAGGAACAATAATAAAAGGAGTGCGCAATAAATTTTTTATGTTACCCTTCTGTGCGATAAAATCCCACTCCAAGTGCCATCGCGAGGCGAAAGCTTTTCCGTCGTTTGAGAACTTGACATCGACCTTTAGGATAATTTCTCTTGTTTTACAGGGCGGGCAGGAAAGTGTGAAGATTTTCTTTCTTCGAACGTCACGGGTGGTACGTACACGCGGGCTCGAAAATGCCCACCCCCCGGATTTCTAACATAATTTTCCGGTTGATGGGCGAGAACATAATACCGTTCGTAAAAAGAAAAGCAATCAGCGTTACGTCGAGTTGACGTTATCCGATTGCGACGACGATCCAATAATGGCGGACGAAATTCGTTAACCGCGGAAAATTGACGTATCCTTGGTCGTTTATTTTTCACGATTTGCTGCCACGCGTATCCTTCGCTCAATTTCCCACACCCGGTGCGCCGAACCGTGAAAGATTCGATTTATAATAGAGTGCAACGCATCGAAAGTATAACGTGTATCGCCAGGCAACCGTCGTGACTTTCTCCAGAAACGATAGTCGGCGAACAATTAGAAGCAAAATTTTTTAGCTTCGATCCTCGTCTTTGGGAACTATTAACCACGCCGATATTCCGTGGATAACGACCGATATTTGTCAAGTAATTGCACTTCCGGTGAAGTCGATGGTTACGGTGTACCTTGGCGTGCCTTGGTCCTACATTAATTACACGCTATTAACTTTACTGCTGCATCTAATCAGTAAATATATCTAATTATCTTGGAATCTGTTCAGCCACAGACGAATTAGTTTTTAGCAGAAAAACAAATGTCACGGATACCTATTGATTTTACGCAAGAATTAATTAAAGGAGTTTCTTTATAAATCTAAATTAAAGTTTAAACTTTCGAGGTGTCCAAAAATAGATCGACTTGGAACAATGGCACGGTATTTTGCTACGCCCTGTAGATCAAGGAACAAGTAGGTCGTTGACACGGCGCGTAAACGTTCGCGATCGGTGGAGAGTCGCGGAGATTCGACTCGGATTTTCTCGACACGCTTTTTGTCAATCGTAGAAAAGCTAAACCCATTCGGACGGTCTCGCATCGGTAATCACTGAATATAAAAGATCACCGAGGCTCGATGGCGGCCAGTTAAGAACAAACTTTGGTGTCCGTCTGTGCTCGTTATATCGGCGACATGCTGGTACGTTTACCGTGACTCGGTTTCGATATACATTTTTTATTCGTTCGAACAGTGAAACGGATCGACGATCGATCGTAAATATGAACAATATATTGCAGATTTTGTATGTCGCTTTGTTCGTGCCGGCGCTGAGCTTGGCCGTGAGCGCGGATCGTCCGTCGAAGACTGCCAGTTTTGTGAAACCGAAGCGAGGAACCGTCGAGAACGACCACGATGCCCCGCGGGATTACAAATTTCACCAATCGAAGCCGTCCCAAAACGATAGTCCAAAGTTCCTGTCGTATTCCAAGGACGCCAAAGGTGTTCAACGAGAATCCTCGATAAATGGTCAGCCGAATTCTCATCCCAACGACCAGCTTTCGCCATATTTTGGAAACCTGTTCACCATGACAGCCGGCTACAAAGTAGCGAACGACGCTGTGCCGGTGAAACAAGCTTCGCATCAAAGCACAGGTGACGTATTGGATCGTAACGTAAATTTTAACCTCGCTTTTACTTCACGATCGATCGCGATTTCCCTTTCAGGCGTCCACGGAGTATCCAATCTCCAGGTTCCAGTATACAAGACCAACTACCCATTGTCTAAAGCTTCTGGATCTCAGATCTATATGCCCCCGTTCCAGAGCAATCTGTACTCCAAGAAGACTCCGTTACCGATTCTGTACGCGCAGAACGGTCAACAGATCCCCACAAATTTCGCGAACGTCCAAAGCCAGCCGCTGATTCTGCACCCCGTGGATCAGTTCAATTTCCCAGCGAGGACGCCTAAAGTTAACAACGCTCAGCTGAGCGCGCCCTTCTTATCGCCTCTTTCCAGTTTTCACAGTCAAGTGATACCGATATCGACGTCCAGCAACAATCCACAGTTCCCGCAGTACAAAGGCGCCGCCATAGAAATTTATCCGACCGTCGGTGGATTTTCTCCAGCGAACTACGCGCCCCTCCAGACGCAACAACAATTGCACTTTGGACAGGGAAACGTCCAACACGTTGGCGGCCATCGTAATCTCTCGCCCGCGCAGGAAATTCGAACCGACGTGGAGATTATTAACAAAAAGAAACCCTCCCTCCCCCCACCCAAAACCGACGACGACGAAGACGAGGACGACGAAGGTTCGCGATTTATTTCAATTTCGAACGACCGAGGAATTGACTTTTAAAACGCGATTGATTTCGTTTTACAGGGTACACGCCCCCGGATAGGGAATACGCTCCAAACGCGCACGATGACGACTATGAATCGAAACCGGAGAAGCACTTTAAAGCGCCCCGAACGGAGGGTGACTTCAAGCCCTCCACGTATTTCCCTTTTAAAGAGTACGACGAGAAGTTCGGCAAGTACTCGAGCCAAAATCACGACGAGGAAGCTGAGGAGAAACCATTCCCGAAATATCGCGATTACTCTTCGTCGAGCGACGATGACGATGGCGATGACACGCCCTCGGCTAAATACCATTCTAAGGAGACCTCGTCCAAGCCTTATTACAGCAGAGACGAGGAGGAAGAGGAGGAGGAGGATGGACAAGGTTATGAGAGCCAAAAAACCGAGGACACTTCGGATGATACCTACAGGTCCAAGTACATCGATAAAAACGTGGATGTCGAGTATGAGGCCTCGCCTAAGCAGAGTAGGTGTCATTTGTAACGTGTTTTTGACGGGAAACGTGGGGAAATACATTTTTCCTCAGGGTAGGCGCCTAAATTTTTCGGCGAAAAAAAATTTTTTCAAATCATTCTAAAAAAATTATTTTCAACTCCGGGGGTCAATTACAAGCATTTTTGGTCAATAGACATACCACCGAAATCCTACGCACTTTTGAGAAAAAAATTATTTTCCGTAATTATACATGTCTGACCATTCCGTTGATATGTTTCACTGAATTTTCATGCGAATCTTTAAAACGTCATAACTTCTGAACGGATTGAAGGATTTTAATGTTTCAAGCGGCAAATAACGCGTATTTTGGTCAAGAATATGTAGAAATTATAAAAATATTGGAAAAGTTGTTCCTTGACCCCGTAAAATAAGAAAAACCCCATAAAAGTGGTCCAATTTTCAAACAGCCATAATTCCTACAATAATGAATATATTTCAATGAAACTTTTTTCTGTAATAGAGATCATGGGCACCTACAAAAAAGTATTAGACAACTTTTCTGTGGGGCGTCACACAAAATTATTAAAAATCAAAAACAGGTTTCTAAGAAAAATCGACAGGGGGTAGGTGCCTAAATTTTTCAGCGGAAAAAAATTTTTTCAAATCGATCTGGAAAAATTATTTTCAGTCGCATGGGTCAATTACAATAATTTTTGGTCAACAGACATACCCCCGAAATCCTGCTCACTTTCGACAAAAAAATTCGAATAGGTGCCTAAATTTTTCGGTAAAAAAAAAAATTTCTAATCATTCTAAAAAAAGTATTTCTAGCTACGTGGGTCAATTACGATCATTTTTGGTCAATAGTCATACCCCCAAAATCCTAAGCACTTTTGAGAAAAAAATTCTTTACCGCAAATATAATGCGTGGCCAGAGATCTATGATTATATTCCTCGTTTTTATGAGTTTACATGACGAAATTTAAGAATATTAATTTGCTGATCGAGGTTTCGATTCAACCAACAGGCTATGTAACAAATGATCGATGTTACATCACGGGTTGTAAAAGTCTTCGTGTTATTTTGCTTCCGGTCGTTAGAATATTGCTGGAACAAGTGGCAGGATAAACAGTATTTCGTAATTTCAGGGTACGCGCACGCGAAGGAAGTACCGGAAGTGGTGTACGGATCAAAGTACTCGAGCAGAAATAAAGACGCCTACGAGTCCGACAGCGACGCGACGAGCCAAGGAAGCCGAACAAGTTTTAACTATCACGAATTCCCGCAAGTTTTCAACGATCACGAAGGACAGAGTTCCCATATTTCGGTGCAAATGGCGCACGAGGGAGGTTTTGGATACAAATTACCCAAGAAAATAAGAAGCAATCGCGCAAAAATCTTCGCTTGAGAAAGAAGTTAATCAACAGTAGTTAGTTTGTGTATTCTGCGTGCAATGGATCGTTGTTGCCGAAAACTATCAGTATTTAGAATGTATGGTTGCTCTAAATGTTGTTGTCAAATCTGTATCATTGTATGTGTTTGTATATATGTTCTACATAAAGTTGAGTTGTAAATGAAGCAGCACAAGCTAATTGATCATTGCGTTTCCGTACACCGATAAGTATTTTTACCGTAGGATTTAGATTCAGATTCGATATTAGTTTAGATTTACATTCGTCGAGAGTGAAGGCGACTTTCGACAGATGTTACTTATGGCGTCGACGAAACAAATTTACCTTCTCTCGATGAGAAATGCAGCTTACCGGAAGCGTGCAGGGATACAGTTAGTTCACGTTGCTTCCCTGAACAAGAACATAACATAGTCATGGCGGTCCATCAATTTCCAGCCAGGTAACCGGCTTTCCGTGCAGTGATTGTACAGCAACGCCACCGCGGCTAATCGTAATTAGACAATAAAGGCCTGTAATTCTGCCGCGGTATGTCAATTTTTCCATTGCCTCGATGGTCTTAATTAATTTTGTCATTACGCCAACGCCGATAGGGCATTCTCCTACGAATCAGAATCTGTATATATACTCTTCCTTCGACTAGGAGAATTCAGTATCATCGATATCGTCATCCACAACTCCTCCAAGATGAACGCAGCCTACACGGTAATCTACTTATTCCATTAAACGGGAATTTTCACCGATTACAATATTATAATGTAATCGAAAAAGTAATCGACGATTTTTAATCCAGTAAATTAAAAATTCACTATTTCTACCGAACATCGAAGCTTGTTTTGTTGAGTTTTTAAAATGGTTTCAGATCGTTATCGCGCTCGCATTGATCGCAGTCGCGGAGCCAAAATTGCAGTCGAAGAAAGAAAAACGAGGGGTGGCATTCGGGCCATCTGGCTATGATTTCTTCGGAGTGGCGCCTATTTTTTCCACCGGGCCATGGGCCCCTACCAATTTCGGAACATCTCCGACAATCTTTGGATCCGCTCCTTGGAATCCTTCAGGAGTGCCCGACATTCCCTTGACCCAAGTTCAAGTTCAAGCCACGCACGACGTGGCTATTCAGGTACGTTTCAATTATCCGGGTTAATGATTCCGTATTTTAATTCTATCGCGTTGCCCCCAGGCTCTGAAGGACCCAGCCCCCGGAACGCCCACCATAGCCTATCCTCCGGACGTTCTGAGGGCCATCCAGCAGGCCAGCGAAGCGAACCACAACGTGAACGCGGCTCAACAGAGGGTAGCGGAAGCTAAACACGCTGCTGTCGTTCAACAGAAGGTTGCTCTGGCGAAAGAGGCAGCTGCGAGGGAGGCTGCCGCTAGGTAAATATAATCATTTAAACAACGCAACGTCAAAGTTATTTTCTGACCGCTTCGCGAAGGTCTCAGGAGATTTCGTCGTCGGCGGACGCGGAAGCCAGATCCAGCGCGAAGCAGTTAGTGGCTCTCCAGCAGAGACTGGCGTCTCTGAAGGATGCAGTCGCAGCTGCACAGCGGGTGGCCGCGGCCAGGGAAGCGGCTGCAGCAGCGGCGATTCAAAGGAACGCCGCCGCGACAGCCGCCGAGTTACAGAAGCAGGACGTCGACAAGCAGATCAGTCAAAGCGAACAGGAGGCCAAGGTACCGTAAAATCTCAAGGAAACGAAAGCAATTTGCGTAAACCGTGGCTTTAAAGGAAGGGGAGTAACTGTTTCGATCGACTCGTAGGAAAAGGACGTCATAGCAGCGAAGGAAAACGCTGTAGCGAACGCTGTTCAGCTGGCTGCCCTGCAGAAACCAACCCACCATCCCTGGAGCCGCTGAGAGCCATCTCGTCGGCCCATAAACTCGAAAGCTTTATATTGCCCGTTATAGTTATGGTGACGGTTACGTGTACTGTTTAAATCTGTTACAAATAAATTCTGTTTCACAAACTCTGTTCATTTACTTTCTTCCCCATGAAAACACACCCTTCCTATAGACTTTTTAAGTCTTTAAATTTGTAAAAGATTACACGAAGCTGCAGAAATGAGTTTCGTTCTCGTGGACAATTTAAAGCGTTCGATTTCAGTTAATAATATTTCAGGAATGATCAGTTTCTCAATTAATCGAAGGACCCTCGTGCTATTATTCGCGTGTCGCGTAGAAAGTACCGCGTGTGCTTTCACCGATGGACGCATTGTATCGGGATCAAGCGGTAACGGAATCGCTGAGCGTGCCGGTCTCGCGATCGTTCGTTAAATTTAATCGGGTCTGTTGACCGAAAGAACGGATCTCTTCCTGTGCGATCCGGTGCACGGTTCGCCGAGTCGCGTTCATCCGCGATTATCTAACAGAGCGCGGTCGTGACACACTTCGATCGTCGCGACAAATGGATCGTTAAAGGCAACCGCTTCGAAACGACGTCGTTTCGACAGGGGGTCAGCTCCCTCTCGAATTTACCGTTTCCTGGACCGATTCCGGACAATGGAAATCGCAATTTGCCGTAGGATCGCAGTGAAAGTGGCCGCGGGAAGACGGAGTATCTGGCGACCAAAGAATGCAAGATCGGTGTCCAGTTACGTGCGATACAACGCCCAGCAGCCCGCGCTGGGAGAACGACCGGATCGGACAAACTCTCCTCCTCGAATCTAACAGCGTGTCCGGCACGGAATCCTTTCACTCGCCTCTTTCCTGACCATCCGTAATACCCCTTTTCTCCGTCGCTGCGGTCACGGCGATCCTGTCCGGCTGCTGCAGATCCGCAAATCAGGGCCAATTACGTGGGAAGAAAGTCGCTCGATCAAAGTCACTCTTTCTTGGCCCGGTGACTCCCGTGACTCTCTGTCCGTCTACCTGGACAATGGTCCTTTCCGTCACCCGTCGGCACGACCAGCCGAAGAAACACTCGGGATCGATGCACCTACGTTTCGGGGAATCGCCCGGGGAGACGGACAGAGAGCTCGACAGCTTCAGAAATGGGGGATCTTCGGCTCTCGGGACAGATCGAAGCACGAAAGTAATCGATAGTATTGTAAATGAATGTTACGTAACTTGAAAACAAGAGTGGTAGCTGTCATAGATCGATAATGGGTTCGAGTGTTTCTTTATTTCGGACAAAGTGGTTGGAGAGCTTAATTTTGCATCTACGATACAGTAGCCTTGAATTTCGACCTTAACCACCGTGCAGCGATCGTTCTAAACGACGGAGGTGTAACCTGGTTCATGAATAGGATCGCAGTGACCGTCTCTCGAGCAGACGCGACTATTATAACGGCGGAGCAGTCCTCCTTTCACGCCGAACCGGCCAATACTTTCATCGATGCTGCTTTTTTGGCTCTACTCGTGTTTTGCCTTTTACCTCACCCAGTTTTATTTGCTTTCCTTTCTTATTGCGTGAGAGATCGCGCTACTCTCACTGAGCCTAGCATATATTTTAACAATATTTAAGATCCGAAAAAACTTTCGACCGTTGGTTCGACCCATCGTGTGCGTTAAACAAAAACTATGCATCGTTTGATACAGTGAGCGCTAGTTTGCCTTGGTCAGAGCGAGTGGACGCGATCGATTTCCGGCCGGGGATCCCGCGACGCGAAATAGGGTAAAACGGAAGAAAGAGATCTAGTTGAAAAGGAAATCGCTTTCATCGCGAGGGTCCACGCTCGCATGGGCGTTCACCACGTTCACCGCGATCGCCTTGGCGAATACGCTGCATTCCGTCGCCGTTTCTCGAGGAAGAGCGATCACCTAACCTGCCCCTCCGCGTATCAATTTCGACAGCTCTGTACGGAGCATTTTGGTACACGTGAATTCCACGCGTAGACACATGGTTTCAAAGCCTGTCAGATTCTGTCACCGTGACACTGAAAGTCTCTCGTCTAGGATATCCACGAACAGTCGGTGTCACGTTTCGTTTCATGAGTGAATTTCCTATACGCGTGTAAGGTACGGGCGCGGGCATGCAAGTCCGGTTTTCAGGAGAGATCATCTGCGTGGTTAGGAAGGGGAGAGGGAGAAAGCGTATAAGAAGGAGCGGTCCATAGGCAACTACCCGCAGTATCCCTATCCGTTTCTTCACCCACTGTCCTCGTCAAGTGGCCAGAGAATGATCTTTTGGCCCCATGTAAGTAACCCTCCAGGCGGTAGAGAACGGACTCTGCGAACCGTGACCAAAAATCGCAGCTCCCTCGCGAACAATGCCGGGTGAAAAGTGTCTGTCGGTACTTTCTTCCTCGTTCTACCCCCCTCCACGTTCATCGCGAGCTTCTATTGTGAAATCATCGCCGCGAATAAGTGATTTAATAGCAACCGATGACCGAATCCCTGGTCCGATTAATAGTAGATTCTGTAACAATAAAAAGACTCGAGATTAATCGTCGACTGTTTCAGGTGCTCGTAGCGAGCTTGATCGCAAGATCTGCGTTGGCCGAGATCGAAGTTGGCGATTATGGAGGCTGGCAAGGGTAAGATCGAACGTCCCTGTGAACGAAAATATTTTTTTAATAATTGATTGCTTCTCTCTATAGAGTCTCCGGGGGCGGAGGTTACGGTGGGGGACACGGCGTGGAATTAGGACACTTGTCGGGAGGCATCCACGATGGCCTGTCTAGTTATGGTTCCTACGGCTACGGGGGCGGTGGATTTGACCACGGATTGCACGGGGGACACGTCCAACACCATTACGCCCCCGCTGTGCCTGTCAGCGAGCACGTCGAAATCACCAAGCCCGTGCCGATTCCTGTAATCAAAAACATCGGTAAGTTGTTCGATAGCTCGATGCAAACCTGTCCTTGGCCCAGTACGATCGTGGATCTTGACCTTCTGTTGCGCAATGCATCGGGAACGCGATGAAAGCAATCCTCCGGAGAGTCGAGGAACCTGCACGCGATGTTTTAAAATGAAATTCACGGAGGCGGAGCGTTGTAGTTTCCCTGAAAATAAAAAAGACTCCGTTAGAGCAGATACGAAGTAACTGCTCCTCTAAATTCTGATCGGAAGGAGTCCTCTTGCGATTTTCCAAATCGACTCGTCGATTTCTGCGCTTTCACGCACGTAGACTGTAACTAAATCTAGACTTTTTGCCCGACCATCGACAGGAGTACCGGTAGCTCAACCGGTAGCGATACCAGTGCCCCATCCGGTGGCGGTGGGCGTCCCGCAACCGTATCCAGTTCACGTGCCCGTCGCGAAGCCGATCGCGATCCCCGTGGTAAAGACCATCGCGGTCCCCGTCGAGAAGAAGGTACCGTTTCCCGTGGAGAAGGTGATACCGGTCCCGGTGGAGAAACCCGTGCCCATTCAAATCGAGAAGCACATCCCGGTGCCTGTGGAAAAACCCTATCCGATTCACATCCCCGTCTACAAGCACGTGTTCCATCGGGTGAGGTCCCACGGGCACGGATGGAGCCACTAAACGCGTCCTCGACGCTCAGAAGATGTACAGATACTCACGCTTCCACGGAAGAAGATACGAAATGCAGTTTCTGCGCGTGCATCCTCCGATAAGCGACATTGCAGTTCTCCTTGGAAGAAGGTGACACGAATCGTCCGGCGAATCGGAGGATCGACGAGGACACATCCGTCGATAAGGAACGACCAAACCCCCCCCGAGGGTCTTGTTAAGCAGTATTTATGTTTGTTTGTTTGCTGTGTTGAATAAATGATTGATAGTTAATCGTTCTCCCGTTTATTCTCTCCTTTGTCACGACTAAATATCCTCTTTAACGTTTCAACTTGAGAATTAAAAGCTTTGTCACTCGTATGTGAATGACCTGCCAGTCAAAGTGCCAAAGCTACATAAATAATCTCCACAAAAGCGTTGAGAGTAAGGAATGGTTGCAGTCGTTTCTTACACACGGGAAAGTCGATGCACTTCACGTTGGCCAATCCGACAATGGTCGCGGAGTTACCGGTCGTGTAATGACGGACTATTTTCGCGACGTGGTCGTGCGTGCAGTCTTGAACTCCGAGGAACGTCGATACCATTCGGAGCTGTCGATCAAAGTGACAACTGGTACTGTTATCGTCGAAACGATTACGAAGGCCCCTAGTCGGAGTAACGGACCGTTCGATCGGTTCGCGTAAGTTTCCGAGAGAATAATTACGGACAGTTGAGTCACGAATCCTTGGGCACCGCCTTAGCCTCTTAATTATCATAATTTTCTGGATAGTTACGATAGCAGATAGCGTACTTCGCGCCTAGATGATCTTGAGAGGCTTTCGTTATGCTCTCTCCACAGCTCCGGTTAAATTGCAGAAGTGCGTGAGCCTTGTTGTGTCTCGGGTATCGCGGACATGCGATCGTCAGCCGGTTATTTGTCGTCTAACGCGAACGTTTTCTACCATTCTAGTTTTCAGATATTAATTACGCCCGCACGTAACAGTTCAAGAAACTTCTCCGAAGGTAACGAACGAACTTTTTCGACGAACAATTTCACCAGGAATCGTTCGAGAGGCGCATTTTTTCGCGACACTTCGGCTCGTTGATTAACGAACCGACCGGATGATGGAATATAATCGTGCACCTCCGATGAGTCTATTCTCGATACTTTCTAACTTCAATGTTATACTTGGCAACACGGTGAGTGAAATAATAAAAGATAATTTTAACTTCGGGAAGTCTGAACGAAAATTGTAAACGAGTGGGATCAAGTGCTTTCATCGCGGTGCAGAAAATTCGACATTTAATGATTTCAGGAGAATTATAAACGGAAATCTCTCTTCCTGTCCAGTAGCCGTTTCCTCGAGGAGATTAATTTATCGTTCGTTACGAATTCTCACGCCAACGAATGCCTCATAATTGACCGCTCTTTTCATTCGATTTTCTGCGCGATCACGCAGGAAAATGCCCATTATATTAGAGCATTCGAACAACTGTCGCAGAGTTTACTCACTCTGCTTCCTGATTCTATTTAAACCATCGATACGCTATACATGATTTATATATATTATTAGAAAGCGATTTCTGTGCTTATGTTTGCACGACTCCCATTCTGGCCGTTCCAGACAGAAAAAGTCAAAATGGTGCTTGTTCTATGAACGTTGATCTTCTTCTGAACTAAAACTGCTAAGGAAAAGTGTATGAAACACGTTAATCGTAGCATCTACAACTAAACGTTCTAACTATTCCTCACAAATTACAAGAATCCAGTGCAACATACTACGATAATCACTGGGTACAGGAAAGAAATGTAATGATTAACGTTCCTCTTGCCGTTTTATCGAGTATTACACATCTGGGCAAAAAGAACATTAATTGCTGCATTTCTTTCCTAATCTTGACGATCTTTATAAATTGAAAAATCTCTCAGAATAATTTTCAAACCGAGGAAGGCTGTAAAATAAGATTATTGATTCTAAAAACTGGACATACTCTTAATAGTTTATCCTGTAACAATGGTGCCCCAAGAAAAGGAAATGTCTGCGGCCAAGATATGTGCTCAGATTACAATCGTAAAAAAAAATACACTTCGAGAGATGTTACACTTTCATGATCAATGTACTGCTATAAAAAAATGTTTAAGACAACAGCACCTTTCTACTGAACCTCTCGGTCCACGCCTCCTTAGGGGTTGCCCTCCCCCTCTTTGAAAGACACTGATTTTAATGCACTTCGAAGCTCGAGAACGTTCAGGCCTGACTTTCGATCACGATTACCATTCTAATATCACATTCTTGCAACTCTAATTGCATGAATATCCATACCCCTTCCTCGAATTAACTCGTTTGCACTATTCGTATGCTCAATTCGAAGCTTTAAATGACGTTCGTTGAACCGCGCGATAGATCTTTGTTGAATGAAATTTTTAATCCGGGGATTCTCTGATAATTTAATTGCATCTGCATAGGATACCCGTTGCAGTACAACGCGAGGATTGAAACGAGCAAGCGAGCCAAGGCTACGAAGCCAACGAACCGAGCACGAATAACGCCTGGGAATCTTCAAAGTTCCGCGAGCCTTGAATATGTATTGACGTAATGGTAGGAGCACGGGCAGCAGTAACAAATCGTAGCAGGGAATTCCGAGCGTACGCGTAGGAATAGAGCAGCAAATGTCTAATTCGCGCGGCGCTGTCGGATCCACAAAAGCGGCCAATGCCTAGGACGGTGCTCGCTGGACCGATGAGCGGAGAAAGAATTGCACCGACCGCGCGCAATTCACCGCCACGGTATCCCAGACTAAACTACATCGTCGACAGTGAAAGGCCCGTCGGTATATTAAGACCAGCAATGAGCAAAGATGTATCAGTCGGCGAAGGAACTTCTGCAACCAGCAACCTGGTCTACAGAGCCAAATGCGTCTAAACATGAATACGATCGTGAGTAAAGAACATTCAAGGCAAAGTATTTTCCATCGTGACAAAGAGGAATCGTTCCGTGACAAACGAACCGTAAATTCAAACGTTTAACTTCGCTACACTGCAATTCCGCGTTTAACTTTAAACACTTGACGGGTAATGTTCAGTAGAGTCCTCGCACGAGTACTTTCCATTCGCTCAGACTTGAACTTTACCTTCGTCGTGCAGGTGCTGCTTTCTCTGGTGTCCTTGGCCACGGCCACGCCCGTGATCGTGAACCAGGATCAAAACGCGTACCACCCTCAGCTCTACGGAGGTTTCCATCCGATAGAAAGGTCCGACCAGGAGACCCACGGCACGTCCGGGGGTGGTGGTTACGGCGGTGGCGACTACGGCGGCGGAAGCTACGGCGGCGGAAGCTACGGCGGCGGAAGCTACGGTGGCGGTGATTATGGCGGCGGTGACTACGGCGGCGGAAGCTACGGGGGCGGCGGTAGCTACGGAGGCGGCTATGGAGGCGATTTGGGAGGTCATGGGGGCTTCGAGGGATCCTCCGGAGGACACTTGGAGGTTTCCAGTGATCACTTGGGCTCGGATTACTCCTCCCTCGGCGGCGGATACGAGGGTGGAGACCACGGTGGCGGCGGTGTCTCCCTCGACGGCGGACACAGCGTGGTCCAGAGCGTGCCTGTGTCCGAGCACGTCGAAGTCACGAAACCTGTGCCCGTCAAAGTGATCAAGCACATCGGTAAGCTTCCTGATCCACATCCTTAGATGCTCGTACAATCACGACAGCCAAAGTGTTAACACGATAAACTTTTTTAGGGGTGCCAGTTCCTCAAATCTACAAGATAGCCGTGCCCCATCCGGTGGCCGTGGGTGTTCCTCAGCAGTACCCGGTGGCCCAGCCGGTCCCAAGGCCTGTACCCGTGCAGATCGTGAAGACCGTGGTGGTTCCGGTCGAGAAAAAGGTTCCGTTCCCCGTGGAGAAGCACATCCCAGTGCCGGTGGAGAAGCCGATTCCTATCACGATCGAGAAACACGTGCCAGTGCCGGTCATCAAACCGTACCCGATCAAGATCCCCGTCTACAAGACGATATATCACCACGCGAAGAAGCACTAGAGCTTTCGATCGATGTCGAAACGACCGCAGAGGCTGAACAGCCAATTATGGAACCCTAGTGGAAGCTTGCGAAAAGATCCGATCGCCGAGACGAACGACTGTATTCACAGTTTCTTTTGTATATACGTTAAGCACCGTTGTTACCGATGTCCTTTTTGTTACTAAGTCTCTCTAAACGTTATTGTTCATGTTTTTGCAATAAAAAGCTTGGAAAAAAAAAATACACGTAGACGAATTCTTTGCCGGTGAAAGTTGATCATCGTCGAGATTTCTGCGTAGATTTCCCTCTCGATATTACGAGCCGATTTATCTTCCACGTAAAGTACGTCGAACGAAGTAGACGCACGCGCGTTGAACGCAATTACTGCTCCGTATAATTTTATTCTTGTATCTTCGGATTAAATCGAGAAGTTTATCGCGGATTCCCTCGACGCTTCCTCGTACGTTGCATGGAATAGTTTTGAGAAGAGCCACATTTCGTAGGAGAAATTCGATAGCCGTTCGACGGAACTTTCCACGCGGCATTGGAGGGATTAATTAATTTTTTCTTATTAACCCGTACGAATTGGATGTTTGTACGACGCGTGCATCGATGTATCGGTGTTAACGCTCACGAGATCGGTAATCAAAACTTTCACTGATATTTTCGATACATCGCCTACAGATTCCGTGGAAAGTGAACGTAGCCGGCGTTCTAATTCGGGACAGGAGGGAGCATGATCGACGCGATTCACCATGGCAAATGAGCCGTGAAGACCGGGGATGCTCGCCTAAGCGAGCGCTAAACGGAAGTCGCCGGGACCAGAGCGGTCGACACTTTCTTTGACGTTTCCGATGATCAGAAAGCGACCGCACGAAAGCAGTTAAAACGATTCCGATGTATATTAATAGTCGCATAGTAATGAAAATGCAAATTAGTTTTCACGTCCACCGAAGTCGTTCTTTTATTCATTAACCCGTACAATCGATTACAACGTACAGTTTATACGAGATCCAATAATTCTCGAAAGTTGCACGTTAAGTGCAAGAAAGTTTATGTTAAATATGCACGTTGTTCCTTCGATTATTATTCAGAGGCCTCTAATAGGTGATATTCATGTTTGGGCCAAAATCTTCATCACGAATCAGGCTTGTTAAAGTTCGGGAAGGGATTAACGAAAGCATTCCTTGCGAACGATTCGAGCAACTACCGTTTTTCAGACTCATTACGAATGTAACGCTGCCCAATATTGGGCCCACGGATTGAGAAACGCTGGTTTATACAATGTTGGTAAGGCGATTGACCGGTATCGGGAAGCAGGAAGTTGTTACTACTTCTACTCTCGGTTCATCGTGTAACATGTAGAAGTTTATTTGATCGTGTCTAGAAAGGTGCTCGATTAAGTTGCTTAATCCTTTCGCTTCGACGGACTTCCATCAAAACATGCTACCATTTGCTCGAAAAATGTTTCGCCGCAGATTGATGAAGTCGATATCCGAAATGAAACATATTACTTTTCTTCCTGTCCAACTAGAAAGTGAGGTTTTATTTCATTTAGAAAGAGGATCTGGACCATCGGTCCGGGTTAACTTATATTCTTTATCATAAATATTTTTAAAGCGCAATAGCGTCAAGATGGAAGGCTACCGATGGTCCACGTATACGAGTTCATTATAAAAGTGGTGCAAGCCCACTTACACAGATCGTTCCACGATAAGCGCCTCTTGTTACGATTATTAAATAGTGGGAGATACGAAGAAACGTAAAAGGACTCTCGTTCGTTATTTTTTACGTGGAATCACATAAATCTCGTGACACGTTTGGGTCCAGAAGCATGACATTGTTATACACTTTCCTCCACATGCTTTCTCTATTCTATTTATCAACTCAAACGAATCTAGACCGAAAGAGGATTTTATTTCGTTACGGAAAAAATATATATTTTGGGCATCGCGTGTAAATATTTCGCTCGAGCAATGGACACACATTCGCGTGGATCGTGTGTGATAATTAGCGGCGAAAGGAAGACGCCGAGAGAAACACTGTTGAAAACCGTGTGATCGAAGAAGGACGGAAGTCGCGCGTTACGTAACAGCCTCGACTGGTACACACGACGTTAGAAGAAACAGAGAAACGTAACCTGTACAGTGAAGGTGTCGAATAGGATTTCGCGGTATAGTGGGGTGTCCCGGTGTTTCCCTCTGTGCAGCTATATAAAGTGTCTACGCGAAGAATTTGTCATGAGTTTATCTTTTATTCACGAAGCATTCGTATGCGCGGCACAGGAATAGAATGGAGAAGCTCGTACGTGAGTTGTGACGTCTGCCACCCCCCTATATCATGTCATCGTTCATGCCAGTAACCGATATCGATTAAGTGCGATCCAGCTTCCGGGATGTTTTTTGTTTTTAAGATCCTAATGCTGATGGTGGTCGGGTCAAGCTTGGCCGGTGAATTGGAACTAGGAGGCCACGGACTGACATTGGGGGAGATCGATGTGGGTCAGGATGGCCACGATATTGGTTTGGGTGAAATAGGTCCGATCCTTCCTCTGTCGCGCTACTCACGATCGAACGCGATTATTTATCGATTCTAAGATAACATTCGTGTATTTTATTTCACTGAATCAGGAGGCTGGGACTCCGAGATCGATTCGGGAGGTCACGGCGGAGGTGGACACTATATACCCGTCGTGAAATCAATCGGTACGTAAATCACCGTGGTCGAAAACGATCATTACAAAAGGATTTTTCACCGCAATAGGAGTACCGGTGGCGAAGCACGTTCCGTTCTACGTTAAGAGTCTGCAAGTTCAGCAAGTGCCGCAGCCTTACGCAGTTCCGGTTTTCGTACACAAACCCGTTCCTTATCAGGTTAAATTGACGCTTGATTACCTCATCCGGTCTCGAGTCGCGTCCGTCCGGTCAACCTAAATTTCGTTTCTGTTTCCACAGGTGGAGAAACAGGTGTTCAAGAAGGTGGAGAAGAAGGTACCCACGCCAGTCGAGAAGATCATTCCTGTGAAGGTCGAGAAGCACGTTCCGTTTCAAGTGGTGAAACACATTCCCGTTCCCGTTGTCAAGCCGATACCAATCAAGATTCCGGTCTACAAGACGATCGTTCACAGTCACAAGGGGCATTAATTGTTCGCTAATTACTCCAACATGTTACACGTTGTACCTTTCGATGTTCAAAATTATTTATTAATAAATTGAAACTGTTGATTACAAATGGTTTGGTCTAAATAATTCCCAAGTAACTAGCGAGATAAGTCCTTGAAAGATGGTCTACATTCGTAATATATGAATTTTATGTCCTGGTTAGAAATCTAAAGCAACGCGTTTTAGAATATCTAGACTCTCATCGCACTCTATACTGTAAAAATTGAATTAATCAAATGGTTGTGCTCGCTAACGAATGCCATATCAATCTGCTTCGTTACACAACTTATGGCTCGAATTCAAACGATCTTCGTGATTCACGGTTCAGCCTGCTGCTGTATCATTACTTTATTTCCGCGTTTTACGCATATGTCCCTATCTTCTTTCCTTTTACTTTACTTTCTATATGAATATGCATGCTTTACCAAGAAATTCTATGGTAACGATGTTATAATGTAGCTGCACGAGAGTTCTGGTATTTCAAATTAATTTCAGCAATCGTAGGATACAGAAAAACAAAGGAATCCCGAGTTACGTGATCACGTTGACTCGATGTCACGATTATTGAGTCGTGACAATGGTGGACGATGGTGCGATGGAGAAAAGAGAATGTACACGCAGGACGCTGGTGGCGAAAGTAATCACCGCGATTGCTTTCCTCTGTCATTGACCTTCGCAAATTCACGGCAAGATAGTGCTCGATGGGGGGAAAGAGAATGTAACTGGTCGAAATTTATTCTTCTTGAGATTCGTCTCCGCGTCGACGGAATCAATTTTACCTAAATTGTAGCATTTGCAGAGATACGAAAACGAAATTCAAAATCAACTTTCACCCGACGTTTTTCCGATCTCGTTTGCTCAACGCGGAAGAACGGAAGCGGGCATTTAATCGAGCCTCGCGAGCACATCGTTAACGCAAGAAACGATGAGGTAATTGATGGATAATCAAGCTCGTCTGCAACGGAAGGACGCGTTATCCTTCCGTCGAGCAGCGCGACAGAGGAAAAGCGGGAAAGTGGTCAAAAGCGAGGAAATGTATGTTATTTAGAATACATTATATTCTCGACTTCGGGTTCAAAAGGGTCCTGCAAATGATAGACCGCGTAGTGAAAACGTACCAAGAAACGTGGATAGAGGATGACTGACGCGGAGAAAGTAAGGCACGAAGATGATCCGTCGTTTGGTCGATCTTGACAATCACTAGGAGGAAGACGGAAGAGCAAAGGAAATCGTAGGAGGATGTATCTTTGGATTTTTTCCTGTACATTGTGCAGGAATGGGAAAATATTCAGTTGTCAGGTTCCGTGTTCTTCTACGTTAACGTTCGCGAGATTCGTTATCCAAGCGTACGTTGCACAATCTATGGATTATGCCCTCCAAAGTGTATGACGATACGAACATTTATATAAGATAATATTATCGCTTAAAAGAGAATTACAATTTATTTGTATAATCTACCTGTCGCCACGACTGGTCGAAAAGCCGGAATTGATGTAGCATTACATCGGCCAGTCGACCGGTTCTAAATAACTTGCGGTTACAGGCATTAACGCGCCTCCAAATTGCTCTTCCGCGAGCAAACGTGTTGCAGATAATTAAATAAATACATCAAACGTGCGACAAAAGAAACCGAAACATGTAAAATAGATTGAAAGGTCTGGGTCAGCTCTAAGGGCTGTTTTCCGATTTTCCGATTCCCTAAACAACGCAATCAACCCTTATAATAAATTTATTTTTGAACTTAAATAGAAACATAGCTTAAACTTCATCATAGCTTAAAATCATGTTCGGAAACAATAGCAAATCGTCTAAAGTTTGAAATGCCTGCCTCGAGAGGTATTATTACTTCATACCATCTATTTATCTATTTAATCTTTCTTCTGTTTCCCGTACACTCCGATATAAACGATCAAATAATTACGCACGAAGAAATTGTTAAAACCGGTAAATTTAATTGCTCTCTCGACTCGATGCAAAGAAGTGCAAGGACTTCTCTAACGATTGCTTTCGCGCACCGCCTCTCGACTGTCCTTTCACGTTGTTCTTTACGATAACGAGCGTAATTCAACGCTACCTTGCATGCGCGCAGAAACAGGAACAAGAACGTGGGCGAAAGAAATGCATGCAGAAAAAAAGTTCACCGGCGAAAGTAAAATTCGAAGCGGAGCTCGGCAGCCGCCGTGTTAAAGACGTTCTAAACAGAGGCGATACGCCTCGATTGTTGCTAAACATCGAGCATTAAATTAGCGGTTCCGGCGCAACAATCGGACTGTTTCTACGTTTGGGATAATAATTCATACGGTGTATAATAGAGACTTCGTACGGTTTATCTTGTCCAAACGATCAACAGGAAAGAACGATGGTAGAATCCCATGGATCACCGCGGTGGAAGTTGTGTTTCGTTGCAAATTATCGGTAATTAAATTAAGATTCTAGTACGAGCAATATTTTATGGGACATTCTGATACTTGCTTTTAATGCAAACAACGACTTTGTACGACGGAAATTCGCGCAGAGGAGACATTGTAGCCGTATAAACCGTACCGAATTCCGAGACAAACTTTCCACCGTGAAATGATAGCTCACGGTAGCATGGTCTCCCATCCAGAGATATTACCATATTACATATTATCCGCGCTCGCATTAAATTGCTGCCGCAGTTACATTTAACTTCTGTTCTATCTCATCTCCGGGCTTCTGGGATTAATATACACGTTAGCGGACAACCAAATTGCGTTGCGATGTTTCCTGGACGACGAGGCGGCGTCGAATAATTAAACTACCGCTCGGAGTAAGAGGATCCCGGCTACGAATGATAATTATAAATTTTCAAAGCAACGCCACGAGAAACGCTACCCGTACCAGCCGCGTTAAAGAATGTTGCAAATGTATGATCTACGAAAGTGGATGCACTTTCTTCTCCTCTCTCGCGGGCATCGATCGTTTGGATCAAACGTTCCAAAATATCTGATTTTGTCTAAAAAAGCACCTATTCAAGGAAACGATCGCAGAACCATCATCGTAATATGATAATATGATAAATAAAAAAGAAACTGAATGCTGTTCCGGAAGAGAGCAGCTTATTGACTGATGTATCTCGTTACGTCGAGTTTGGCGAAACATATTAACCTATCTGCATCTTATAATGGGATAAAAATAAAAGAAATTCATTGGATCGATCACCGTTTCGCGAGAAATCCTTTCACAAGAACGCATTACGACTTTCATTCCATCGCACCGAAAAATTTGAGTTGCTTTGAATGCCTTCACGGCGGAGAGCGTTATTCACCTTCACTTCCGGTAAAATTTAGATACGAGCGATACAGCCGCGGGGCCGGTCTACACCCGAAAAAAAAAGAAATCTCATGGGTGATCGCCCTTTCTCGCATCAGCGAGCCAAAAATGCCAGGCGAAACAATTTCACCGCCGCGGTTCGAGCTCCTCGCTGGGTATCGTGATTTATGCGGGACGATTAATGGATTTTTTTCTTCTACCGCCGCCGTTCTTGAATATTTAATTCCACACAGAGAACCGACGGCTCAGTTGCCACGGAGTCGGAATCGTCTCTGGAAGTTTTCGCGACCGCACCAGGCGTTCACTTCCGGTAAATGGAACGACCGTGTAAATTTGCGGTTGCATCCCGAAGACGCTTTTGATCTTTCGCGGTGGCGGTGACTTCGCGGTAAGCGTAAAATTATTTATGATCCCACTTAAATTTCCCCCTGATATCTGGATTAATTTCTAATTCCAAACTTCTTCCAAACTTAAGAAGAATTAGTTATAATACTTGGTCCTTAAAATTGTTGATCGAAATTCGAAGAAGTTACGAACGAAGCATCGAGCATCTAACGCGAGCAGGGTACACTTTGACCCGATCTGGGTGAAATTCTTTCATTCAAAAGCGATCCATTGAACGTAGAGTATTACCCTAACGACGGATACTTCCATGCATTTCCCGCGCCCGCAAGCACGCGTAATCCAAACTTCCTGTGTATCGTAGACAGGGAGCGGTTCAATGAACCGCGTGAAAAATGAAACGCGAACCTTTCATATTCATCAGCCGGCGCATAGACTTCCCCTAAAGGTTGTCCCGCGGTTAGATCTAGCTCAGTATAACATGGAAAGGGTCGAGACTCTAGCATAAGGAATCAGTGAAAGGTGGTGGAATCGATGTTAGTATATAAGCTCGGTGTTCCACTGCCATAGACATTCAACGCTCGATTCTTGTACTCACACAATTAATACACCCCCGTCCGAACACCTGCAGCTATGAATCAAATTGTAAGATTTTTATTCCAAAAACACGCGGAACTGGAAATTTTGTTAAATCGTTCCAACGGTCTAAATGCACTTACAGATTATTAGAACACTAACGAAACCTTTCTACTTGTTATCGGTCATAGACGAGGAATGAGAATAACGACTGGAATGTTTACAGATCGCGTTGATCGGGCTAACGATGTTCGCTGGAACGGTTTTTGCGGGTCACCTGGACGAAGACCACGGTCACTCGACCTACGAGGAAAAGTCGAGGCCAGTGGAGATACCAATCTATAAAAAATATGGTAAATATTTTAGGAAATTTACTGCACTCGTAGAATCGGGCAAGAGTATTTGGACGCTCGTATTTTTAAAATTGCGTAACGATTGCCCGATTCTGTGTACGTATTTTTAAAAAGCGCGATGATTAACGATAATCATTTGTTTTTCCAGCGATCCCGATACCTCATCCAGTGCCGGTCGAGATACCTCAAAAGATAGAAATCCCGATCCCGCAGCCGCAAAATGTCCCCATCGAGATTCCTCAGCCATACCCGGTGGAAGTCGTCAAAGAAGTCGAAGTCCCTATTGAGAAACCAGAACCAGTTATCGTCGAGAAGCATGTAAGTACTCGTCATCGCTCGAATAGAATTATTAGGAATATCTTTGCGCGGTTCGTAACGCCGAATGTCTCGATCGATCGTTCTAACGTGTAATTCTCGCATTGACGCAGGTACCTTTTGTGGTGGAGAAGCCGTATCCGGTGTACGTGGAGAAGAAATTCCCTATTCCCGTCGCCAAGCCGTATCCGGTTCATGTTCCAGTCTACAAGCACGTATTCCATTACACCTCCAAGAGCAAAGGATGGCACTAAGCTCCGATTCAGCTCGCCGCTAAGCTGCTTGGGAAACTCCTCTACGGACCGATGATCGTTTCGCCTGGAAATCATTTAATCGAACTTGACGCATCGGTCCGAACGAACGCTGATAAGAGGCTCGTGTCGACCGCTGCGTCGTCGACACCGATGTTACCGTTACGAATTTTACGCACTCGTTAAGTTTTTTTTCTACTCCAGCGAACCGAAGTTTGTTTCTTGTTAATAAACGATGTCTGAAATGTAAAGCTTCGTGTTTGACTTAATCGCACTCGGTGATCTATACGCGCCGACGATCGCGTGCGCGCACACCCCGCGCATAATTCGATTAGTCGATCGCGGAAGATAATCGAGCGGGTTCGATCGACAGGAAACGGTACTAGGTCGAACGCGTCTTCCTGGTCGAGGTTTATCGACGAACAAAGGGGCAACGGCGTAATCCCCCCGCGTTTCGTTCCCCCTTTTTTGATCCGCGGTGTTACGAATCGACTAGAAAGGAACCGACCACTGTCAGGGAATTCTGCGCGATCTTGATTCGCCATAATGAGCCCGAGACAGCGGCGTTCCTGCATCGAAACCACTTTTACTCGAGATACACTTTCACTGTTCCGCTCGCTGATACGGAGAGTATCGTGTACGATTCGAATCTTCTGTGCAACTTCTCTCCCATGGCCACACCTCGGCATCTTTCTTCCTCGGCACGCTCTCGTAACGTCACGTATTGAATATTCAAAAAGTACTAATATTTCATTCTTTACGATCGAAATTTCTCCTCCCACGGTTACATTCCCTAACACGTTCAATATTAAAGTTTTACTCCCCATCTTTCGATTAAGTTTTAACCACCAGATGGCCTTTTCATGACGGATTTCTTCGATCAACCTTGACATTCACCCTGTCGGTCTTACGAGAGTAAATTAATATTTTCTTTATGCAACGATACGAGATTATTAAGGAGAAAATAATACGTTGGGGAAGACTTGGTCGGTTCACGATGTGTATTATTTTCTGCTTTGTTCCGTGTACTCGTATGTATTTATTAAAATCATCGTACAGTTCGACAGCACTTTTCTCCAACACATGCTGTACGTTTTCATGCATCTGTGCCAAGGCCCGTTTGAAAGTTAGATCCACGGCGCGACGGGATGATCGATGGACATTCGATGAACCCTGCACTCGCGCTAGATCGAATATCTCCGACTGCACGCTTAAATGTTTGTGGCAATTAACTCGTGTTTATTTTGTAACGATAATTGCGGTCTCACACGAACGTAGAGTTAGTATCAGAGTCCTGAATATGTTTTGACCAATTCTACTTCTGTTAAATGTCATCTATAATCTATAATTCTGTGTCACAGAGAACATTTAATAAAATAACACTGCTACGATATTTGTTTACAACGAATTAGTGTCAAGATCTGGAAGGAGAAATTAAAAGAAGACTTTCGAAGAACTGGATTTAAAGACTGACTTCACTGGTATCTATGACACTGGTAAAGAAGTAGGTCTAGATTAAGTCTAAACCTGATTAAGAAGAGAGTGAAGTAGAAACTGTATGCATATTACTAGGGTACACTAAGTTAATTCAGTCGAATGTAATAGCGAAGGATAGTACACCAAGATTCCAAAATTAGAATGTAATATTTTTTTTATATAGAATTATATCAATGTCTTCGAAACATTCTATATATTATTGAATATTGTAAAAAATAAACTGTATCGAAAAATTCAATAAATTCACCCGTTTTCTATACGAAATAATAGTATGCTTTGTCTATCGTTTTACACCCTGGGCGCGAAAGTTACAACGACGTTAAACGATCTACAGCGATCGCGTGTTAATTCCAGATGAAAACGCCTCGACTAATAACGAACCTGGCTGACAGTAATTTACAAATTGTTCATCCAGCGAACCAGACCACGACCAGGTTGTGTTCTCCGCGCTCGATCGAACTCGAAGATTACTATACTCAGCCACCTACGATTATCGAAAAACTAATTCGCCGCCGGATAACAAGGATTGTTAATTACACCCTTAATTACTCAATGAAGAGATGATAATCGACGGGATAGAAACAACTTCCTTTCGCTGGAGCTATTTGTTCCACGACAATGTAACGTTCATTCAATACGGTGAAAATCGAAAGCGACTGCTGCGTTTGGTATCCGTGGGAGCAGTGACTGTACATTTTTCGAATATCTATCGTTCCCTCGTCTAATTACTCGTGCGTAAATACACGGGTTGACGAGTTCTCGGAACGGGGGCGTCGCTTCGATCGCGATCGATCGTCGGCGTTAAAAAAAAAAATGAACGTTTAGCGTCGGGAACGAGGAGGATCGGTATCGCGACAGCATCGATGCGCTGTGAAATGTTAATCTCGCTAATTGTCCAATTAATACGGAGTTGGATTTACGGGAACTGGGAGCAGGTCGACGCGTGAATGTCAGGAAGAGCGAATGCTCGTCCGTTCGTGGATGTGTTATTTTATCTACGCAGACAAACGCCGGACGAATATACGCGACGTGTAGAAAGAGGCAACGTAATGAAGAGAAGGGAGAAAGTGACTTTGGTATATAAACACTTGGCCGTGACTTTGAAAGTAACAAACAGTTCGTGGCGAGTTAACATTGCGGGTTGAGCGCCGTAGATTCGTTCGAGCGTGATCGCTGGGTTCAGCAAAAAAGACCATGAGGATTTTCGTAAGTTTCTATCCGAGAGTTTCTCGAGTCGCGTTTGCCGCGTGAAGTTCCACGGCCGCGAGCCCCCCTAATCTTTCTTGAGAGATTTTTCTCCAGTGCAAGAGTTTCACCGACGTGTACCAAAAAGTTCATTTATTGTCTCGACTCTAGATATTTGCCGCCCTGGTGGCAGCAGTGTGCGCATCGTACGACGAGGGCCATGGCGGATCTACCTACCACGAAACCTCGAAGCCCGTGGAAATTCCGATTTACAAAAAATACGCCATACCGATTCCACATCCGGTCCCGGTCGCGATCCCTCAAGAGATCAAGGTTCCGATCCCTCAGCCGTACCAGGTCGAAGTTCCAGTGCCACATCCGGTGCCAGTAGAGGTCGTGAAGCACGTGGAGATCCCCGTGGAAAAGCCCGAGCCCTACTTGGTGGAGAAAAAGGTACACAGTGAACGTAATATCGCGTCCAACTCCTGATCTATCGAAAGATACCAAATTGCATCGCGTTCCTCGGTTCTCCGACGATCTATACGCGAAAGTATCTGGTCGGTGTACCATTCTTGGACAATCTGGTCTACGGAGAACCCTAGTTGTCACTCGTTTATGAGTGAAACGTCGTTTGTCGTTCGCGATAGACTGGTAACAACGGTCGTTGAACTCCCGTAATTCCATCTAGAGACTCAAGATTGGTTTGTGCACAGGTACCGTACGTCGTCGAGAGACCATACCCAGTGACGGTGGAAAAGCATTACCCAGTGCCTATCCCGAAACCGTATCCAGTCCACGTGCCCGTCTACAAACACGTCTTCCATCATCAGAGCAAGGGGCACGGTTGGAAGCACTGATCCCTCAGGAGCAACGACGTCTTCGAAGCAGTTTGGCCAAAAACTATAACCGATAGAAACACGTTGTTTCTTGGAATTGTAACACTTGTAAATAGTACGTCACTGTATACATAATGTATTGTTACGTTGTTTAAATAAATTGTTTTAATCGTAACCGATCTTGTCGCTTTCTTTCCTCCGACGAACCGATCCGTTTCGAAAGCGCGACGCTAGGCTCTGTTTCTGTTTCGACCACCGCGACTCGTTTTTCCTTTGTGTCGCAGTATTTCTTAATTGGGTCACCCAACACCAAATACGATTCTTTCGAGGACCGAATACCCCGCGTGTTTTCTCGACTTAATTGCCACCGGATCTGCAGCGAAATAATTACTTTGCGTCTCGGTGAAAGTAAAAGTCGATGATTTTGCGAATAGAGGATCTCCGGAACCGGTTGCTCGATCGACGACTTCGAATTGATCGAGAACGTCTACGAGACGCTTTTCAATAATTTTGAGGATGATAAAAGACGGAGTTATTTCGAAAACCGAAAGGATCTCGTACGATTTTTGTAACGGTGTTCGAACGCGACTGTATGCGCGATCCCTTTTGATCGCAAGACCGTCCTTCTATGGAAGGCGACCCCCCCGCTTGGGAAAACACTGATTTACGGTCTCTCGATTGGATATACCATAAATTAAATAACGTCGTAGTAAATATTTCCAGCGAGCGTAACTATTTCTTGCCCGTATCGCGAATTTCTGTAGGCGACACCTGCAGCGATCCAGGGAGCGCGTTACGAGTCCTGCCCTCCGGTTTTGTCGGTCCAGAAACCGGCCAATGACTGACCGTCGGTGTTGTAAATGACGAACGCCTAACTATCGACCGCGTAACGTGACTGTACGCCCCGAGGTACAGAATTTATTCAGGAAATACCGGGGCGCGAGACCAGTTGCATCATAGGCCTGCATCGACGACCGCTTTTTACGGCCGCTTAAGGGAATCGCATTCGACTTCGGACCGCAAGAAACCTGCCCCGTTTAAGTGGAGCAAAAGTTTATAAAACCGACGGGCGCGGACGACGCGCTTCTAGTTTCGCCCGGGACATTAGATCCGGCGTTCTTCGGGAAGATCGTTTCGACCACGACGAATAAATCATGATCAGGCTACTGGTAAGCAGACTGAAAAACCGTCTACCCTTCGATCTCGATCCTACGTCTTGCCTTGCCTCCTGAAAATAACACTAACGTCGCTGCTTTGCAAATAATTAAATATAAACTGTTCGACAAAGACTACGGTCGATCCTAGTTTGCTCTTTCGTTATTAATTCGTGGTTGAACTGTTTTGTAATCTGCAGATACCGTGTTTGATATGGCTGTCGAGCGTGCGCTCGGAGTCTGCAATGGGCATGCACATGCCAGACGTAATGATGGAGGACGCTGCCATGGCGGAGGAAATGAAGCTGAAAAGGGAGTCGTATCACAACCCGTGTCCACCGGTTTATTCCCATCCGATCTCTTACTCACCCCCGCCACAAATTTACGTGAAACCGGTGGTGCATCCGGCGCCCATTGTTCATCAGCCTAGTTATTCGATCATCGCGAAGCCTGTGGTAGCTCCTGTGGTGGTGAAGCCTGTAGCTCCAGTGGTGGTGAAGCCCGTCGTCCAGGCCACCAAAGTGGTGTATCCGATCTACCAGAAACCGATGGTCTCGTACGCGCCGGTCTACCAGAAGCCCGTCTATTATCAGCCCACCTATCAGAAGGTGATGTACGAGCCACCCAAGGTCTACTTCAAGAAGTACGACGTTCCAGTCCCCCAGGTCGTCCATCTTCCTCAATACCAGCCGCCAAAGGTGGTGCAGGTGCCAGTGCACCCCGTCAGCCACCCGGTGGTCCATCCAGTGGTCCACCCGGTGGTCCAACCTGTCGTCCATCCCGCGCCCGTCTACCAACCGGCGGCGAAACCATGGTGTCCCTAAAGGGTCAATCACAGCGATCGAACCAGATCGATCGTCCAGCTTCGAAAGTACCGGGAACGCAAAAAGCTTCGAGGTTCTTCCGCGAAACCCTCTTCGTCGCAACGAGTCGCAGTCACGCGTAATTTAGCAAGGTTTCCATTTCGGGGATTGTACAATAAAAACGAAGGAAGTATCAATCTTGTTGTCGTATACACTCCACCCGTCCGCCCGTCATCAAACTTTCCCCTTTCCGTAATCTCTCCCTTCAACGTCCGCGAAACGAGGATCCTTGACGCGACAAGGACTCGAATAGGGGTACACGACCGTTTCAAGCGCAAAGTTTCGATAGCCCGGTCATTTTCGCGAAACTCTACCAAACCTTTTCATTCGACAGGACCACATCTCGTCGGGAGATTGCCTTTCCAGGGGTCTTAATTCGACCGACCCGCGGAAACTCATCCGCGAAAGTTTCCTCGACTGTTCTCGGAGGCTGGATAGCATTAACGTCGCTTCTAAGGTCGTGTATAACTTCCCGAGCCCTGCTGGCCACTCTTGGACACTCGTTCCTTCGGGATATTACATCCTTGGATATCCAAGGGTCGACAAACTTTGCCTCGCGCAGTGGTTTGATTTTTACCGGATGGAATATTTATCGCGCACGTCAGAGTCGGGCAAAACGTAGTTAGATAGCTTTAAAGATTTACCATTTGGATTACGTCGCAATTAGACCGGTAATTACCGTGTGATTACAGTTTGATCACCTCTGGTCGAAGCTACAGATTTAACAAGTTTGCGCCAGCGATCGTTAAATTCTCCTCGTATGCTTAGAGAATACCTTCGTTGTTTTCCTACTATTTTTTACGAAGCTTAGAAAGTGTGAATAGAAAAATGGATACCTAATATTTATGTTGACATTACATGAGAATCTAGAACGAGGCGTACTTGACGCCGTAAAATATGAAAGTCTACGAAAAAAGCAACCGCAATGAACGTATGTGAGTTTAGAAACGAGCAAGATAATATTGACGCGAATTATAATTTATGGTCGTTGGGGTTTCTCTGCAGACACCGCATCGTTGAAGATCTCGCGAACCTGAAAGAAAAATTTATCGTTAGCAGACGATACGTGCGCTAACAATAGCACAAAGCACTTGCAATTCTGCAGTACGATTCTCTTTAAAACTTTACCAAACTCACGCTATTGACTCATCGATGTTTACATTGTGGGAACAGGTATTGCTACCTGGTGAGAGGCACGGCCTTCGATCGATTCGTTTCTAATTGTCCCCAAATTGCCATAAAGGGATCCCCTTTCTACCCACGAGGGATCAAGCGAGAAGAATGCTTTGTCCGACGCGTGCGCACTGCCACGATTTTCCAAACAACTTTGGCGCACTTTTCGTAATTCTAAATTAATTATCCCTAATTCCAATTTGAAAAACGCGACCTCCAACGTGACAGCTCTTTCTAAGGTTAGACGAGTCCCGACATTTCTTTGCCTTTTAACACTCGACCCGATTACGACAGATCGACGGTGGACTAACTAGGGAATTAATCGATGGGTCGAGCTTTCCAACCGATTCCCGATTATTTCGAGGAATCGTCGTTTCGTCACGCAGCTCGTAACGTCGAGCGTTGCATAAGTGGCAACGACGAGACGCGCCGTTTCGCGGTTTTGAAACCGCAACGATCCACCGATTTTCTCATGACCACGTGCACGTCGGTGTATCGTGTCCGCGCCGACCAACGATCGTAAACATCCGGCCAGATTTTCGCAAGGGGTTTCGAAACCCTACGCGGACGTATATAATGTATGCTGACGGGAAAATTTCCTTCAGTGAATACCGAAGACGATCACCGACTCGTTCCAAGCCTTCGTTATGAGATACTTTGTGAGTTGCTATCTCCGCAATACTTCGAACAATTTTTAAAAAATTATCATCATTGTTTACGTCATAATACCTATGAGTATTATCTGTTTTTCCAGTCGTATCTCGCGGTTGTCGTGATCTGTGAAGCGGCAAGACTTCCCAGAGGATCGGATCAGACCTACTTCCCGAACTTCCAGAGCATTTATCATGGCAACGGTGCCACTAGCTACCAGAACGTACGAATCGGTGAACCAGAAATACCGCATCTCGAAGACTATAAAACGCAAGATGGAAACCTAGATCTAGGAAACGCTTACGACGAAGATCAGCCGGCTGGTATCCAGCAGAATTTCGTGGACCATTTGGCGGAAGGTAATTCTCGTTCGAACTATTCGCGAATCGATATCACCGACTTATCTTTCCAGATCCGTTCGAGGAGGTAACGACGAACGACTTGGACCTCGAGCACCGGCACAGTCTTCCTCAAGATTACGACCGATTTAACCACGAGCACGATTACGAGTATTAGTTACTGGAATATGATATCGAAATCGTAATTTAATTTCATTTCTAATGACGGTCATTAAATAAATCGTTGATCGAGTTTGAGACACGACGACGACGACTTGGGCTAGCAATCTCTTTATTTCTCCTTACTCCTTTATATCCAATATATATATAATATAGGTTAATATAATCATTTGTGTAAATAACATTATTAGAATGAAAACAACGACGTGGTAATTATTATGCTAGGCTCTCCTTTAGTTCGGTTTTATGTACAATGCTATTTTGGCTCGCGACGTTACGACTTTGGACCATTCGTGCGAGTGTACTCTTCCGAGGAGGGAAAAAAAGGATTCCCGAAACGAGTACCTGCTCGATCGTGACTGAAGATCGCGGGACACTAATACTCTAATCGCGTCCGGCAACACATGCACGGCTATGGCCGTGCACGCGTCATCTATCGACTGCTTCCGGACCGTAACAAGCATTGTTCGGAGTACAATTATAGCGAAGGAATCGTCACGTTGACGGCAAATCCCTTTCGGCGTTAGGCAATGAAACACACGTGCTCGCACAGTCGCTCTCTCGCTCACGCACGCGGTACGATAGAATTCGATAATAGCGTTAACAATCGAAAAATATTTAAATCGACGAATCACGCGGCACGCTGACTCCGCGCGATCCGCTTCTCGTGTACGCGGTACGAACGGCTACAGCCTGCACATGCAATCGTTTCTCAAACTGGAGAACACAGAAAAACTGTCCCTCGACTTTCGCGAGCTCGTTGAAAGCGGATTCAAATGGTACCAGGTTGAAATATCTTATTGTTTTAATAAAATTAGCTCATTACTTGAAATAAAAAGGTCTGTTCTCTAGAGAACCTAGAGAAAAATATGGCTGTGCACCATTTCATGCAGAATGCGATTCTGAAAACGAATAAATGATCTCTGGACACCGTTGAGACGCAATTGCAGCGCGCACGCTTCAACCGAACGTACCAGCGCGTATAATAAATATATACTTATCATTAATATAAGAACTTGACTAGATCACTTTAGTTTTTATTGACTCCCTTATTTAGTCTAGGTACTTGCTCGTGCGACGACGGAGAGTATGGAGAGTTACAAGATGCTTTCTTTTTTATAAAAAAATATCCAGGAGAATGAACTAGAATTACGATTAACGCGGAGTTTGTTTTGTTGCTTCCGGTTCTCGCGACGCTGACGTGATCGCGCTAGGGCGAAAACGTCGGCGGATCGGAGAACGACAGCTAACGAGGCTTGTTCCCAATTCCAATTGTAATTAACGTTTATAGCGGATTCTCTGAACGCAGCACCTCAGTTCCCCTGTAACCGTCCCGGACGCAGAGGTACGAATACGACGCACCGCGACGGCCATCACACGTAAAATTCGGTCTTAGGGCCCAGTTCGTACTCCATCTCCTCGTTTTTGTACATGTCCATGATCTGTAAGAATAATTTCCCCGCTCGATTAAATTACTTTTTTAAAAAGAACAGATTGTTTCGTACCGCGTTCATGTCCTTCTGCAATTCCTCCAGTTGCTTCTCGTGTATTACTTTCAGCTTCTCCTTCTCCCTGTTCTGTATGATCTGCGCGATCTTCCTCTCCTCCATAAACTTCTTCGTGTTGTTCTGTTGCTTCTCCCTGAGTCTGCCCTCCTTGATGCCCCTGGTCTTCAACGTTTTGTCGTTCATCACCTCCCTCATGCTCTCCACCGAGAGCCTCGCCTGTCTCGCGTTCATTTCCTTGATCTCGCGCTCGTGACGCGCCCCGAGCTGCTTCTGCTGCGACACCTGAGCGGTCACGCACAGCTTGCACAAGGTGTTCCGTCGCTCCTCCAGGTGGGAACGAACCAGGTCGCGTTCCTCGCGACGCTGCCTGTCGGCCAGACGGGACCACTGTACGGTCTGGTCGGAAACTGCTCTGCGAACGGTCGGGTCCCTCGAGAGCTCCGCTTTGCTGTCGAAACAAGAAACAGACGCTCGCCTCTTTATCGAAGGCACGATCACTATGCCACGAAAGCGAAGCAAGCGAACTGTTACGTACTTTTTCCCTTTGATAATCTTCTCTATCGCAACGCAGTGTTGCTTCTGGACGGTTAGTTTCTCTTTTTGCTGTCTCTTCTTCAACGACTCCAAGTCCTTCTGCTGCTTTCTCAGCACTTTCTGGTAACCCTTCTCTTGTCGCAACACCTCCACCGTAATCGGGTCGAACTTCATCTCCTCTGTTGATAAATTCCAATTTCAACAGGAATACAAGCACAACGCTATTCGTTGCCCCTAACGTTTGGTACTTAATATTTACCCCTGGGTTTGGGTGGCTCGCGATGATGAGAAGGAGCGGAGTCGCTGCCCCTGTTGTCGTTCTCCTCGATCCCGAGGCCGCGCATTTTATTCTGCGACATGTTCTCCGGTTTCTTGTAGGCCCGCGGTGCCGTAAGAGCGTCCATAAGTCCTGAAATTTCAGTCAAAATATTCTCAGCCTACCCTTAATCACGCGACTGTCGTTTCTTTCCAGAAACTGGCTAACCTTCGTAGCCGTCCGGCACGTAGATCTTGATCTCGATGTTGCAGAAGAGCATAGGCAGAGACATGGGGAAATTCGCCTCCGTTCTCAGAGATATGTGCCTGTACCCTGACTGTAGACCGTCGAGAGGGACTATTCTCTGGCCTAAAAGTTTCCCGTTGGACTCGTCGTAAACGGCGAACCTTAACGCAGCCAGGTCCGGCAGGACCACTTTTCGAAACAGGAAGGGTTCTTCATTGTAAACGGGATTCAGGCCGTTCGCCGGGACGACTCTGGTTCGAAACTCTTTGCGAATGGTGTCCGTGGGTAGACCGTACATCTCCACCTCCACGTACGTCCCGACTTTCTTGTCGGACAAGAACTGTCCAGCTATCACCTGCCATCCAGAACGAAGGTTAACGCGACCCTCGACGGGGATTGAGACGCGAAGGAATACCTTGACGCTGCACTGGGTGGCGATCACGCCGTCCACGGGACTCTCCGCGAAAGGATCGAAGCTCCTGTCGGCTCGTCTCATGAAGTCCGGCTTCAGAAGGTAGCCCGACGAGCCGTTGTACTCGAACTTCCCTTGGTTCAGTTGCATAGGCAGGTCCGCGGTTTGGAAATTCAGCGACACCATTTGGCAGCCAGCGTTCCAGAAGACCTGTTTACCCAACGATCGATCGTTAGACGCGTGAAAAGATCGTTTGGTCGCGATCTACAACGTCGTAGAAAATTACTTGTGGCATATAATTCGACGAGTCGGCCCGCGTGCCTTTCGGGTAAATTCGACTCATTTGTCGCTTGTTGTAATTGACGAACTCGATGGCTTGCGTCTTCAGGTAGTTCAGGCCGGTGTTCTCCGCGAAGGAAGACATGTTGTGATGAATATTTTTCTCTGTACGAACAGACAAAGGAGTACATTGCCTTCCCGTCTTTTCCCTCGCGAGGGTCGTCGAAGGGGCATCGTAAAAAGGATTGAACCTAAAGGATTTATCTGTGCTCTTACGTTCGGCGATATCGAAGCCCACGAACTTGATGGGTTGAGCATAGTTAACCATGGACGATAGCAACGGGTGCACGTTCGTCGTGCTTCCGGTGTACGGTTGAACCACTGCCAATTCCAAACTGTCGCCAAGACCGGCGCTGGAGACAGATGGCGGTTGCGTACCGGTCGTCGACGACGCGACCGATTCCGCGGTCGAAACTTCCTCCTGAAAACGACACGATCGGCTATGGTGAACCGTTCCGCCTCGTCGATCGCGAGAGATGGATCTAAGGGATTCCATGCTGGCGCATATATCGAGGGTTACCTTTACCGATTGCTGTTCAACGACCGATGCCACCACTGGCAGCGCGCTGGCGTCTTCTTTGACCTCGTCCTCGATTACGAACTGACCTTGTCTAAACAGCTCCAATTCATGCTTCTCGACCTCCGGCTTCAAACGTTTGTTCTTGATCAGGATTTTACGCTTGAGAGCGCTGGGCGGCGGCAGAGGCACCCCGGGTTCCAGCTATTTTATCGAAACATCGAACATTTCGTTAATGCTCGGTGTTACCTAATCGATATCTGCCCGCAACTGTCAACCTCGTTTTTAGAACACGCGTAATCTAATCTTTAATATATGAATAGAAGTATACAGGGTGTTCGGCCACCCCTGGGAAAAATTTTAATGGGAGATTCTAGAGGCCAAAATAAGACGAAAATGAAGAATACTGATTTGTTGGTCGAGTCTTCGTTAAAAAGTTATGGAAATATTTCGATTTATTTTTTCATCGTAAATCTGAATATGCCCGATCGTGCTACCCGAGCCGACACACCCTGTATATAGTGTATCGAGTGCTCAATAAAGATAAGCTTCGATAACAATAGGCTCGGAGTACTTTTGCCTTGTTTATCGATGAGAATCTAGATTCCGATTGACGTAGGGGCTTTGTCCGTTATCAGGCAATGTTTACGGAGACTCGCCAAAACATTAAGCCGTTTTATATCGCGCGTAATAATTCTGAATACCGACGAAACTCACGGGATACTCTTTGAGAGGTTCTTTCAGCAGCAGGTCACCCAAAATTTCGTCGCAATACTTCGCCAGCTTGTATTGCTGCTTTTTGCCGCAGTGGTTCTCGAAGCTGAGTATAACGGGGAACTCGGAAGTAACGAAAGCAGTGTCTCTCACTGCGTAGATCACGTCTTTGAAGAGAATGTCCGTGCACATGGCTTTCCCGTGCGTGATTATCGGCTCCTCGTCCTCGCCTTTCCCGTCCCAACAGTCCAATTCGATGCACCTTAAACGTTAAACCGTCATTAACGACGAAAGTTTCGAACAACGTTGATTTATCTCCGGCCAGAACGGTACTCCGAGACGCGAGTCGAATGAAATTCACGCCTGTTCGACCGTCATTTCGTTGCCCTTACCTACAACCAGCGAGCAACACCTGTCTATACATTTCGACGCTGCTTTTCCCCCCGAATTGACGACCGCTCAAATACGTGTTGTGACTCGAGTTGATGTAATAATGCGCCAGAGGCTGGTCCATGTCCATGTAAACGTCCAGCCTGTCCAGGAAAACCGGCGCGTTCTCGTCGGAGATCAGGTACCTTATGAAACCGTCCTTCGTCATCGTTTCTGAAAGGACGTGATTGCTTCTGAAAGGATGCCGTTTCGCAGATACAAACTAGTTCGAACACTTAGGCGGGTCGATAGCAGATATTCAATGGGGAGAGCCGCGGAGCCAGGCGATTTCAATCAACAAGTACAAAATATTCGAAGAGAACGTTCTCCAGATATTTTCCATTCAATTGTGCCGGATACGAGCCGGAATCTTTCGAAGCATCGTTACCCTTCTATCGGCGATCAAACAGATTTGCTTCCGGCATCGATAATTTTATACGAACGAGAAAATTCTTGACATCGAGATACAAACAATTGGATCCAGATTCAGCTTATTTTATAGGAGCGTGGAGCATTAAAAGATAAGGATCGAAGTCGTAACCATAGCGAACTTGCTACGACCGCCGCTAGAAAATTTTATTTATATCCGGCAGCCCCTAAACCAATTCCGTTGTCGATACTTTATTGCAACGCTCGCGACCGTACGACGTATATATTTCTTCAATTATTTTCTACTCGATGTTGGCGAAGCTCCCTCGAAACCGTTAAGAAACACAGAGAAGGGAAGTCTTACTTTGATTTCGTGCGGTCTCGTTTTGCTCGTAATCCTTTATGATTTCCATCGCTCTCTTCTCGTCGTACAGGGGATAGAGGATCTCGTTCAAAGTCGGATCGCGTTGTTTCTCGTTCAGAAACGTAACCAATTGATCCATATTGATCGTGTCGGCTTTACCCTGGGTGCTGCAACGACCGAAAGCAAACAAAAACGGTACACGTTTCTACGGGGTTTATCGTGGAATCGATATCGAACCGGGAAAAAGTTACGTTTCCCGTACTCACATGGATTGAAACAGTTCCTCTATGTCGTTCCTCGGGCAGATCTTGTGGTAGAGCGCGTAGAAGGTGTCGAAGGTGAAATCGTCCGGCTCGATCACGTCGTTCTAGAAATTTCGATCGTTTTTTTTTTCAGTCTACGGGATCGTTCGCGTCGAAACGATACGTGGTTCTTTCTTTGTACCTTTCCGCTAGGTAGGCCTAAATCGGCGAGGCACTGATAGACGAGCTTTTCCGTTTTCCCGGACGCGAAAGTCCTCGCGACCACTTTCACCGGAACTTTTCCAATCGGATCGACCAGCATTCTGAGCCTCATCCAACTGGAACACGACAAAAAAACTGCATATTTTTCAACGACAAAAAGATGCTCCAGGGATAACTTTCCTATTTGCGCGACGAAACGTTACGGGGCCGCGTTTTTTCTCGTGAAATCGGGACAATCGGGCGTCGAACGGAAAGATCCGGATCCGAATTCTAGATGTTCGGTGCAGAGACCCGTTCGCGCGTGGCGAGAGAGAAAGATCAACACCAGTGACCGATATATCAAAGGGTTGCCACTCTTCTGGCGTCGTGACACACCCTAACGCGATAGAAAGTGTTTTATATTTAATAATTTCATTCGATCGACCGGAGAAAAAAGGATATCGACGGCGTCTAAACGGCGGGGAAGAATTCAGTCAACAATCGCGGGTGTAAAAGGCTTCGCGAGTTTCGTCAGACTGCGGAGAGAATCCACGATGGAACGTCACGTCCAACAACGTGACGTCCATATTGCGTACGATAGGCCTTCGAGAACGTTTCTGGCCAATTATTTCACGGCGTAAACATTACCGCGGCGTGGGTGCGCGCTGTGTAATTGCATTAGTAAACTCACTGTTTCTTCAAGCACGTAAGCGGGCAAACGTTGTTGGCTTTCACGTTGTGCGTAATCGATCGTACGCCATCCAGCCATACCTGTCACAGGACACAGCAAACACGTGGGCTTATTGATTACCTTAATAATTTCCTAACCAGCGGATCGGAAAATATTTCTACGTTCGATTCGCATGCGAGCGTTCTAATTGCGCCAACGTCGGGGCAAAACGATATTCCAATTAACGGAGTATCGCGGTCCAGAGGGTCTAAAAGAGCAATTCCCCGTAATACCATATTTCTCTATTTGTTTATCCCACTTTGTCCGCGATACTGAGAAACAGAACTTAAAATCTAACGCAAAAGTAAGACAAAAATATAATATCGTGGGAAGTGGGGCAGAATGAAACGACGAGATTGGAACAGATTAGAGAGAATTAAAAGTTTAGTAGCCATAAATTTTGCAGAGGCTCGTTCCCAGTCTTTCCTTCGTTCTCTCTGCGACCGATGTTGAAAAGACGCCGAGAACTTGGAACGCTCAATTAGCAGAAACAATTATTCGCGTTCAATAGCTCCTTAATTCGTAGGGATTTCCACGAAGATGACCATCTGGACCAGAATAATCCCTTAAGGAGCATCCTATTACTCTCGAGATTTTGTTCGCTAATTTTCCAGACGGACGATCAAACAGCGAGGAGCGGAAGGCTCTATCGATCCAACTTACCTTGGCCGTCGCTGGATCCGGACAAACGACATGTTGGTAATTGATATTGGTGTAATCTACGCCGGAGCAGATGGTCAAACTTTTCTCCTCCAATTGCTCACCGTGCTTTGTCAAGAGCTTATCGTACAACTTCGGATCCTACGTAACATTACAGAACGATGCGATAGTCGGATTTAATTAGATTCGATTGAAACACGCCGTGGAAAAATTATACGATATGCCGTCGATTAAATTCGCTTCGATGCAAAGTAGTTTTCAGAGAGGATGAAACGTCGAAATGCTTGGCTATGAATGGAGATACGAGGGGCACGAATGAATTCGTTAACGTCGCGAACAAACGACAAAACATTTCCGTGTACCGACGAGTTCCGCTCGAGTACATTCGTCTCCGTCGGACTCTCGCTGAGCTCTCCGCTGAATATTTCAAACGAAAGCAAACCTCCGGGGTTCAAACTGCTCGAGAACAAGGGTTTTCTTACCTTGGGCAATCCACCGGCGCGTATGTCGCTCACTTGACACAGCTCTATCACGTCTCCCTCCTGCGCAACAAATTACATCGACGCTAAAACAGTTTGCTCGCACCTTCGTCTACGACGCAGCGTTGGCCAATAATCAATCAACCCTCGATTGCATTTGTAATTGATCGACGAGCCACGATAACAATTCGTCGTAATCAGCTAGATTCAGCGATACACATTTTGCCCAACTCTGCCTCGACTTCGAAACGCTTAGAATAAACGAATCTTGATATTTGCAATTTTTTAATCGCGTCAGTGGTATTAGGAACACTGTAAAATATTTATGCTTCCATTTGTTACGCTGTAATTTGAAAAATGGTTGGGGATAAACCATAGTCGACGCGATAACGAGGGAGGAACCTCACCTGTCCGCCTCCGATTTTAATCTACCTTTGCTGGATGGTAAATTTCACGTTCCGGGTAATATATGCAGAGCAACGAATATCATAACTTGATAAGTTTGAATGTATATGCGATGCAAGTTGCATGTATGCATAGTATGCAACGTGTAGTAAGGATATCAATCTTCGTCGCTTTTTCATCGAAGTCGCCGTGGCGTGAACGATATAAGCGGGAGTTTCATGCTTGAGGTCGCGTGTTTGAATCTCCTTTTCTGTCTTGTTAAATAGGATTCGTTTGTAACTGCGGCAATTTGGTAGACTACGAAATTAATTTACGTTCCCCCGGAAATATTTCGTAAAGTCAACCGAGCTGCTTCCTTGGAAAGAGTAAAAAGCGGGATTACAGCTACCATTATCGCCGTGCATCATGCACGTTGCTATCGTAATGGCAGAAAAGGAAGGAAAAGAGACCTCGAACACACCAACCCCCATTTCTAGCATCTGCGCCACGGTCACTTCGATGGAATAAAATGACAAAATGATGGATATTCGTTGCGCAAGGTGTGCATAAGTTATATCTCGAAATTTATGGAGCCTCGTATTTTCTACGAGGAGCGTTGTAAACTGAAAATGTACTATCTCGAGCATTTAAATTGCAACTTCAACGCATTTTGGATAGGAGATCACGAACTTTTCAAACGATCTACAGAAGCAGATTAAGATCGAAAGCGGACAGGTTTCTCTAGTAGGAGGATGAGCCGGACATCAAAGGAAATTCTCGTTTCACCTTTCCCTCGCTCTGCCAGTAGATGAAGAAGGCATATTCGTCGACCTTGAACATGCAACTCGGCTCGAGTTCCGTGTTGTCCTTCTCCTCTGCCCACCGATCGAAAGTGCATCCATGACGGAGCGCTACCGGTACCTCGATCTGCCAATTGAACTCGAACCTTTTCGTCATCTTCCTGGCGCCGATTTGTCCGCGTCGATCAGCACGCACGTCGGTTCTCGTCCGATTCCTAACGAGAGTCCCAACATTTAAAAAACAATTTCCAAACGCCACAAGGTATTTTAAAGTCGCCACGTTTGAGATCAAACCACGCAAAACCGAGCTTCTATCGCGAGACAAAACAAACGCTGATAGAATATGCCAAAAATAATGGCGTTTTAAAAGACAGCGCGTCCGTGACACGGTTAATTGCTCCGAACGGTGGATACGAATGAAATCTCGGTTGCGCGTGCAACCTGAAAATTAGTCTACCGCGTCCAAATTAGGCTGCTCATAAATTTTTACATGGTAGTTGAAGTTGGATCTGTCCGACTGTACTGGCCACTTAAAAGTCCCGAACGAGATTCGTTTAAATTATTAATTGCAGCAGTTTCGGGGGAATAGTTGCGCGGCTGCGTTCTTATCGCGTCGCCTCATTACCGATTCCAGCGTCGTTCGTCGAGATTACGAAAGTTGGCGAGCGCGATGGTGAATACCAAACGATCGTCGCGGTTACCGTTTGAAGTTCTTTTATTTGGAACGACCACCGACGCGTTAACCGAATTGGATAAAAACACGTTCGCGGGACCGTCTTTTAAGGAGAGATTCCCATCGAGAGGATCGTTCAGCTAACCGAGGAGCTCTATGGATTATCTGGCCTCTTTCGAGATAAGTCCTCCCGATTATAGCAAATTTCTGAAGAAACGCCATTTTCTAATGGTATATTTTTCTTAAGAAATTCCGAGCTTTTATTGTAACTTTAGTGTCGTGCATTGCAAATCCGCGATTAAAAGTAACTGTTGGCGCAAGTTATCGCTGTCTATGCGAATAGAATTCTACGCGTTTATTTTTCTATTCCTCGCAATCGTCTTGCTGAAGTATTCTGGACTGTGATATTACATTTCGAACAGACAACGTGGCACGAGAAAAAGGAACCGTTTCACCGAGAAGAATGCGCAAAGTAAATCGAAGTAAAGGAATGCGAAACAATGTAAACAATCGGGATCAGAATATGGAGCACGAAACAGTTGTTCGATTCTGAAATACAGAAGATTTTTTAATCAAAGCAGAAGTATCGATTGCACGGGATTTCCCATCGATATCGCGGCTCACTAAACGAAATAAAGTTTCGACTTTCGATATTTCGAAATTTTTTTAACGAAAAGCACAAGGTATACGGACATAAATTTTTTATAGGTTTATTTATTGACCTTGAATTATATCGCCCGAATTTTTGTTTAACTCGGAACGAGTACTCTAGGCATTCCAAGCGACGATGCATTCGCTGTTGAAGCAAACATGTTTTTACTGTAAACACGATTGGCGGCATTTCACAGATAGGAAACAGATCGAGAAAACAAATAATTAAAGTATATGAGATTGGTTATCGCTCGCTACCAGAATGAAAAAATGTGATTTAATATAGCGACGGTATTTTAAAATAGAATTTAAACATTATCTTTCTCGTTTCGACCGAGGAAGAGAGCCCGATGAATCTTTTTTAACGTTCCTGGTGTAAATCGCCCGTTAATTGTATTTTACCAACAAGAATTGCGTATTAACCTGGGGCAGAATGAGCCGCATAGGTGCTTACGACGTCTTTCACCGGCATTAGAATCCAATTAGGCGTTGATCTCGTTAAGCGGAGAGCTTCGATCTTCGCCCCGTGCGCGAGACGCTCCACGTTAATTGGCTTTCTAAGCGCGGGAGCCTCGTCCGTAAAGAAATTCATGTTTGCCGATCGAACGATAAATCTTCGCGTCCGTTCAACGACCTGTTCGACGGAATCTAGGCGAGCATCAATCAATTTTGTTATTGTTGGCTTCGGTGGCACAGTTCACGGAGGACTTTAACACTATTTTCACAACCTCGATCGTCGGATGGCCTCTTCGGGGATCGAGTTAACAGCGTTTCTTAACCCAATGTACTGTCACGTCCGACAGGCTGTGTCTCAAACGGTAATGTCATCGTTCCAAGACTTTCTTGCCTCGCGTGATGCCTTTCCTTTTCAGATTCCATCGCGTGAATGACGCACACGTCCGATTCGTTAATATTCAGCCGTGTGTTTTACGTTCAACTGTGACATCGAGGTTAATATAGAATTAAAAATATTTTCTACTCGCCATAGTACTAATATATCTCTGCTATAATCGCCTATCACTGCCACCTATTCGCGTAAACTGCGACCTCGGTGTTACTTTCTATTCACCTCCGTTGTTCGATACCGCTATCAATATTGTTACAAGGCAATTAGGTTACGTTGTTCGAAGCATTTAAATAACTTGCAAAGATATTTGCTTTTATCTCGAGAGAATCGAGCGAAGTACATTACCGCACTCGAAAGGGTTTAACCCAAATTCCTGTACTACATAACTACGCTTCTACTTCGAATCGTCTTAACCTCGTGAATATTCATAATCGTTTCAATTTTTCTGCTCAAAGTTACAGTCTTATCTACGGCGCCTGCACCTTGAGTTTTAATCAGTCTCAATTATTGCCAAAGAATTTTCAAACGTGCTTCAATTCGTACTGGGAGTCATTATGCAGAAAAGTAGTTATCAAAACGCAAGATACGAGGAAGCTTGGGAATCGAAAAACTTACAGCACGTTAGAGCAAAAGTTCGATTTCTTCGCTAAGTCGTGCTTCTTCGCGGCGATAAAAGAAACGTTTACAGATATCGAGTTTATTTTAGTTCGGATGATAGAGTCAAAATATCCTGAGATATCGTGCCGACCGGATCGAAACATTTTATTTCGGGGGAAACACGAATGCAGAGAATTCAAAGTCCTATAAACGTTGCTAAATCTCCCAAACAATTTCCAAAGTTTTTTGAACACCGTTTAGCGATAGTGTGAAAGAAATTAAAGAAATGTGAAAACGAAGAAGTTCTTTTCGCGTCCAAACTACACACAGACCTCTCAAGTTATTCTTCAGTCAGGTCGCTGCAGCTCCGGATCGACCTCTCGAGCTCGAGTGATCTCGAACTCGAGCTTTCTTTCCTTTTCGGTCGAACGAAACTGAGATTGACCGTCGCTTCGGCGTATAACGATAACAAACGGATTTAAATTCCCAGGGCTGTCGGGATGCGACGGTCCGTTAAAGGTCACTCGAATTGGACGGTTTTGGGGCAGGGTCGGACGAAATTTCCAACCGTCGAACAGAAATTACTCCTCTTCCCGTCGAACGGTCGAAAGTTTATTTTTATCGCTTAAATATTATTCGGCTAAAATTGTATCGTCCGCGATCGCGACACGCTTTTGGTTCTTTCGACGGGTCGATACTGTATCGAAGCGCAAAGGATTTGCTGGCATCGTTGCACCGATTGACCTTTATTCCCTGGCTACAAAGTAGGACGAACCATAGACAGAGACGACTAGGTGAAAATAGAACGACGCTAGAGCACGGCACACGCCCCCCTGCGCCGAGAAATAAATCCTGAACTTCTCTCCATGGAAATAGAGCGCGGCTTTTACGCGTTATTTCACGGCACCGGAAGCGCCTTGCATCGTTGTCCGGTTGATTAGCGACGAGAAATACTGTTTATCGTTACGACACGTGTCTCGATACCGTTGATACATTTCTGTTTGAAATTGATATCCTTGATCGAGACGTTCCAAGGTACGTCTTCAAACGATTTCGGATTTACTCGGACGCGTGATTATCTTGTCGATATCTGTCAATTACATCGGTTTCGATACCTGTTTGATTACGCTCCCGACTAATCGGAAATGAAACAGCCGATGTCGATCAATCTAAATGTCGATCGTAGTTAATAATTAATAATTCATCGAGGATAAAATCCGACGAATTCTGGGACGCGGAACACCTATGAAGAATACGCAGAACATTGAACGTAAACAAGTTTTTTACGAAGACCGTAAAAGCACTCGAACGCATAAAGTATTGTTGTATTATTCTACGTTGGTATATATACTTAGTTGCACCGCGTTTCGCATTGATTATACGTCCGAGTTCAAGTTTTATGCTCTCTGCGAGTTGTTTAATTATTTCTACGAGAGTCCATATTTCCATTATTTTATTTCGTAATACCTCTTTCGATGCTATTTTGCAATTTATAAGTTTTCGTCTGTCGTCTACTCGCTGTTATCTTTGTGGAAAGTTATATTCATAAAGATAATAGATTCTGGAGAGGAGAGCAAGTTTAATATTTCTGACTCGGAACAAACATTACTCGTGGATAAAGTTCAATACATAAACAGAAATATAGAATTTGCTCCTGACTGTGAAACACGAACGTGCCTAGGTTGCAACATAAGGCTGCATACAAGCGAATGAATTCGAAATCCTCAATTTTACCGAGGGATTTTTAGATAAACATAAATATTTGAACACGGAATTTTGCACCGGGTATCGGATTAATTTTTATATCAGAATCGGTCAAGTCCTTGTACGCCATGTGTACGAAGTCGAATTCTTTGAATTTTCGAATCGCGTATGCTCACATTTTTCGACTCTGTTTACATGTACTTTGGACTTTATGCAGGATTCCGGCGGTAACTATAGAACAAACACATACACCACGATCGCTCATGCAAATTCAGCGAAAACTTTCTGCATATCTTTTGAATTGGTTTTCCTCGTTGGATTTTTCTCTCGAACCATAAATTAAGACTCGCGATATTAGTTGGGAATGACTCGGACGGTTTGGCGGTTGGAACGAGAGTTTATTACTGTGAAATTGAACTGTAAGCTTAACGTTTGCAAAAGTAGGTTACTTCAAGACTGATTGCGACAGAGGTCGGATTTTTCAACCGAAGTTCGCGTGGACGAAGCTACAATTTTCTGCGTTTCGTAATTGCCAATTTAATTCCAATTTCGTGCGTGTGGAATTAACCGATACGGAGAGAAAAATAAAAAAAATATGGAAAAGCAACGTGTGCAGAACAGGAAGTTGGAATAACGACTCGCGTATTACGCCGCGGAAATGGACCGTAAAAGAAGCCGATGACGTAAAAAAAAAACGAATTTACATTTGTAAAGATACAATGTAAGCGAACTGAACTACCCGCGATGCTATCGCGAAGTTTTGCAAAGAATGGATGGCGATTCTTAGCTGCTCGGACAAAAATACTCGACGATAATCGGCTTTATTAATTGGTATACAATGGCGATGGCTGTTTGCATAAATCAACATCGGGGAAGCGCTCGTTGGGATTTTAATCGTGATTCATCCGGAACGGAGCGGAGAGAACTCTTCTCATAAATTGCATACAGGCACGGATATCTGCTGTTTAAAAATCCTGATAGCCGTCGACGTCCTCCGCCGTGTATTTCTGCCAGTGAAAGAGTTTAGATCCGTGCTCCCGCCCCCGCGATTCGTTTACCCCGCCATCGAGCCACGCGAAGCGTAAAACTCGGGAAAAATTTTTCTGTACAATTTCGGCTCCTTTTCAGGCAGGGGAAATCGCGGGAGCGAACGACGTTAACTTACGGTAGAGGGAACAAAGTGAAGCGAAGAACAGTGAAGGCCACTTACGACGTTAAGAGCGTTTCTTCCTGGCTGGCTTGCACATTTTAGGTCCCCGCTGCACCTACGGCAGGAAAGATCGAATAAAGTTTATAACGCGGTTTTCTTACAACCCCGCGAGAGTCAAGGTCTCCGCGACTATGTATAGCAAACCGGCACGCAAATTGAAACGACCAATCTTCGATGGATATTTCACGCGTCTGTCAAACATCGTTTCCCGCGCTTCCGGCCGCGCAGAGATCCCCGAATCTCATCTCATTTTCAATCTACCGAATCTCGCGACGCGGGCTGCATTACTCGATTTCCGGTTGAGATTCTCGCGGATCGAGAAATGGCCAATATTTGGGAGTTCCGGGGGAAAGCTTCGGGGGATGAAACTTTATCGATGTTATTAATAATAGACCGATAGCGGGTGCTGACTGGGACAAAGTAACGTGGATATACGTTTCGAGAAAAATGTGGGACCATAAAGAACACCGGTTGTTCGTCGTTCGTCGTTCCTCGATCGAAAGAGAGAAACTCCATTGTTCGAGGATATTTGCCTTGCGTATATTTGAATTCTGTGTATTCTACAAACATGATTACAATATACTCTAGTAAGGAGCGTCCGCCTGACGCACGCGGACGTAAAAAATCGATGGACAAAATACACAAACCTTGTTGTGACTGCGAACGAGTAAATGTACGGCGTAGGAACGGTCGACTGGAGGTACTTTATAGAATTATGTATATTCTCGAAAAATGTCAAGCTTAAATCGCGTTCTTCTCGATACCATATATCTTGACCTGGATAAACATAACTCGACAACCACTCGATACAACCACTTTCAAAGTGAAAACTCTTTTAAAATCCACGTGTAAACACAGATAAAACTAGGTCTGCAATCTCGCGGAAGCAGACGATTACGAACTTCTTTCAAACAACACGGGGCAAGGATATTAACAAAAAGTTAATGCATTTATATTAGTCACTACGAGACAGCCTACCTTGTTTATCCGGTGAACGTTAGGAGTTTACTGATACGTTGACTATTAATTAAATTATCGAAGACAACAAAAACTGGGGTGACGTAACACCTTAATTGAAAACACTTAGTCACACTTGATCCCGAGATTACGAAACGATCGTCGATAGACGGTGAATTCGAGGCTGGTCGTGAAACGCGAACGTCGACGTCGCAAGTTTCGCGGCGAACTAGCGGCTAATGAAGCGCGTTTAATTAAACGCTTATCGCGCGGCCAAGATTGACCATTATTCTGTAACCGGATTTATCGTTCGCGGGCGAGAAAGGTCGGGTACCGATCGACGGCTGCTATCGTGCCACGGATATCCCGCGAGTTATCGAGACTTTATCTCGACTGACGCAGTAGGAAGTAGAGTTTTGCAAAAGTAAACGAATGACGTCTACGGTAGCGTACGAATATTAGATGCGCCAAAACGTTTTCGCGTCGCTTTGAACGTTCGAAGAACAGCCGCGACTTTGCTCATTGTTCTACCGACCCATTGTTCCCGCACCGAAACGAATGGGAGCGTCGGGGCCATCGGCTGCTGGCGATATTTTTTAACGTTTGCACGTATTCGGTGCACGCGTTTCAGCGAACGAGCAACAATGATAACGGAAGAATACAGTCGTCGGGGGAGGAGGGAAAGGAAACGCGAAGGAACCGGCGGAATAAGGTCAAGCGTTATCCAACGAAACAGCTCCAAGACGCGTAGATATTTTTAGGATCTCTAGTGTTTCCGCACTTTTCGGGAAACGTCCCCCCGGTTCTGGCTCCCAATCAGAATAAAAGCGTTGTATCCACCTATAAATCAACGACAGGAGGGGTCGAGAGCGTTCACGCGCGTTCTTTCAAGAAAACGTCAACCGGATCGACGGCGAAATAAAGCTCCCTGTCGCTTCCAATGGAACGGGTATTGATCGCGTTAAATTGGTGGACGTCGGTGGCTTCGATATTTCCGTATTATTCGATGCTAACACCTCCGCGAGATTCGAGGATCCGTCTGTCGGCGACTGGCTCGATGCCTAACCCGCTAATTCGCCGCTGGCGGAACCGATGTTTGCAAAACGTTATTCCAGACGCATCGGTTCTCTCGCTTGAAATAGCGGTATCGTTCGTAAACGTCGATTCGGTTCGTGTCGTGCAACCTGCCCGCGCATAGCCTCCACGGAAGTTTTCGTACTCGTAAACGGGGAAACGTCGCGAAGATAATGCGGGGGTGTGTACAGCGACTCTTCCCTGGCACGATGAAAACATTTCTGGCGCCTGGCACCCGACGATTTTCTCAAGACCGCGCTAACACGCGAACTCCGTGGATACTTGATGGGCAAGCGTGGAGCAAGTATTTCGATCGTGAAAGCGGAAGAACGCAGAATATGTCGTAACACAGCCTGTCGCTATTGATAATCACCTCGCTGACTGCTCGCAAAACATCTCGGACGCTATTTCCACGAACCTCGCGTCTCCTACATGGGGACAGGTTTATTAGATAATTTACAAATCGCTCTAGAATCGTTGTTCGCGAATAAAATTTCGCCAACTCGTTGATTCTGTCCGTAGGTACACGATGAATGCGAAATTGAAAGCCTGTTTCTATGGATATTTTTGATACACGTATGTTTTGACAGCGCGTCGAAAGGAAAAGCGTATTCGTCCCAGCGGGACTTGAACTCGCGTGGAAAAGTTAGCACGCAACCTATGCTGCCACTCAGCGACTTTACTTGTTGAAGAAATTACTAACAAGCATCGACCAAGCAGAACTTCTCGAACTTTGATCCCTCCATTCTTAAAAGTTTCTAGGCTTATAGACGAGTCATAACATTGTAGCCAAGGGTTCCCCGAGCACAGACTAGTCGTCGCATATCAATTTTATGCAAATCAATTTTCCTACCGAGCTACCGCTCAACGTATCAAGTTTTACAAATATAATTACAGCGAGATTTATATGGCGTACGTAATTTTTAAGTTCAAAACTTTGAACGCTGCCGGAGGAACAAATTCTTTCCTAAAATATCGATTTTACTTTCGAAAGAAAGTTGCTATAAATACGCAAGAAATTCGAAGTATTGATAAAGTTTCGAGAGTTTGGAGCAGGCGGTGTATTACGGCTAAGAGGGGAGATAGAAAACTTCGGAGCCATTTTCCTTTTCCCCTGGAAACACATTCTTCCAGCTAGTCGAAGCGTTGCTACAAAAATTAATAAAACTTTCGACTTGGAACTTTAATAGATTGTTGGGAATACGGAATAACAGCGAATTCGATAGTATTTATTATCCACAAAAGAGACCTTAACTCTTATATTTCCTATTCTCATTCTAGATTTTTTAATAACCGTTAAATGTATAAGCCAGTCAAAAAATTAAGGCAGTAAATTAAGTCCTCGACAATCTGGCCAACGTTGAGCATCTACCTCGAATAATTTCTCAAAGTTAACGAAGTCTTGCAAGCTGTTCGAAAGTGAGCTCGATAGCCCCTCGACGTGGTGTCCAAACAATGGACTCGATTTTAATATTTCCAAGCGCCATAAAATAAGGCACACTCTCATACACGTACACGCCTACGAACTCAATGACACGTTATTAGAGTCGATCGATAGTATCTACGATCCATACGTAACTCACGACAATAAATTTTCTTTCGCATTACACGCTCGTAAGGAACACGTTGATCGTTCGATCGGGCACCTGATCCTCCTAATATTATTCTAAATTAGAATATACGAGTTCGAAGATGCTCGAAGTAGTTTGCAAGTTGATTTCTGTCAATTTTGATTGATCTGTGAAAGCCTAATTGAGTGGATCCCGATGTTCTAGCGCGCCAAAGTGGACAGAGTGTATTGATTTTCGAGAATCTCTAATGGAATTCAAGAATTCAATTATCCCAGGGCAACCGCGATTGCGGTGAAAACTCTTGGCTTTTAAATAGGACGGCGGATCTAATTAAAGTTATCGAATATCGTCTTTCCCGAAGTGGCGCGGGTCGAGACCGACCTTTCGGAGGCCGATATTGCCGCGGATGGCGCGAATGCCGTCGTGACATTATAATATCCGTGTGTCGATTGCGCGGAGCCGCGTGAAAGCCTTAAGTGAGTAATTCACCGTGCGGCGCAACCTCGTTTCGCCGCGAACCATCCCGACTTGTGTGCATTACGAGTCCGTGCGATATTACGTAACGCCCTAATCGTGGCTAGGCGCGAGAGTGAATGAAATTGACGTTCAATAGAAGGCCGACGGACGCGAATGGAAAAGCGAAGTAGCCGATAAAAGCGGCCGGCCGCACGCGCGCAAACATTTACGGTGCATTTTATGCGTTTTACCTCTTTAGGGTAGCCACACCGGCTACGTCGTTTCCTTTTCTGTGCCGTTTTTTTTTAAAATATGGCCAGCATCGCCTGCGAAGTAGCCATTAGACTTTGCGCACACACGCTCGTAAATACACCGCAAACATTTACACTCTGATACACATAATAAGCGGAGCGTCGTGAAAAAATATTTGCACAGTCGATGAATAGCGGGGCGTTGCTTGGATCCTGAGGCCACCACGCGCACACACACGGGAACGCGCTACGAGCCACCGGGAATTTCTTCGACCGACAGATTAATCGACGGCTGACCGTGGTTCAATTACCGCTCACGGATCGATAATTACATAACTTCCGGCGCGGGCTTCGAAGGACGAGTTAAGCCGCGACATTGACCGCTCGATCGCTTAATACGCTTCGCGGTCGCTTTAAGAACAACGGAGCCAGCCACGTTCGAAGCAACGCACGAGAGAGGCTCTTGCGATTTTTACAACAATCACTGTTACGCGATCGAGAATTTATCGTTCCTCCGACACGCGATCTAAACGACTCCGTCTGTCAGAGAGCGTCAACTTCTTCGTGGAAGCTTCTACAAGCGTATAGATTTAATATTTTTCTAGCTCGACTTTGTTCAACTCGTTTACGGTAATCATAAATTCTCGTGTTGCGCCAGAAAGTATAATTTCGGTATCAGCAAACTCGACTGCGTTCGCGATTACGCTCAGCCACGTTTAGCGACCTTCCTACCTTTCTTGGACGTTATACTCGCGTTTCCTCGTAGTTTCTAACCAAGTATAGCTCTCTGCATAATTATTGCGTGTTTAGTTTTGTCATTTGTCAGGCTCGCCGCGCAGAACAATGTTAATAAAACTCGTGAACGATGTTTCAATTGCTCCGGACTCGGTACAATATTACGAGCAGTATTTTGAAAAAATTTCATTAGATGGTACGGGTCTTGTTTCCTCCCCCTCGCGGAATCCCTCCGACACGTTTGCAGACCCCTGGGGGACGGCAGACTACCGTTTCAGAAACGCTGTTCTAGTTGGTCGTAATGAATTTTTTACAATTTGTCTGCGCGGCGCTCTGGATTCTTCGTCGGTCGCGTGATCCAAATTTCAACGAGAACACATAAACCGATGTTACGCCAGACATCAACCACATGTTCCGTTACATCCAGTTACATCGTCGTTTTACGAGACCGACTGTGATTTTTATTTGGGTTTCTGTTTCTATCGCAGTTTATAGTTTTGCTATCCGCACGTTTTATATTTAATATAATACGCTATCGTTTCTAAAAATATAATAAAGAAACGTTGACTCTCAACTAGACAGAATGATTGACGATGCCTGAAAAAACTATACTCAGGTATTTCCATATGATCTATTTATAGTAAGCGTTGCGTAACAGCTTTAATAAGTAGACTTATCGTAATCTAAAACACCAGAGGATCATGTAAAACACACACCATGAGATCACATTGCTAGACTGGTCGAAGCTAACAACATAAATTTTTATTAGTTCCCGTCAAGGACGTATACATTTGAGTCATTCGATTAAAAATAGATTAAACGACGATTCGGCTATAAAAAGGCCTGATTACAGCGACGCTCCAGAGAACAGTGTTATTTTTAATCGAATGACATATTGATGTGTTTCTATAGTACTAAAATAGCGTCCATACAAAACGGAAAATCCTTTAGAGTTGAGAAATACGCAAGAATAAATAGTTGGTAAATTCTGTTTTGGTTCTCCACTGCCAGAAACTATGAGGAATGCCCCGAGCGAAGGACACGATGTAAACAGAGTACTCGTTGCCCATAAATTGCGTTCCCGCGATACGAGTGCTATTAGTCATTAATTTATACGATGCTAAATATTGGTCAACACTGAACAGCCTTCCTCAAATATTTTGATCGGTGAATCTGAATTCTTTCCAGGGGCATTCTCTTCGAGCAACGCAGCCAATTCTAAAACAATTCATCGAGTATTGCGTTATATTCAATCGTTGTTTTACTATAAATTAGATGGCAGGACAAAGGTTTTTTGCTACTTTCTCGGAAGCATTAGCTTCCCAACGGGTCGTGCTAGTATCTGTGACTCATCGATGTCCTCGAGTCGTTCGAATTTCATTAGGAATATCGACGGAAATCGTTTCTACGAATCAGCTATACTTTATTTAAGCGCACTGTCAAAGCTGTTATCTCGTTACTCGTTACGCTTTTTAAACGTCTCCCCTCAACTCTTTAGCGCGTAACAACAGTAGAAAGTCTCCGGTGAACTTTGACACGAGTAGCCGTAAAGCGGGACTTAAAGTTCGCGGATCGGTCGCGACGAGTTTCTC